TAGCAATATTAAGCGTCATTTTTCTGAAACCCTTATCCTTGACTAATGTTTATTTTTAGTAGATCTTATTTATAGTATATGATGCATAATGAATCCAACTAATACCAGAGTATTAAGTGCTATTAATCTTATTAACTATTTTAAATCTTATACATAGGTGGGCTATACTTTAAAGATTTTAATTACTAAATCAAATAAAGCGATCTATGACCTACGGAGCGGGTTCATGTTTCTTTCTCATCCATTATTATTGTATAGACTAGGTGTACCCACGACGTCGTCCGCGTGGAATTAAACTTTATGTTTCTAAAATAAAGGTAGCCTAAGTTATTCCTTAAATTACATCAGCTATCTGCCAATATTTTTCTCGAATTCTGATAATATTAGTCCTAGTGGCGTTTACGCCACTAGGACTAATATTATCATACCATAACGACCCAAACAATTTATTGTTTGGGTCGTTATGGTATGTGTAACAGTTTCCATTGTCATCTGTTTGTTTAGTTGTTGCATAACCTGTGGAATTTGGTTGGCCATGAACCAACCAATGAGCGGACCCCATTCGGTACTGGTGCATACAAAACACTTGCATTAAATCTCATTGTTGCATAAAAATCTAATAATTACTGGCTCTAACATTATACTTCAGTAATTTAAAAAGTTCATTAAGTTTCTTTATAGTCAAGGGCTCTATGTATTAGATTACCTTATCTTTAGGTAGTTCTTTATAGCAGTTATACCTATTATTTTATGTTGTTATTCTTATATTTTATCTAGAATATTTTACATAATAATCTAACCTTACATAGACCTAGTTACTAAATTCATAATTAAAATAATAATAAATTACATAGGTACTAATAAAATTTGATCGTATCTTAAAACGAAATAAATAGTACAGACGTAAAACGTTTGTAAAATGCAACCTTCTAGAGATGATTTGAATAATAAAAACTGCATATTATTATTTCAATTCATTAGACTTGCCATCCGTAATACCGGTTTTATATATCTTTTTGGTTTGAAACAAGGTGGCACATTTACGTTAATAATTTGTACAAACATTTTGAGTCCTCTACTGTCATTATTTTTATCTTTAATATCCTCCTACTTTATAATAATATAAGACACCCTATGCCGATATATTTATGTTTAAGTAGAACATTTGTTCATAATGCGAGTATACCTATCTGTGATTGATGTAAATACATATGTAAACAAATATCTACATATATAATAAAGTGAAACACTAAAAATGTTCCTAAGCTATATCAAATAGATAACATTACTACTAACTATATATAGTTTGAAAATTTCATTTTCATCTATTAATTGAAATCGACTAATGTTTATCTTGCTTTCTCATTGGGCTAACGGTAGATGCTGACGGAGCATTACAGAACAAAATAACTACTAAACAACAACAAAATAATACCACATTGAAACCAGTCATTTGTATTTATGTGTTATGCCCTTGTAATTAAATTATCAAGAATTAACTAAGGTATCCCAGTCTCCAAGGTATTATACCATTTAATAATCTCAGACAACAAATTTCACAGATATTAACTAACTAAGTATTACTAGACTATCGGTTTGAAAATTAGACAGAAAACGGAAGTTCGTTACAACTGGACTGATAGATACAGCATAAGATGTGATGGAATTTCAGTGTATGAGGAAGATTAATTATAATATCAAGGCAAGTAGTTTAATAGTGGACTGGTATGCTTAGTTATCATATCATATAAATGGCGTTACTTGCGTCGACTCTTTATCTACCCGTATGTCTACGTTATCCATGCGTTATCCACAGCTACGTCATTTAGCGGGCAGTGCACCACGAATATCAGTACATGTAATATAAACAAATCGTTACAACCAAAATAAAAATAAGGAACAAAAATAAACAAAACTAAATAGTTTACGGCTTTGCCTACTGGCATTTAATTATTTACGTTTTGTAATGGAAATAATCGAAAGGAATTTAATGACGAAACGCGAGGCGTATATTGAAATGTGCGCCGGGAATACAATCACCGTAATAAAAATAATGTAATGTTTTATGTCACAAACTACATATTTCTGTTTCTAAATAAATGCTATCGAGGTATAAAGACGTTGGTCGTTCGTTAAATTCCTAAGAAAATTTATAATCGGTTTGCATTGGCTGAGATACCTACTGCAGAACATTACTTAAATAATATACATTATACACACAGTAGTTTGAAAACCCAGAAGAAGCGCAATCTAAAGTTTTAATTTCTTAATTAATTATTAAGATGACGTACCATCTCCATAAAAAAATGTTCTCTTATGCGATAGCATTTACTCCTTATATATAGTGGTATAGTGAGTTACTGACCTTCACATCGCATTGCTATGGACTTGCACTAGACCCAGGGTTGTCTACAATATTTGTACGATGACATAGTCCTTCTACATATATTGTTCGATAATACTGATGACAACCCGAAATATAACAATATGTTATAGAGTATAGATAAAAATCATAACTTCCTGTGCTTGTTAAATACTGAGTACGGGAAAGTAAGAATCTGCAATGTTTGGTAATTTAACAGAAATTCAATAAATATTCTTATTATATGTATATAATATGAGGTTTGATAAATATACATTTATTTTTAATTAAATTTATCTATTCTATTTAAGGATCTTTATATATAAGTTTTAAAGTTGACAACCCTAGACCTAGCCAAATTGATGTTCGTGTATGTAGCTAGACTTGCAAACCAAGTATTTAAACGTGAACTGGACCCGATAGCCTCGCCCACGCAAGACATTGACGTATAAATATTTACAAGAAATCATTTGAGTACGCAAATTCTAAGTTATATTTTAGAAACAACATTTGTATCATTTGTTTATTTGAATGGCTGTAAAGTTTATTAAACTCCTAAAATTTGCCACTGAAAAAAATGAAACTAAATATTTTATAACAACAAGTTTAGTAATTTACTCTTACTTACTCTCTAAGTCGGTAAGTAGGCTTACCTACAGTTGAAAAACAATATTTCTTTGAAAAAATAATAATTGTTAATATTTATCTATAAGTAACTACTTGTTGGTAACTATTTAAGCTATTAAAAGTAAATATTAAAGTTTTCATAATTATGTTCTATTCTTTTCAATATGCAGTGGGCAAGAATAACTCTGATAATTGTAGCTGGACAGGGCCCAAAATATATCTTCTTATATACTACATTTAAAATATCATTAATGATCTTTATGAGAGTGAGGCTTTTCACAAAAATATATCATGCTTCAGAGATGACGAAACCTATAGTGTCGTCGTCTCTGAAGCATGAGTAGCTTGCATATTTAGTCGACCATTTTTTCCCGAAGTTAATTGTTTCAAAACTTACTATATTATGTACTTACTGTATTCAGACAATAAATTACACAAATAATATATATAGAATACAATATTTTTAATCTATTTCATAATCATGTCCCGTCAATCAAATACTTGTTTACATAAATATGCCAACTATAAAACAGATTACATGTGCGTTTCCGTAGTCCGAAGGGCATATTTAGGTCACTCACTTAGTGTTACAAGAATAAAATACGAGTCGGTAGCTTTCGAACTGCTTGAATGGTGGCAAAGTGGCCGTTAAAGATAAAATTGTCAGCGATTGAATTCTAACAATGAAATTGTAAGTAATACAGCACCATCTACTCCCAAACTAACTATAGGCGAAGTTTATTCATAAAACACATAAAATACGACGTATAATAAAATCAGATGAAGCAGACATAATAATAAATACATTTCTTATAATCAGCAAGGATGGAATCCATGAACGTTGGAAGTTAAATTGGGTTAACAAGCTAGAACAAGGAGGGCGTCAAAAACCAAAACAAATATATAATAACTTTAAGGGTAAAATGAGGTCATACTCCGACTTATCCTGTAGAACTGGCTAATAAGCTAGTTATTAAAAATCATCTAAAATATAGAACTATACATTCAGAAAATATGTACCTTTATAAGAACCAACGAAGAAGAAAAATATTATATTTAGTAACAACGGAGACCCCGCGCTATCAAGAAGTGTTAAAACACCTTATTCTTGAGAAATGATAATGAATGTGAACTATAATGTACTTTATGACATCGGTATATTCTATGATATGCATGGTACTATGCTTTTTCAAATATTGATGACGATTCGTATTTCCATCAGATGGACCATTTGTGTGTTTGCTCTACCAGTCCAAGTTATGTCAAAAAATTGGGAAATTCTTAGTAAATATTAATATAAAATAGAGTGTTGATTATTATGATTACAACATCTGCGTGACGATGACGTGTAGAATTATTGGTTCGTTGCCCGGCCGGCTGTATCGACCCGTGACGTCACTGGGGTGGCTTCCGCCACAACCCCTCTGCACGCTTACTCGATCGACGCAAACTCGTTCCCGTATGTATAGCACATTATGCCCAATTCTTTTACTAAATAAATTAAGTATATACTACAGTTTAGAAAAATCCACGTACCATGAGCTACGGTAGGTTCAGAGTTGGTGACCCTTGCACGTTTACATAAATTTGGTGATAAGTAAAATAAGATCAAATCCGTACACCCGCTTAAATATCGAATTTAATTTTATCGTACTATTTATTTATAAGTCAAAGTCTTAATGGTCTTAATTAAATAACGAAATATATTCATTTAGAACATGTGTCTGATAAATTCATTCATTCATCAGACAGCGTTCATCATACTTTTAGCTCATATAGTGTCAGGACGTAATCATAAAAAATAATATAATAACGGGAGGTGTTTAATAACATTATCAAGATAAATATCTCGTTTACAATTGTAAAGAACCGTGAAAAAAGTTTAAAACACTGAAAATATGATAAATTAGATATTGCCTCCTTTAAATTCGATACTCTTATTACATATTGCCGCTATTATTTTTTTAGTTTTTACACTATTTGGGCGGAGGTGTGATCTATGTCCACTTACCTAAAAGGATCAGCGCCGCTAGAGCGGCAAATCCCGTAAAGAGTCCCATGTTTCACTCACACCAACACTTCACTTAAGCACTTTTTAGTCACTTGACCAGAGAAAAAATTACGAAGTCACTAAAACAAAGCGAAGAACCGGGCACAGCCCGAATCTGTAACAAAAAAATATTTATTTAGGATAATATACACACATCATCATCATTATTATTATCATCATTACATAATATAAAATAAAGTCTCTGTCGCTGTCTGTCCCTGTAAATGAAATAATCTCTAAAACTACGCAACGGAATTTGACGCGGTTTTTTTAATAGATAGAGTGATTCAAGTGAAAGGTTTATATATATAATACATGTACACCCGTGCGAAGCCGGCGGGTTTAGCTAGTTAATTCATATTATAAAGTCAATTTATTAGTTGCACTACAGTAGTAAGGTTAAGTGATTAATATACTTTAGCTATGTATCCAGGTATACATGAACGAATATTCAATGCCTTCTCCGAAATATTAGACTTATGGAAGATTTAATAAAAATTGGTTATGTGCCCTTCCACCAAGCAAATTAATAGAAACTTGCTACAAGTAATATAACGTATTTTAAACAATTATATGACTGTATGTAAGATATCTAAGGTATATCCTATATAGTTTGGTGGACATCGAAAGAACTATAGATAGATAATACAGGTATGGAACCTACCATATCACGCAACATTGTTTATTTTATTGTATGTAGGTAGTAACCTACACGCACCCGTTCATTATAGTTAATGCAGTTTCATTGTTCGAACTGTTTTAAACAGGATGCCGAAAAACAAGTAGGTAAGTCTGATTTTTCATAAATTTATTCACACTTTTAACTTGTTTAGTCATTTGTTTTCTTATTAATAAAATTAATAATTGAATTGTTAGAATTTCCCAGTATAAGTATCCATAAGTGAATAAAAATCGAATTCTTACTAAAAATACTATACATAACTACATACGGTAGATTTTTTCGTAGTCTCCATATAACCTACCTACCTCAATTAGCCACTTATCCCAACAATAATTTTTTTCTTCAGGTACATTATGTAAAATTATCTTATCTGTAGTTAGATTATGTATGCAATTGTTTTTACAAAAAATAGTCTGAACGTTACGTAAGTATATTGTACATACTTTAACTTGATGCAGTAGTGATGTGAGCTACTTATTAACTGATTGAGATAGAATCAGGCGGTGACATCATATTATGACCAATTTGTCCAACAGCTATGAGAGCGTATAAAGATAATAAATATTATGCAGAATTATTTATTTGCCAACGAATTATTAGGTCATTAATTTAAGTTTTTAATAGTAGTTTTATTTAGTTTATATTGTAGACAATGTTGCCGATTGTGACACATTATTTCAACACATACCTATTAAGAGCCTAATACATGATTTAGATGAAACTTTCACTATTGAAACTAATGTATTGTTGTTCCAGACTGACAAGACACCATGAAATAAAATATAAGCTTCCAACTAATTGCTTTATCTATTTTATTTAATACGCGCTGATCCGCGAATCTTTGTCAGCAGGAGAGAAAGCAATCATAATAAATAAATTTAATTTGGACGTTAAATGGGCTATCTAACACTAAAATACACTTTTCAATTCAAATCAGTAGTTCCCTAGTTTAGCACGTCCAACAAACCGAAAAACTCTACAAAGCTGTAGAGATATTTTGCTAAAAAGCTTTCATTTTAGTATAAAATTTAATATCACCATTAAATAAAAATGAAATATATTACCATACATATGTATATACAATACAAGTCGATAACATAGATCAAATATATATCAGATAACATTTTACTTATCAAGTTTATCTATGTATGTAGTCATTTTGCCTGGATAAATACAATTAAAAACGCCAATTGAAAATGTAGCCTGTGGAGTAAACTACGGGCAACTTACGGGTAAAAAATCCGATATTGTATCCTAATTATTCTTGAACGTTTCAATAATAATCCATTATTAGAGATAAAAATAATATATAATTACATGCCTACTTTGGTCATTAATACTGATTCACCACTCTACCTAACTCTATAAAAGTGATAAGTTTATTTGTCGTTATACTATAATATTTCCTTCTTTCGACTCATGTTCCTTGGTGAAAGTTATCTTTTCACGATCGTTCGATTTCATATTGTTCTCATTACACCTTGTTCTACTTAATTATCTACATATTTATGTATCCAAATAATGCCTAATAAAATAAATTTGTACTTATACTATGGCGATTACTGAATAATTGTGTTTTTGTGAATGTAGTAAGCAGTAATTTGTTTCTAATTAAAATGCATAAATACACGAGGGCGTTGTAAATTACTACAACATGCCTTAGAAAGTATACATGACGCTGTACATGAGTGACGGAAGGTTATTTTTGGCGCCGTTATCCAGAAATGGCTACGCTGAGTTCGTGTTTAGATTTCACAAGAGAGAATGTTCAGAACTTTTAAACCCATACCGGTATAAGATGTTGCTTACTTTATAATAAAATTTTGGTAAGTGCACAATGATTGCATATGATAAGCTTATCTTTATACCTTTCATGATAAACAATAAATCAGTAAATTTACTTGTATTTTCAATGAGATATATCTTTTGAAGGAAAGAGAATCCGGTCTGCGTAGCGTAGATAACATAAAATTTGTTTACTTATGGTTACTATCCACCCTGACTGAATCGCACTTATTATGCGTACACATGTTCAAACATTTCTTCACTTAAAACTTCATATACGTATCAAGTACATTTCAATTACCTACTTCAATTATATACTACAATATAGCCATTTTATACCCACTACCTACGTAATAAAAGGTAGGTACGGGAGCTACCTGCCAAAATAAAAAAAAACTCGCTTAGCCAGGTTGCCCGTATCTTTTGCACCTGCTCTGAAACTCGCTTGTTTGGACAAAACCGCCATATGGTGAGAATTTTTTGCTCGGGATTTTATATTATTTCCGTTTCAATATAGGTGATTCGTATTTATAGGCTGCGTCTTTAAACTCGGGAGTATGTAATCTCTCGCTCACGTCCTGAAGAATTCTAAATTAGGGGATGAGTTTTCAAAAATAAGACGTATTTACTAATGTTTGAATATCATATATAATTTATCTGTGGATTCTAGTAGGTATATTTTTTATTCAGCAAAACAGTATTGATTCTTTCTTTAATCGTTTGATATATTTTTTTAGTAACACAATATCTATAATATTTACTTGTATATATTTAGTACAATATTTATCACAGAAATTAGTTTTCCTAACATAACAAACATAAAGTCAAATAGAAACCTGTCAGAAGTTATCCTTAGAAATTTATTCTCACATCTTGAAATCGAAGTGGACAATGCGGTTTTAGGGGATTTTTCCTACGCGCACTCTCAGATTTAGACAGTTTTCTCGAGAGACTACAGCACGAGGTTTTATAAAAAGGAAACAAGAATCGTTAACGCACACGCAAACGACACACCTGGCAGGGTTTGTGGCGTCTATAGCCTACGGTAAGCATTTACCTTCAGTTGAACCTATGCCTGTACTCCATAAAAATATAATTAGGTACTAGAGTACTTACGTACTAATTTTAATATACCTAAAATAATACAGTTTGTAGTTGAAACGGCTCCTGAATGTTCATGGACGACGCTAGGCGCTACAGAACAGACCGTACACCTAGACAGACATTATGCACCACGCCAATTTAAGAAAATAGAGCGACCGGTTTTAGTGTGCGTATACTAATATTATAGGTATTATATACACATATAGGTAGGACCTACAACAAAAAGGTAATCTAATTGTTTATAAAAAGACGCGAGTTATTCAATGAAGAAATAAATGCAAGTAATATGATTAATCAAAGAAAACACATGTGTTTTCTTTAATTAACCACCGGTAATATTACCTATACCTAGAGATAGTTTTATATACATTTTATTTCTATAAGTGCGACCCTATACCTACTGTATAGGTTATAAATAAGATAAGGAATATCTAAACCAAGTTATTTAAGTTAACTACTTTATCTTTGATATTCATTTTTAGATATTGTATATCGTTATACCTACCTATTAAACCGATTCAATACTATGCAACCACACATAACTCAGCATTTCTTAATATCCGCCACCCACCGGCAATCTATACAGAGAATTTATTAGTCGTAACAGTCCACGCATCGGACTTGATGAATTAATATTTATTTGTCAAGTGCACATTTCAGCTTCTATAATCAAATTGTCTTTATCAGATTCTAAATTGCACGATAAACTTGAAATGCGGAATGAATAATAATTTCGATTTTATATTCTACAGCGACAGCGACCGCCATGTGACTTCTAACGATGGCTTCCAGATAAACTAAATGTAGTCAGTTTATATATTACGTGTCAATATAAATATAAATCGACTATAGAAGTTATAATCAAAGGAAATAAACTAGAACTTGATATCATACACAAGCGACTCTACAATGCGAAGACAACATCGTTATCGATCGTAGTAGCGCCTTGCCTCGTCGTCGGGCGTTATTTGCAAAAACACTTTTGTGACACAAAAGTTTTCAGAAACAAGGATTATTGTTATATATTATGCTTACCTGTGAAGAGAGAGAGCGGCGGCTCAGCGCAGCAGCCTACACTTTAACTACACTTTAACCACAACACACACAAAGAGACGAGCGGCAACGACCGACTCGTCCAAGGTCCAGACGCGGAATGAGTAAGTAATCTGTTCTCTAGATAGGACATGAACGGCCGATGACACTCGACCAAAAGAAAAGGATGGATAAAATAGTCGTTTCACTCGCACACAAGCCGCCAAGGAAGCACCCTAGCCCTAGCGGCGAGACGAGAATTTGCCGGGGGGCAGGGCAGGATCCATTAATTGCGCACGCAGGACATTCGACGTGTATACAACTGTACAATAAAATTTATAAATAGGTAGAGGACATACATCATTTTAAATCGGATATTTTTTTAACTTTTAGGTATTTTCAGCGACTGCAAGCATCCTGCTGGGAAATGGTAGCAGTAAGCAGTTTGTTAAAAAAACTGTAATGATTGAAATTTTCGACTTGCGTATTTCAATTCGAATAATACTAATAGTATTAAGTGGTACTGTTACCAACAATTATAATGTCTAAAGAAATTTTGGTTATAGATACTTCCTTATTCACAGATTATTTGTGTCAAAAATTGAAATAAAAACGAGTAAGATCTTTTGTTGTTCAATAAAATACAATTTAGGTAATTATATTTTTCAGATTAATTGCTCTGATATAATGACAATTCAATTATTACAAACAATTCAAGTATTCGTATATAATGACGATGTTTTTCATTTTAGCGCAGGTAGGTACATACATATTTATATTTGCTAAAATTTAAAAACCAGTAATAAGTTTGAATAAAATTTATTAAAATTAACAAAATTTAGCCTAACATTTCATAATATATTAGTAGAAAAATAAGTAATCATAAAAACCTTTTATTATATACTTTAATATATATATAAATTTATTACAAATTTCAATGTCCTTATGTGGCCATAATTTATTTTCTTGATTTCAATAGTTTACTTCAGTGACTTTTAAACTGACTGAAATAAAAATGGGACATTTACGCGAAATCGATTAGTTTTATACCTCTGATCATAAATTACAATAAAGTTCTCTTATTCATAATAACGTTAACGTTCTATAAAATATAATCTCATTATTTATATGCAAATATTGTCTCAATAGGAACATTATAAAAAATATTTGAGAAAATATTTTATATAAATTATATATAGGCACTAAAATGGCACATACAAAAAAATTCGCAATTTCTTACCTTCTAAAAATGTTATTTTAATAAATAGTAAAATAAATACAAGTAATATCGAAAAGGCTACAAGGGTTTCTGTGTTACCAAACTAGTGTGAATTAATAATATTATTTTATAATAACGAAAATTATATAATCGTTCAAAGTATTTAAACACAAAGATAAAAAGAGAAAAATCCAACATAATAAAAAATATTTTAAACTTTAAAACAATATTGCGTATGTAGATGGATGCTGCAAGTAACCTCTATCCAAAAAGTAGACGCAAGAAACATATTATTACATATATAAATCATGAAATTTCCGTTTAGTTTTCGATATAGATTTAGATGATAAATTTTTAGTACAAATATAACGCTAATAATAATAAGTTTCTATGTCACTGACTGAACCACCACTAAAGCCTTTCAGATCAAACAAACTGAAGGTCAGATGCTACGCAGTCTATGTACATGAACAGCACTCATACGTTCCCATTCTGGAGGACTCAGATTTCATGCCTATTGTAATGTAATTTCACACTTTGCAACCAAAACAGCTTATAACGACTTTTCTCCATTTGCCAAATGTTATCGATAAGACAAAGATACCCACGCAGACGAACTTTTAAAATTTACCTCAACAGTAAGCTCCTAAAACATGCAAAGAAATCGTTCTAGTGGCTAGATGGTAGTCGCGTATATGCCTTCAACAGAAAAATAATAAAATGTTATTAAACGAAAAAATAAAAATCAAATCTGAAAGGGTTACAATGCATTCAGTTTTTATAGAATATACAGTTCGTTTTTAATTCGTAATTGACTATAATAGTATTATAATAACATTATATAATATATGTATATTTAGCACTTTGAGAACATTCGTTTAAAATAATCACACCATAATATAGAAACATTAGGACTAGACGAGAAAGTAAAGTAGGGAATAATTTAATACTCACAATTAAATAGTAATTATTTTACAATTTGAATAAATGTGTTAAATAGTACCTACAAAAATCTAAAGGATAATCAACCTACTGATACAATGACATCTACCTATAACTTATATCTACCTATACTTTATTACTCTAATTTAATGGAAGTAGGATTTTGAAAATTACAACGACGACACAAATTACCGTTAACTAGTTTTTCGTGATATATCTATACAAATATATATTATTATAAATATATATTGTAATTACTATGCAAACTTTACAGGTATATACCGTTAATACTTGCTTGACCACACTTTATAAATGAAACTATTTATAAGAACTTTTCCTCTACCCCCCCCCCCCCCCCCCCCCCCCCCCCCCCCCCCCCCCCCCCCCCCCCCCCCCCCCCCCGCCCTTACTTTATTAGATGTCTCTATAAGCGCAACAAAAATTAAATAAACAATTCGGGTCACAAACACATTTCATTACGTATTCATTTTAGGAGAACCGACGTGTATACGTTACCTGGTACACGTCTGAGACTTTCTGCTGGGCGTCAATGTATGCATCGTAGTCTGCCAGATGAAGGAACCGGTCGTGGTGCAGCAGTACATCGGCGATGTGCGCAAACCGAGTGGGCTCCTCTGGAGAGAAGTACCCACTGCGGATCTGCTCGATACATTGCCGTAGTTCCGGGTTGCGCTCGTAATATTCGTATGCGTTGTACCTGCGTATGTATATATTGTATTTTTGTAACTTTGAACTCTTTTTTCTCCAAGAAACTATATGGTTTGAGGGAAAGTTGTAGAACAGAAGTTGTTGATTACCATTGTTACTTTTACATTCTTGTGGCTTAGCACAACTTTCCGACATAACGTAAAATTTCAGAACTAAACGGCTTCAAGAATCTTAATGTCAGTTGACGTAAATATTAATTGCATCACGAGGACGGACATGGGTTATCCTTTATCTAAAAAAGGCAAGTGGGTACAAAACACTGATACTTTATTTCCTAGCAGCAATAGTGACAACTTACGGTCTATGGCATGCATATCATATTCGTATGGTTTATGTTTATGAACTGTAGTGTTTCTTAGCCATAGCTTTCTCTTTCTATCAGAAAGAACGAGCATATTGACAAAACTGAGCTGTATATAAAATAAATCCGAGGTACACTTTGTAAAAATTCGCCTGCGTGAATACATCAGTCTCACCTATTTCAGCCGCCATGCAGCTTATAATCTCTGTTTTTGTGTAGATTGAAATCTCACAGCCTAATGTGAAATTACTGGATAAGGATCATGACATTTTAGTTTTGTGGAATGGCAACGAATGATTGGTAACATTAGTGTCACATAATAACTTAATGTCCGTAATGCTGTTCATGTATATAGTCCATTGTGACCGTAACCATCAGGTGGGTCGTCAGTTTCTTTGTTATTCAAATTACATAAAAAAATAGATTTAAGAACTTATTTACCCGCTACGCTGTAATTTCTCAACGTCGTTAACCCTCATTCCAAAAATGAACATGTTCTGCTCGCCTGCTTCTTCCGCCATTTCGACGTTGGCGCCATCCATGGTTCCAATGGTGATAGCACCGTTCAGCATGAACTTCATATTACCGGTGCCCGATGCCTCAGTCCCGGCAGTCGAAATCTTGTGATAACAATTATTTGTTAATATCACAATAATTATAAAAATGTTTTCAGTAATTATAAAAAAGTTAGGCGGAAATTTCAGCGCACACGATTATATTTTATAACAAATTGTTTCAGACTATTTTTTTCTAGTAATAAATAAATAGTCTACGTCACTAAGGGATAGTGTAGTATTAGAATTTAATACAACCTTTAAAATCAGGGTTTTTTAAAAAAAAAATTCAATTTTAATTTTAGTCTTCAGTTTATTCGTTACAAATATAAAAAAATCAAATGTTTCGTCGTTATAATATTAGTGTAGATATAATTTACGTTTAAATAAATCACAATAATTACCTGTTCACTGAGATCTGCAGCAGGCATGATACGTTCGGCCAACGTCACTCGATAGTTCTCCAAATATATAAGCTTCAATTTATCACCGACGTCCGGATCATTGTTTACCTAAATATATTAAAAATTGCATAAATATAATATATATTGAATTGAACAGTACCGCGAAAAGTCTCAAATATTTCAGCCTCCAAACAGATGGCTTTATAAGCTGTATTTTACTTATTTTTAAACTTTCGTTACACGGGTTTTAACACAAATAACTTTCAGCTAACTTGTGACCACGCCTAGTGCAATCACATTGCGGGTGTTACATGATAACGTGACGTCCGTAGCGTGCTATATAGTCGACATTTACCACTTACCATCGGCTGAGCCATCAGCTTAATTGCTATTTCATTTACATAAAAAAATATAAAACATTATTAGCAATAAATAATACATATATTAAAACATTAGCACTACTTACGGTCTTTCCAACTGCACAAGCTAATGCAATAATTTGCTTAGCAACGTAATAACCCGGAGCAGCTTTTCCACCGATCATCACTGTTCTAGGAGTAACCACAGAGGACGGGTCACGCTTGATCCTATTGTACATCGTAACTACATGTAATATATTCAACAGCTGACGTTTGTATTCATGAATCCGTTTCACTTGAACGTCGAACATGGAAGCCGGATTAATCTTCACACCAGTATCCCTTTCAATCAATGATGCGAGTTTCAACTTATTTTCTTGCTTCACCTTCATAACAGCTCGCTGAAAAGCCGGATCCTTGGCCCATCGCTTCAAGTCTTGCAGTTTGTCTAAATGTACCGTCCAATCTTCGCCGATTTTATCACATATCAAATCAGAGAGTCCAGGATTACATAGCAACAACCAACGTCGTGGGGTAATACCATTAGTCTTGTTCTGGAATTTCTCTGGCCACATCTCGTAAAAATCACGGAAGACAGTTGCCTTAAGAATATCAGAATGTATGGCAGCGACCCCATTAACAGCATGTGAACCTACTATACATAGATTGGCCATGTTGACGCGTTTTTCTCCTTCTTCCTCGATCAAAGACATACGACGCACGCGATCCGCATCACCCGGCCATCGTTTCTCCACTTCTTGAAGATGCAGAAAGTTAATATGATAGATCAACTGCATGTGACGTGGTAATACATTCTCCAGCATGGAGCATGGCCACCTTTCTAACGCTTCCGGTAATACAGTATGATTAGTATATGCACAGCACTTAACAACTAGTTTCCAAGCATCATCATATGGCACTTTTTCTATGTCGACGAGAACCCTGAGAAGCTCGGGAATAGCTAAGGCAGGATGAGTATCATTCAATTGTATGGCAACTTTCTCAGGCAAACTATCGAATGTTGTTCTGACAGCTTCGCGGCTTCCGAACTTAGACGCCTTGTATCTCCTGATAATGTCTTGAAGCGTAGCAGCGCACATGAAATACTCCTGACGTAGACGCAACTCCTTACCCTCGAAGAAATTATCATTGGGATAGAGAACTCGAGAAATATTCTCAGCGATATTACGATCAAGGACCGCCTGTATGTAATCACCAGAGTTAACTGAAATAAAAAGTAAATATTACAAAATTATTATTAAATGCAGTAATAATAATAATGGCATATAAATAATACCGTGAAATGTGGATTATGTAATTATATATATTCGAATTAAAGTCCGTCCGTCAAATTACGTCCTTTTAGGACCTACCGATAAGTCTACTCGTTCTTTGTCCGAACTCAATTCAAATAACCAACGTATTATTCCTTACTATACATATTTCCATATTATAACAAAACTAAACTGTTGAAATTAATAAAACCAAATGGTACAATAATACTTACAGAACCGTAGATTGAAGTCAATCGGACTCTTGGCTGACCAAAGCCGCAACGTATTGACTACATTGTTGTTGTAACCAGGAATTGGATTGTCATACGGCATCGCGAACACCACCTAAAAGTTCATATGATTTATTTACATTAAAATAAAACATACAAGGTATCAAGAATTTATCTTATCTTATAACATTGTAAACTAAACAGTTCCGTTTAATTATAGCAATATATATAGACTAAAAGAAATCATAAGGTGGTGGTCAAAAACATAAAAAATTCAATAACAACAACACGTCTTTTCATCTTTACTTATAATAAAATCATGACGAGTATTAAAACCCTCTGTGTATTTTTAAAAGGCGAGGCCGTTATGCCAGTAATCCAGGCTACACACTCGCAGGTTAAACAAAACTGAGAAAAATACCCCCCACAGTAAATAAATGAATGTTGCAAAAATTTTCAATAAGTTACCCACTATTTTATTAATTAATTTATTAATCAAATAATAAATGACGTTATATATATAATATATATGTCATATTTATTGTTGTCGTTTGATTAATACTAATAGGTGGCGAACTACAAATGTAAACGTACAAAGTCGCTGTCACCAGTGAAGGATAAAGAATAGAATCAGGTCACTTAGCGCATGACGGTAAACACCAGAAACTAGACACGATAATTTCCACTTGGCTCTTAAACTAATACAGGAATTGCTAGACAATAGCCTTCATTATAAACAATACCATCCATACTGTCTCTTAAAAACATAAAAATACGAATTCAATTAAAAATATCCTTCCTTTAGAAGTCTGTTAAAGACTGTAATTCTTGCGGATTATACTTCGTACTCATGCATAAACAACTTTATTAGGTTAAAGAAATAGATAACGTTAGGGCATTTAGATGTGGACGGCATTGACACTAGCAATTATGGTTAAGACATAGAATCTATATACAGATATATAACTGCCTCGACTTTTGCTACAAACTCCATATGTGTTTGTAGCAATATTCGAGGATTTTGCTCTTCAACTGCGTTACGTAGTTTGTTAGCCTACTAACAACTAATAAGTGAAAATGTATTATGAAATGTTAAAAATTAGGTTTTTTGTTATTTGTTGAGACAATTTTATTAATTGAGACAAATAAAGAGATTATTATTATTTTTATTATTGTACAATTCTTAAATTTTGACATAGGTTCGACTCTCTAAAACATTATATCAGATGACTCGTGCCGTTCGGAAAAATTTAAGTATATGTGTTAATTACTTAAACTATAATTACAGTCAATGCTAAGCAACTTGAAATTTATCTAAAAATACAGTAGTGTTATAAAGCTCCACCTTCCAGGTCGCATACTAGCCTATCTATGCCACACATACTTGTATATACTGACCTGACTTCATCATAATTATCATCCTTCATTGATAATCTGCTTGCATATTCTGTTAGGCGGATAGGCCATTCTGTACCCATCTATTAATATTCACCTGACTGAAAACGGGTCAAAATTGACCCATTATTTACGTTTTTCTTTATAGCTTTTTTTAAATTATATTCCTTCTGATAATTCTCCTAAAATACTCTGTTAAAACATAAGCAATAACGAAAACAAAAATGATTGGAAATCGTAAGAAATATTCTGAAAGATAAATTTATGTGCAGTAATAAGTCTATTACTCTAAGACATAGAGACACCCTGGAACTACTGCGCAAAAGAGGAGGATAGGGAACCATCTTAAGGTTCATAAATATTATAATAATTATGGTTACATATAATTCTATTCATTCATTTTTTTATTCTAGGTTCCACCTGATGAAGAACTATGTCTTTTCAATTGAAGGAATGTATTTGTTTACATTTTACGTTATATATAAAAAATATTTTCAATAATAAATCAGACTTAATTAAATAAACTCTGTTTTATTTAAAAACCACAAATTATTTTAATAATACCAAAATATGTTTATTTATAGAATAATAAAAAAGAATGAGTCAACATTGAACATATCAGTTTTATAATTATTTCAGTCATGTGAAGGTTAAAAATAGTTGCGTAGTTAAGTAATATGAATGAACATATCATGCATCTCACGATATTGTTACTGTCGTCGTCAAATGACTAATACTAGATATAATCACAATTCTGTCATTCAACAGCACAGTGAACAGTGATCTGTTATCAGTTGTGTCAGTATAATTCAAATACTCTTAATTGTTTATCTCAATAACAAAATAGTGAATATAAAAAAGTTGCTAAAAGTTTACTATGCTTGTGGGGACTGGTCAGCTTTGATCACTGAAACCTACCACTGATTAATTTTGTTACTCAATTAACTATATGTGTATTCAATATTTTGGCTCTACAATACAATCTACCAATACATATATTGGTAGATTGTATTTACACCAATTTTAACTTAAAATATAAAGTTTTTAAATAACAACAAACAAGCTTCTTGTCTGAAACATGTTTTCTGTGGGCTGAAGTGGCATTTCGAAAGAGTTGTAGATTGAAAAATATGACTATTTAAGTTTATTTGAATAAACATAAAGTCATGTTCAATGTTTTTTAAGTATTTTCGAGTATACCTTAACTATTACAAACATACCTGAGTATCAACCCATTTCTTCCCTTCCGATGTGTCAACAACTTGACCGTAAAAATTAACAGGCAACATGTATTCGGGACGGGCTTTCTCCCATGGGTTGCCATAACGCAGCCAATCATCGGGTTCCTCCTGTTGCTCACCGTTCTCTATTTTCTGTGCAAAGATACCATATTCGTACCGTATTCCTATTGAAAAAAAAGGATACAATAATAGGATTTGTAATTGTAAATAATATCATTCTACACAATAATACTGATATATTATCGATTACTTGTCGGAAGAATTTTTTATTATTATCTCCGAAAAGGATGGAGCGTAGCAAATGCGGCAAAGGGGAAAAAGTGATTGTTAGTAATGTGTCAAATTCTATCTACATACAATTATATATACAAGTATTTTATTAGTTGTCTAGTACCCATAACAGACGCTCTGTTTAAAATGTTATGAAAACTTAAGACTGGATGACGATGTGTGAATTGTCTTGGGTTATTATGTAAATAGCAACAATAACAAGATTGGACTTGTCTTATTTAATTATAGAAAAAAACATGTTTCTTGAAATAAATTCAACCCCACTATTTCTAGTCCATACACATTTAATTGGCGTACCGCCAACGTGTTGTTGTCAACTGCTTTGAAGAATTTAAATTAATCAACTGCTGTATTTATGATAGTGTCATGTTCTAATGTATTCAGACATGATAGGTAGAGACTAACTAATGACATCAGTGTGGATAGGGAGTAGATTGGTACCAGTAACCCTTTTATTAGTTATGTATTGAGTTCAACTTGCATGTAGTCCTCTCTGGAATCTCAGCTTATAGTAATAAATTCCTGGTGATTTTGTCACAATGTGATAACTGACCTGACTTCATATTTATATGCTATCATCTACTATCAATATAATACTGTCATATCCTCTACTGATATTCCACCAGCTTATACCGTTAAAATAGGCAGGTGCACCATACAATAGCATTATGATAAAAAAAACCAGATAAATTATAATAACCAATAAATACACAAATTACATATAACAATCACACCACCATTAAATAAAATACAAATGCAAAGAACAATAATAATAATGATGGAACAAAAGACCATTGGACAAGTTAGAATGAAATCTATACTCACAGACTACAGAAAAAAAATAAAGCAGAAAGTTTAAATAAACAACTTTAGTAGTATAAAGACATACCATAACCATAAGCTGCTAATCCAAGGGTGGCCATAGAGTCAAGGAAGCAGGCAGCAAGCCGTCCAAGGCCTCCATTGCCAAGACCAGCATCCTCCTCTAATTCTTCCAATTCCTCAATATCCAAGCCCAATTGATATAAAGCCTCATCCACTGTACCTTGGATGCCCAAGTTAATCATTGTATTCTGGAGTGAACGTCCCATGTAGTACTCCAAGGAAAGGTAATAAACACGCTGTTAAAAAATAATATCTATTATAGATTCTATATACATTTATGAACAAAATCATGATATGAAAATTAATTAAGTAACTTTCACCATCATGATAAATTCATGGTGAATTTATCATGATGGACCAACTAACCGGATTCCTTGCTCATCTTGCCATCCTCCACTAGTGCCTTAGCCAGCATAAACCATTATCATAACAAAAAGGAAAATTATCAAAACAAAAAAATATATGATATAATATAGTGTAATGTGTGCAAGCACTGAGTTCATAATATGCATTTACCAATGAGTATTTTCTATAGATCCATTATTAAAATATAAGGATTTCAATTCAATTTAAAAGAAGAAAATAATTTCTTGTAACTCCTAAATATAATAGTAATGCTAGTTGCACAGTACTAAGTTATCCTGTAGCTAAATTATTAAGCCCGGAAGATGCTGCAATGATGAAATTATTAAGTCTATAATGTTAAGAATACACAATATATTGTAGTTTGAAACAAAATAAACTAATCAGATAAACATATTATAAAATGATTAACATTGGTTAGCTCAAGGTAAATATCAACTGATAAGATTAACTATAACATTTATATTTTATTGAAGGATATTTATTATTGCAATTTCAATTTATTATAGCAAATATTTTAATGTAACTAAATCTAAGTAGAATATAACTATCATCATCATCAATCATCATTAAATAATATTAGCACATTTTCAACTTGATTGTATGATGAAGGTAGGTCAACTTGGAATGAGATTAGTAAGAAAAATCAGAAATTTTTAAGAATATAATCAATAATTTTATATTGACTCTGGCTATCTCATCTTGGGGTACACAGAGTTCAATATGTTTTATTGACACAGCAATTTATCGTTACAAAAGTGATATAAAGAAGCAGTTCATATAAGTTAAAAGTACCCACACATGCAAAAAATACAACTATGGCAAGTTATGTTTCATATTACTAAAAAGTAAAAGATTTTGATTTTAAATGAAATTAAATACCTTGGGATCCTTTTCGTAATAGTATTGTTGAGTACGAATCCACCTAGAGACGAGGTGGTCCCTGACTGTGTGAGCTAATGCAAAATAATAATCTCTCGGAGTAGCAACATTTCTGTCTTTCACCAACGTATAGTGTACATGGCGATTAAAAGCTTTCTTCACCTCAGTTACATTCTCTACAGCAACGATACCTCTAACAGAGATTTGTTTACGTTTATCCGAATCAGTTACTACACTCATCTTGATTAATTATTGGGCAGATTAAACCCCAGCCGTAAACACTACAACAACACTGTAACAAATCAGACTGACTGAGCGGCTAGCTAGCCAGCTGGGTAGTCCGCGTATCGGTCACCTTCAGAAGGTCAAATCCTGTAACTGGTAGTCCACAACACAGACAAATATGGCAAATTGATTTGTTTTTTGTCAATTGATAGTAATCAAGGCAGAGTTGCAAACTTGAAATTGAATGCGTCTAGATGGTTGTATTTATATATTGCAATTCTAAGTTTTAAATCCGGTGAATTTAATGGTTCGCGGTTCGACATTGACAAATTGATGATGACAATTGACAATATGTTTTGTCACTGTCATATTGAATGTCAATTTTGACATAGAAAGCTTTTTTTTATTATTAATAATGTTTGTACGGCTCTGGATGACAAAAAAAGCAAATAAACCATATAGCTTTAAGCTATTGAGTTTATTGTTACCCGATTAAGGCGGACGAAGCAAAAAGGTAGATAATATTAAAAAAAACTATGATTTTATTTTATATCTACTATTTATTAGGATTTGTGCAAACTACACGCTCAGCATCATCCTATTCTAGAGAATTTATTATCTACCTACATTTTACATACAATGCAGCTTCATTTTAAACAAAATATTTATGTATGACTTATGTAATATTCTTTTTCTGCACGTCTTATTTGGAGGTAATCATTTGTTTTTTCAAGGCCTCAATAAAAACAGAACCATTATTTTAATAGAAACAATACAAGTCTTCCTTGCCTTGTATTATATAAATTCATTATTGGTTGTTGGTTACAAGGGGTCTTTAATAATATATCATTTAACATACATACAACAAAAATACATAATTTCGAGCCATCTCATAAAATCACGTATGGTCACATACAGGCTATTTGCCAATCATAGCACGACAAATCACTTTGATTTTAGCTTGTGCTACAGCTGATAAAGACACGAATATACCTGAAAGCCCTAGACTTTAGGTCAGTTAGATAACTTACATACCTAAAGGTAAAGTAACCCCATAGATTAAAAAAGAATTCAAAGGCTTCAATTGACTTTATTAGATGTATGTATAAAATTAACATTGTAAATTGTAAATAGATTTTTATATTAAACTTAACAATTTAAGATATATAATTATGATCATAACATAACATTTAAGCTTTCAAAAACACTTAATACGGTACAAACTTAAAATTAAAAAAAAACTATTTACCTAATGAAAATAGTCTCAATTACGATAATGAGAGAATACACTTTAGTTTAAATATATAAATTATATCTACAATTACAGATTCAAAATTGTAACGACTTCAAATCAAGTACATACATAAGGTAAATCCGTGAGCGAGAGAGTATGTCACGGAAGATTTTGTATTAGTAATTTAATTTGAGGTGAATATCACAGCAGAAGTAACATTTTCTACACAAATAAATTTATAGATTTTAATTAAATAGCAGTTGAGTAGAAATAAATTATAAAACCAACCCTAGTAAAAAGTTTCGATGTTTCTGAAAAAATGTAGTGTTGCTAATTGTAAATATTTATCTACCTAGTGATGTACCTAGTTTAGTTACATGGAGCTATTGTTATATAGTCATCTTTAAGGTAATATTAAAAATTAAATTGCATATAAAAGGTAACTATTAAATATTCAGTATATAAATATTTCATGTAGGCAAAGTTAAAGCATCGCACCAATATACAAGACGAATTTCATATCGCAATAGTCATTTCAATCAGTACTAGGCGATGAACGATAGAGCAAATATTGCTTCAGTTTGCGTTTAAAGCATTGCTTGATTATAGTTTCTACATATAATGAAATAACAACAATCTTATACAATATTATTTGTCATACAGATTTGAGCCGCAGTGTAATTAAGGCCCTGAGAAGGTACATTATATTATTTCTATAATGCAGTAGTTAATTAACAACTAACATCTGTAAGTGAACTCAATTTGCCATTCGTGGACGGATATCATCTCCAATAGGCGAACTCGTAGAAGGGCACATATATATTTGTTGAGGATATAAGTCGCCACGCAGTCTCACAGCTTTGGCACCGGCAGGAGAGGCCCGATATTCTAACTCGCCTATTAGAATATCGTCGGCATATATGGACCATTCGTTTGGACCACGTACAATGCGGAATGTAGTCTGAAAAATGTATAAGAAATCAATTTTGAGTTTACAGAATACATTATCAACTTCAAGATATATTAAGATGGTGAAAATTCTCAGGGTAATTTTATTATTATAGTATCCATGAATGATTCGATGAATGAACAATCCGGCCGATTATTAAATATAATCGGCCTTGGTGGTCTAGCGGTTTCGTTTTAGCATACCGCCCTACTTTCGATGGTGGCACAAACATTTGTATTCATGAGTATAATTGTTTGTATCAATTTGGGTGTTTTCTATATACAGAAAACACCAAAAATATATTATATTATGTATGTATTACAAAAAAAAAATGTATATCAGATGTCTAGTACCTATTACACAAGCTCCGCTTATTTTGGGACTAGATTGCGCTGAGTGAATTATCCTGACATATTATTATTATGATCAAGTGACACGGTAAGGCTCACAGTTTTTGCGGGCACGAGTCGCGCAGTCCGTTGGCGCCGCTCAGGCCCCCAGGAGCCAAGCCAAGCGTTGAGTACGACGAGCTGCCGGTCCCGCTGTGCCTGATCGTATGCGCGAAGGTTAACGTGTAGCAGCACGTTTGGGCGTGGCCACTCGCGGGCTGCATCAATCAGATCTATCGCGAACGAGTGCAGCAATGGACGCAATCTGTGACAATATTAGTCTATTTTTTCATAAATGTATGTACAGGCAAGCACTTAAGAATTTTTAGGGTTTTCCCGGTCAATTTATACATGACATAAAGTTTCATGATCTATGAAATATATTAGTAAAAGAGGAAGTGCGCTTATTATTATAATGTACTTGTTCTATGTACAATGATATAAGACTGAACCCAATAATGTGTAAGCGCATTAAGTAGTCAATAAATCTGATTCTACATCTAAAGAGTGATAATTAAATACTAATATCCATGATTTAAAAACTCACTTTCCCCGAATAACAATTTGATGACCCTCGGGCAATCCTTTTGTTATGGCAGCAATTACATTCGGCCGCCAGTTCGGCTCGATGCCCTCTATAGAAGCATCTACAGCTGCTCTAACAGGCACCTAAAACATAATTAGATTTAATAGTATAGGCAAAGCAGTCAGTTGACATTACATCTGAATATCCCATGTGGTGTAAACAGTCCTTTAGGTATATTATATTATTATAATTGTCGACAATTGGACATATGTAGTTGAAATTTACATCTAACAAACAATATTGAAGAACAATTTTGAATAACGACAAGAATAAAACAAACTGTTCTATTGTACTAGTTTGTGACATCAAGACCAAAGTTTTTACTGAAACTAGTCTCAAGATTTCCCTTTCTATACTCTGCCAAAGATCCAAGAGGAATGATTTCGCAGTATCATAACGTATGTTGAAAAGAGCATCAGCCAAGTTTTTATCCGTTATCCTTGGCTAAAAATATTATTTAAAAGTGGTTAGAATAATGATTATTTTAATAAAGAACATTTTCATTTTATAACTACAACTGATACAGATAAATGGGTTAGCTCAACATACCTCTATAATAGGTGGTGACAATGTTGGGTATATTTCAGTCTTATGGACGTTTAAAGTAGCATCTCGGATACCCGTTACTTGAACCCAGGCGGCTGTTAATACACTAGGGTTCCTGTGTGCAAAATTGCAATAATGCTCTCCGTCTACTGCCCAAAAAGTTTCTTTCTCATCAACTAGTACTTCTATTGAAAATGGACGATCCAGTTTGAACGGAAATATTCTGAAATCAATATTGGTGTATTTTATAAGTGAATAAGTTACCGAGATAGATTTTTTTGATACACAGTTATCTATTTAACGTACTCACTCTGATGGAGCCTACTGGATTATCGAAACAATTATCATAAAAGATTAAAACGTTTTAAGTTCATTAAATTCGCGTACATAGTTATAAAATATTATACTGTGACAAATGCTGACAAAAAAATAGTGACTAAATTAATATACAAGCGAAAATTTAATTTATCACATACTTAAACGCTGTTGTCTCCTCCGGTCCCCATTTATTCCGGTAACGAGTATTCCTGACAACATAGCATTGTGGGAGACGAACGTTAAAATGAACCGCAATGTCGCTCTGGCCAGAGTCGATGTCTCCACAACCAATATTCACAGCAAACCTGTCAGTCGATATTATATAAATAAAATAGTACAAATGCTACCTAATACAAATCTGAATGTTGTATGTAGATCTACAATAAAGCTGCTCCTAGTTGCAAAAGCTGTTTATGAAGCCGCTTTATTTCCAAAGAGAAAAATATGAGATAATTACGGTATCAATGATTTTGTGATGATGATGATTTTGTCACATAAAAATAAAATTGCTCTATTTTTTTTATACAAACTACTTTTCTTTTATATAGAAATATAAACAGCCATTTGCTATGCAAACAAGACATAGACCACAGACAAGTAATGTCTGCGTAATGCAATTCTTCTTTGATATTTAAACAGATAACGCGATAATGAATCATCATTATGATGTAATTGATACTTTATTGTGTCTCTTTACTGATACTTTATTGTGTGGATTACTTACAAATGATTAGGGCATATTAAAGTGGTAAATTACAAATAAAATACAATAGACAAACGTGTATATTGAAGCTGTTTATCTACCTACTTTACATGTATAATACAATCCTTACTCTTTACTAATATTACCTATAAATGCGAAAGTAACTCTGTCTGTATGTCTCGCTTTCAAGCCCAAACTACTGAACCTATCTAAGTGAAATTTGGTAAACAGATAGTCAAGACCCTGAGCACAGATAACATAATATTACATACAGATACCCCATCCCATACAAGAAAATGGTTCCTTCCTAACTCGGGCTATTCTTCGGGCTATTTTATTTCGCCACCGTAGCCGCTAGATGTCGCTAGATCTGAAGCAGTTCGGATTACTAGTGGGTGCTTAGTAACAAAGCATGAAAATAGATGGCAGTGAATTCAGTCTACATGACATCTGTTTTGGAAAGATATGTATATAATAGATATGTAGGTAACTGTATCGTGTACCTCATTAGGGACGATTCAAGATTCAATGTAAATGTGTAGGTATAATATCGTTAGCCGACACTCTGCAGATATGGCTTATGTGCCAATGTATATACCTATTGTGTTATGGTTTATTTTACATTCCATGCCTATTTTTTTTGATATGTTGTAACGCGTCTGCGCTATACGTATAGCCTGATTTTGATACGTTTATACTCGTACGTATCAAAATCGGGCTATACGATTTTTTATTTCAATCGTTATATGTATGAGACTGATTTTAGCTACAATTAATTTACTGGTATATACCTCATGTATTCTACGATGTACCCCTCTTTTACCTAATGAGAATTCCGCTATATCTTATATATAAATTTTGTATCACAGTGTTAGTTGCCATATTTCTCCCACATTTTGATGAAATTTGATATGTATACTTCCCAGGTCTGAGGTAGGGTTGTTATCTATTTTTTATACCCCTAACTCATAGGGGTGGCCTACCCCGAAAAAATATTTTTTTGTATTATGGACAATTTTTTATTTATTTATAATGTTACATTGAAAATACATACACGCCTAAATTTTCACCCGTCTTTCACCAACCCCTATTTTTAATAGCGATATTCTTACAAATATTATAAATGCTAAAGTAACTCAGTCTGTCTGTTTGTCTCGCTTTCACGCCAAAACTACTGAACTGATTTAATTGAAATTTGGTAGACAGATAATGTAGACCCTGAGAAAGGCTACTTTTTAATGCGAAAAAGTATTGAAAGGGGAAATGAAAGGCTATATGAGGATATCGTAATTTTTAAAGTCAGATCTTGTAAGATTAAGTGAACAGGGTCGGTCTAGGTTTTTCATTATTAGAAATGTGTAACGGGGTAACACGTTATTTAGTGCGAAATTGTGTATATTACAATAAAATTTAACGAGAAAATATTATAATGATATCACTGGGACACTCATTGCCTTACTACTATATCGTCCGTTAGTCGCGAACTTTCTGGAAACACGAGAGGCGCTATCCTATTGGTCGGTCGGCGCGGTTACCGCGCGTAGATGAGTAGATGAAGTACTTAGACGAGTCTCACGGCGCCGCAGCGTAAGTACTTACTATACATACGTAGTATACATATGGGTATTACAAATGTTTTTATTACTAGTAATATTACTCTGTTATCTAAGCAAGTAATGTGTGCTTATTTTGAACTTGATAACATTCTGAATTACTCGTATATCTTTCAATATCTTTAGCGGTATAAACCAGGTTATGTACTACTACTAGTATTGTTAGTGAGGGATAAAGTTGATGAACAAAAATAAAACAATATTCGTATTAAAAATATATTCATCTAATATTTTTGGCATTATTTTTAAGTTTCTTCCAAATATAAGGGGTCTGACATGGGGTGTTATGTACCTACATTAAAAAATACTTTTTGAAATGTATGAAAGAAACGTATTGTATGAAATTTTTGAAATGTGTGAAATGTATGCACCTACATTAAAAGATAATTTTTGAAATGTATGAAAGAAATGTATTGTATGAAATTTTTGAAATGTATGAAATGTAAGGACCTACATTAAAAGATAATTTTTGACATGTATGAAATGTATGAAAGAAATGTATGTACCTACATAAAAAGTTCATTTTTGAAATGTATGAAATGTATGAAAGAAATGTATGTACCTACATTAAAATATAATTTTTGAAATGTATGAGATGTATGAAAACAATGTATGTACCTACATAAAAAGTTCATTTTTGAAATGTATGAAATGTATGAAAGAAATGTATGTACCTACATTAAAAGATAATTTTTGACATGTATGAAATGTATGAAAGAAATGTATGTACCTACATTAAAAGATAATTTTTGACATGTATGAAATGTATGAAAGAAATGTATGTACCTACATTAAAATATAATTTTTGAAATGTATGAAAGTAATGTATGTACCTACATTAAAATATAATTTTTGAAATGTATGAGATGTATGAAAGAAATGTATGTACCTACATAAAAAGTTCATTTTTGAAATGTATGAAATGTATGAAAGAAATGTATGTACATTAAAATATAATTTTTGAAATGTATGAGATGTATGAAAACAATGTATGTACCTACATAAAAAGTTCATTTTTGAAATGTATGAAATGTATGAAATGTATGAAAGAAATGTATGTACCTACATTAAAAGATAATTTTTGACATGTATGAAATGTATGTGTTGTGATGGGGTTCTTTTTTGTTGAGATGGTGAGTTTACTAATAAATAATATATATTTATTTATTTATTTATTTATTTATTTAAGATAAGGTACTCACCACACTTACAGATATACCAAAGCGTGTAGTGAGCCAATAATATAACATAATATAATAATGTAATTACCTAAAAAACAACAAACAACACTCAATAAACTTATTAATATTGTCGTGAAAAATATCGACCTCTGGCTGCTCCGAAACCAAGCTATTGAGCAGCGAGATAGCTTGATAAGTAGGAGCAAACTGGGCAGTGCATGTGCGAACATGTGGTGCCGATAGTAATCGACACGTGCGTAGTCGCAGGTACCGCTCTGGGGCATATAAAGAACAACGACTTAGGGTTGTCGGATTATCTATTCTCCCATTCAGCAGCATATAATAGTGCACCATCAGATTACACTTTCGCCTTACCTCTAACGTATTCATACCTACCATACCGCACACAAATAGTGACGGGTATAAAAAGGGATAATAGCCATACAGATTATTGTATAAATATCGAGCAAATTTTCTCTGAACTCGTTCTAACATTACGCTATACTTTGTTTCGTGTGGGTCCCAAATAATTGAATTGAATTCTAGAATGCTACGTACAAATGAATAATACAAAACAATAATTGCACCTCTGTCTCTGAGTTGGCTCGACTGTCTCATTACGAATCCTAAAGACTTATATGCACGATTGCAGATGGCAATTATATGAGTATTGAACGATAAAGTTGTATCAAGCGTCAATCCTAAGTCACGTATTTCTGACACACGTTCAAGCGGCGTCCCTGATATATTATAAGAATATACATAAGGAGTACGACACCGTGTGAATGTCATTGTTTTGCACTTAGAAACGTTGAATTCCAAATGATTACAGTTAGCCCAAGCTACTACCTTGTCAATATCATTTTGGAGGGTTACACAATCCTCCTTACTTCCTATAGACAGAAATAACTTCAGATCATCCGCAAACATTAGACATTCAGCGCTACTGACAACATCTGGCAAGTCATTGATCATGATTAGAAATTGCAGCGGACCCAAATTACTGCCTTGGCTTACCCCAGAACTGATTTCATAGGAGACGGATTTACATCCTTTTAGTTGTACATACTGTGAACGACCAGTGAAATAGCTAACGAATAATTTTAGAAGATCAGGTGTAAATCCTACATCAGAAAACTTTTTTAATAATACGTCATTATGGACGCGATCAAATGCTTTTTTAAAATCAAAGTATGCCGCATCCACTTGACCACTATAATCCATGCCTGTCACCGTATAATCTACAAAATTTATAAGATTGGTAGTTGTCGACCTTCCAGTCCTAAATCCATGTTGACAATTTGTAAATTGAGACTGGATTTGTGCGGATATGAGGAGATTCAATATGGACTCGAATAATTTTGCTAAAGCACAAAGTATAGCGACAGGCCTATGGTTATCAATTTGAGATTTACACCCACTTTTAGGTATTGGTGTAACCCTAGATGTTTTCCATAACTCTGGAAAGGTACCTGTACGGACAGCTAAGTTTATTATGTGTAGAATAGATTCCTCCAATACTCCTATGCAGTCTCTAAGTATAAAAGGTGGGATGCCATCAGGTCCAGCAGAAGTTTCCTTTAATCGTTTTATCGCGCGCCGTAGGTCAACTAAAGTAATATTGTCAATAGCAATTCGAGCCGAGTTTTGAGAATCTGGTTTGCCTTCAGTTACTTTGGAAGATAAAACTGGCTGATTGTTTAAAAAACTAGATTTAAAATAATTTGCAAATGCATTTACAGCGTCTGTTCCGGATACCAATTGCCCCTCATATTCATATTGGTCCTCGCACCGCCTATTAGTTCGTTGAGACCTTACGAAGTTCCAAAAACTTTTTGGATCCTTCTTTATATTTAGCTCAGTTTGCGTTATATAATTATTGTAAGCTATATCTATTAATTGTTTCGTACGTTGCCTATAAAATTTAAACATTTCTCTATTATATTGTTTATTATATTTTTTATATTGTTTTAAATTATAATACTTTTTTTTTATATTTTCTATAATTTCTTTTGTATACCAATCCGGATAATGATATTTAGAATTGTAATAAAATTTTTTAATAGGTACATTCGCTTCTAAACAACAAGTATAAAATTTGTAATAAAAACAGCGTAATGCTTCATTAACATCGCTACAAATACGTATCTCATTCCAATATGTCGAAGCTATCGATTCATATAGTGAATTTAAGTCCGCTTTTCGAAAGTTCCATTCTGTCACTGAATACTGTGACAACGGAGGTGCGGTAACTGATGAATAAGAAACGTACGCAGCCCTCGGATGTGAGATAGTAATGTGAACACCGAGTGGTGGATGGTGCGCGTCAGCCGGCACCAAAGGTCTTACATCTTCACACATTAATACACTGTCACTGCCCAGATTGCTCAATACCAAATCTAGCGTGTTACCATATTTATTTTTAATCACATTGTATTGATTTAATTTACAAAAAGCAACTAAGTAACCATACTGCAAAATAACATTTTGGCTACATGAATTTAAATTGAAATCTCCAAGTATTACTACATTTGATTTTGAATATTTTATCATCATATTCTCTATAACTAAAAATGTATTAAAATATTTCTCATCATTTGAATTAGGTGGTATATAGACAACACAAAAAACAATTGATTTTGATTTAAATTTCACTAATGCTATTACTACTTCAATATCCTCTGTGTACCCACCAATATTGGTTATTTGTTCAACTTTGTATTGCGAACGTACTGCTAATAAAACTCCTCCCCAGCCAGCATCATTTATGCGATCACGGCGTATAACGATGTACCCATTCGGGAACAACTCGGCGTCATAAATACTACTATTTAAAAATGTTTCCGTTAGTGCATATATATCAGCTGATTCACTGAGAATTGATAGCTTACAAATATTTAATTTTGAACGAAGTCCTCTAACATTTTGATAAAATATTGAGATATATTTATGCTTAAACTGTTTGTTCTCTTTTCTGACGAAATCCATTGCGCCAAGGTTTTATGTAGACATCTTCCACCCAGTTCTCAGGTGCTAAATACTGGTCTAGATGTTTTGTAGGCACAGATAACTTAAATGAAGCATAATCACCTCTCGAATTTAATGCCTCTGCGAAACAATTATCTCCCGGACAAATTGTTCTGAGGTACTCAATAACTTGTTCTGCTGTAGTACCGATCTTCACATAATATAAATGTAAATATGATTTTCGCTCTGCAGCGGATAGCGTAGTATCAGTCAGATTGCCTGTACCACGAGTTACATTTACAAGCGACCGTCGAGTACGCGGTCGCTTTACCTCGATCCATTCTCCCGTATTACCGCCGGTTGCTTCAATGTTTTCCGTCTGTGTAATAACAGCTTCACGATTACGGTCCGGACCCGACGACGGACACGGAGTAGGGGGCACGCCCGATGACGTCGTTGTTGCGTTGCTTCTAGCTGTCACCTTTTTAGTTGCAGTGGCGATCGCCGATGACGCACGTATACGAGCTTCACGGATTGGCCGCAGATACACTTGCGATGTAGGATTACCCTCACTATCATTTACACTGGTTTTAGATGTAATTTTTCGATCACTGATTAAATTTTTAATTAAGTTATTTTGTTCTGTAATCACATTTTCCAATGAAGATACTTTATTTTCCAGTGAAAGCACAGTCTTAGTTAGCTCACGAATAACTACTTCAATACTTTTTGTGGACATATCTATTTATTTTTAACATAAATATATGGAGCAACACTTACTTGTACGAATGGTATAGTATGAAAAAAAAAAAAAAAAAAAAAAAAAAAAAAAAAAAAAAAAAAAAAAAAAAAAAAAAAAAAAATATGTTTACAGCAATAAAAAACAATTATTCTGCTGTAAATATGTTTACAGCAGAATAATTGTATTGTCTCTTTTTATAATTTTCTTTTTACAACAATGTCAATCTATATTTGACAACTAAACTATTACTCGTAATATATTAAATCACAAATTAATAAGTAGGTCATATATACTCGTAACATCCTCCCACAGACATGAAGTGCTCTTCAGGTAGCCTACTGTAAATGAGCTTTGAATACATTAGGGTTTATCTTAATTTTGCCTACTCTCTCTATCCCGTCCCACCAAGCGTACCAACTTTCCACCCAACCTCCCCGATGTTGTGGTGGGGTTCCTTTTTGTTGAGATGGTGAGTTTACTAATAAATAATATATACGTTTACAGCAGAATATGTATTGTCTCTTTTTATAATTTTCTTTTTACAACAATGTCAATCTATATTTGACAACTAAACTATTACTCGTAATATATTAAATCACAAATTAATAAGTAGGTCATATATACTCGTAACAGTATGAAAGAAATGTTTGTACCTACATTAAAAGATAATTTTTGACATGTATGAAATGTATGAAAGAAATGTTTGTACCTACATTAAAATATAATTTTTGAAATGTATGCACCGTACAATAACAATACACGTTAAAAATCATACCACAGAGTCATACGCAAGTTAAAAACAAACTGCTATGATATTAATGAGAAAGGAAAATAAACTTTATGGTATTCGAGTTAGGGTCGATTTCTCTCTTTTTTTTAAAACTATTTTAATCTTACCAGTTGCCAGTATTCGAAGACAGCTACGATTCGTACTCGATATTTTAAATTATTATGTAATCGATTTTTCAGTACAAATGTAAATAACCAACGACACTAATAATGTACTACTATATTCCGTTCTTTGAAACGGAATACTGCTATACTTAATACAAAATAATGAAAATTTACTGTTCACAACGACTCATTAAAAGCATCATCGAATAATGCGCTGTAATAAAATCCTGTTATCAATTATTAAAAAAAATCGATAATACATGTATTTATTTTTAATATGACAACACTTCATACATAAGTATTATTGGAAATAGTATTATTTGCTTGTTCGGCTATTTTTAATTTACTTAAACTTTTTTTATATGTTTAATTTACAATAATAATATATTAAGTGCTTATTATTGGAAAATATAAAAAAGACATTTAATTAGGCCGATACAAATGACAACAATGCCATCTATGAAAGCATTTTGAAAACATTGAGCCCCGTATTAGCACTGATTAAAGTGTAATTAAGTACTGGAAAATAACAAAATGAGTAAATATATGAAAATTACTTTTCTAAACGCATTATTTCATTTTAACATGTATATATATTTTTTTAAAAATGGATTAAACTATTTTGAAAACACAGTTTTGTTTTTTAAAACGTTTGCAAAACTATGAAGAATTCCATCGATACCAATCACGCCATCTATATGCAACTTTTAGCAATAATAATGGCTATTTCCTCATTGAGTGCCACTGCCCTGAGTCAAGACGCTATTTAATGCAAAAAAAGGATTGTAAGGGGGTTGCAAGTTTGTATAGAAGTATCATCATTCTTAACGCTAGAAGTGTGAAATTTAGACTATTGGTTGAATATAAATAAGGAACTAGAGCTAGAACGACAAAACCTTTATGTGTCAGATTATTGAATATTTTTTCTGTATTTGGTCAAGATTACTAAATATTATAGAGACATTAGAACATGGATCACGACGTGCTAGACAATATGTAGTTATTGTAAACTTATTGTTTAAAAAATAAATGACTAAACTTTTGTGGAATATGGCATTTATTTTTATTACCTACACTGTAACTTTCTGTACACTATGTAAAATATGTAATACATCATTAGGTAAGTACATGCTCCAAATCCATTGCTTTCTGTACATTCATTAACTCAATTCACTTATACCTAGTAACTTTTTTTATTTGACCCTTTTGCTATACTGGTATTAGTATATATTATATGTCTTTCTTTCTTCTCCTTCATAGAAATTCAAATTAAATAGTATAGTTATTAATTTACCATGGTAGGTCTTCAGTCGGTGTTCCGGTACAAACAATGTGTGATCCTATGGACAAAGGTTCAGTTAACGACTGAGTAAACTTCACATCACGAGCTTCTGCCAACTGCGTCTGAAACATGAGAACGCAAAATGAATATTGAACAATATGTCATTTATTTTTGTTTGGTCTTTTCTTATAATATAATATATATTCTTGGTAAATATAATTAAAATCTGTTCAGCCGTTTATTCGTGAAACCTATTTATATTAGTAAGGACTTTTGTACTAGTATCATCAAAGTAGACTGAATGGATTTTCTTTCAGTTTTTGGTTGGGAGATTTTTACCTATGTGTTTGGTGGATACATACTGTTTATAGAATAGAAAATAATTTATTCCAATAAACTTAAGTAATTTAAGCACTTTTGAATAGTCACAATATTTTTATCTACCGCTCATTCGAAAGCTGTCTCAGCACAAGAAGAAAGAGCAAGAATCTTGTTTGTGTTGCTGTTTTAAATAGTCATTGTAAGTTTAACAACATGTGTGTATATTAATACAAACTATCAACTAGCACTATTTTATAATAATATATACTCATATTAAACTAAGTTAAATAATTATACATAGATCAGAACTGTTTGTGAATGATCATTAGTTCTGTAAAAAGAGATGATTAGAAAATACATTTACAACTGAATTGTTACAAAAAAAAAACAAATTTGTTATCTACTAAAATCAAGCCGTGAAAGTACAAACAGCAGCTTTTAACACTCAGCGTGACAACAATCTGCAGATTTTGCCAATCTGAAGAGAAAACGCCACTAGACATTATATGTGGTTTAGCCATATTGGTGTAGCCCAGTTATGCATAAACTAAATATCTCCTTTGTAAAGTATACACTCTATGCTGAGGAGATTTTTATTTCCATTGTTCCTAAGAATATCCTTCAATACTTGTTCCTAACGGGTCTAGGTCAACGTAAGTACGTACGTAAGGTAAAAATATAAGTGAACTTTGAAAAAGGGCGAGCAAAATAGATTCATGCAGGTCCTGCGATACTACAGAGCACTTGATCTATTGTGATGTTCATGATACATATAAGAACTATGTCTTAGCACCTGCCAATAGCCCAAAACTCTCAATAAAAAAAACACTCAGCGAAGTCTTGTTAGCATATCATAGACACTCATCATAATTTCATTGCACGAATTCCTTTGACCATTTTAATATATGAAATCATCATACAGGATACCCTTCATAGACGTAACGGAATAGCACTCGTCTCGCGTGTAGAATATAAAAGAATTAGATGCCAAACAAAGAGTCACTGTAAGATTGCGTTTAGCATGAATATTTTATTAAATGTTCACTTGGATGTAACATGCCAAAAATGGTATAAGAGCATATTAGAAATCTGTTTTCAGCATAGAGCAAGTCAGATTTGGTTCTGGCACAGGGAGGCCCGAAGAGTTCCGTAGGTCTCTGTTCCGTTGGTTCAAGTGGGGGAGAAGGCAATTTTTAAAAAGTTTCAATACACCATATCCTTAGAAGAGTCATCCATTCCCAGAAGTGAATTATCGTGATGTTAACCAATACAATAAAACTGGCCAATCCCTGCCTTCCCCTCTTAGGGTGTTTTAGATTCTCCCCTATTTGACATTACCTTCGTAAAGGTCGCGTGTTCAAAACAATCAACAGTTCACAACCGACAACGCCTATTCTTGAGTAATTTCATGTTAAATCAATACCATGTAGGTACCAACATAACAATTCAGGTACACGGGTACATTGCTATGCACCCGTGTATTACTCAATGTCCATATAGTAATTAGACGTACAATCAAACTTTGTATAGTGCTAATATTTTACCTAGCGCACGTATATAGACAAGGCCTTGTAGTTAGTTGAGTAGATTCTGTATATATAACTTTGGACCTAATCATTATTTTGATTTAGACAATAACACGAACACGCTGAAATTGTTGATTTGACCGCATTTTCCAGCTCGGTAATAACTATTCGAAGTCGTAATGACATCAGACGACATTGAATTTCTACAATCTGAAAATAAATTACGCCTGTAATCTATATTGCTATAGATGACATCATAATCAAACGGATCACATAAGTTTTTATTTAATATAAATGAAGTTTCAGACAGAAGTGACCACTATGGCCCTGTGGTTTTATATAAGTCCAATTTAATAGTAATACCTGAAGCAAAGCATTAAAACATTGTCCGCCTGCGGTATGTCTACAAATAATATAACAGCATATACGAATACAGACACGAAACGCAAAAAGTTGATGATTAAGGAGAAGACGTAACTAACTTATCAACTAACTGTACGTCATTCATAGGATGCATAAAATAAAACTATCGACAGTTTTATTTTATGCATCCTATCCTAATAGATAGAGCGCACACGTAACACCATAATAAAAATTAACTAAATCTCTCTCGTTACCTGTGCATTGAGATGATAGTGGACTGTGTCACTGACACAGTCCACTATCATCCCAATTTTGATAATATTAAAAATTTAAACCCCTTTAAAGTTACACAAGCATCGACTGTACTTATAAAAGCACATGTATGTGCTATTATCATTTAGCAGTTTTCATTAAGAATTTACAGAAATATATATAAAAGAGCACATAAATAGGTAACTACTAACAAAAATTTCACACGATCGAGGTTACAGGTCACACCTATTAATTTGAAGAATCTTTATAGGTCAATATAATTAAGTGGTTAGATACCTATTACAAGATACGGCTGCTACAATTTGATGATTTAAGATTGCCCCACTTGTTGATTCATGACTTAATACATTTATAAGACAAAAAATAATGGAAACTATTACCACAGATAATATAATTTGCTACTACAATTACTTAATTAAACAGATTATTTGCACCTAAATATTAGTATTTTTGGGTCTATGAAAAAGGAAACTCGAAATTAAAAAGAAGAAATATAAAAACACATTTAAGAAATTTGTTATTAACAAAATGAAATAAATATTATTATTATTAGGTGTTTTGTTGAGTGCGCTTCTTACTAGCATAAATCGTGGTTCCAAAACAAAAAATATTTTTTGTTAGGCAGGTAGGCAAGCCGATTGAGTCCGTCTTTGTGTTTTTATTTTAATTTTACAACCCTTACCCTTCACTTACTACGTTCAGGTAAGTTAGTTTATATAAAGGGATGTAAAAATAAGAATGCTCAAATTTATTAGCAGTATTTGTTATTATAGAATAGACGTAGTACTTACTATGCTGTATGATAGACTGACACTGCTTATTAGCATGAGAAACATACACAATTCTCGTTTATATTTTGCGATAAAGGAAATTGTAAAGATATTTAAGATTTTTTCTCCGAAGATAAGAATTGTAAATCGATAACACGGTAATATTTACTCGTAGTAATATCTATAACTTACGTAAGCTAGCTAGATAGCTAGCTACCTCAATATACAGTCAGTTTGTGTATTTGCTAAATATTAATTAGTACTTACTATAGTTATTAATTTTTACATTTATTACACTTTCCTAACCTACCTATTAAGTTATATATTAAAATCTATTATAGAAATTATTACCTATTTGGTTATACACTGGTATTAAGAGGCCTTTCACATTTTTTGGCCTAAAAGCAGTGTCTTTGGGGTTCTGGTTCTAAGAAATTAAGAGACGGATATACATTTTGATTCCTGAATTATATAGATAGATATCTAATCTTAAAAACAACATCTTTGAAATGTTAATTTTCTCTTTGTTAGTCTTCCTAAATTCTAAAATAGTTTATTCAAAAACGCTAAATGACAGAAGTTTGGGGTCGTCGTTCATTAATAAACAAACATAAATTGATATGATATCTTTACTAAAACTTGATAATTACTTTATAAATTGAGACAGCATCGTCCTTTTTTTCATTTTCAACTTAAATATCTAAAAAATTGATCATAATTAAACCCGAAATTTCAACAAAACTTTGCCATAATCATTTCTAATTTTCTCATAAATACAACGAAATTTTTGCATAAAAAAAACATAATAATAAAGTTAATATACTTATAAATTAGAAATATGAAAAAAAAATATAAGTTTCTAAGAAAAAATAAACAATAATAATAATTTAAAGTTGTATAAATTCCGTTGCGCCAAAAGTAAATTCTCAGTGCTGCGCTAGCGCTCGTCGAGGTAGGACCTATGCCATTTTTTACAACACCGCTAAGATAAGACATTCGTCAGTGAACATTAGTATAGAGCGACTAAACAATTTTGATAATTTAAGTAATATTTAATTAATTTTGCTAATATATACTTATTTCTACGAATATTAATTTAAAGTTGTTGTTAAATATATATATATATATAATATTTATTTTAGCATGCCAAGACAAAAGTACAGTTATGCCACAAATAAAACCTACCTACCCTGCTGGACTATGAAAAGCACAAGAGCATGGTATTTCGTCACACTAATGGCAATTAATTGTTAAAATTAAAAAAGAGAACATTTTAGTATTTTTAAAAATAACGCTTATCTGAGAGAAAAATGTAAGAAAATGTAAACCAATTTTACTCTATGTTTATTTTGTAGTTTTTTTCTAAATTAAAATAGGGTTATTGTTTATAAAAATACATTATTATTTTTACGTACATTTGTCTTGTGTTATATAGTGTATATCATCTAGTATGCAATGTGGATTGTAAATAAATTACCAAATTATATATAAATTATATTCCTTAATGTTTAGAGATATTTTATCCAATTTTATTTTATTTTACACAATACAGATATTTCTAAATTGCAGCTATTCTGTTATTATACTCGTTGGACTTTCATTACTGTACAGTTATGTCAAATAATTATGCGTGTTTGGGTGAAAAGTCAACAACATTATAAATGTTTTTATTTAGAGACTAGCTTTTAGCTCGCGGCTTCGCCCGCGTGAATATGGGATATATAGGTTATCGCGCGTTTAAAGATCCGTGTACAGTATTGGGACGTTATATATAAACCTTCCTCTTGAGTCTATCTATTCTGTCTATTAAATAACAACGAATCAAAATCTGCGTAGTTTTTTAAGATCAAAACATACATAGATCTATTACATGTGTAGATGATATTTTAACCGGAAATTGAAGCCGTTAAAATGGTATTGGCAGATCAGTTGGAATCATCGGTATTCTTGGTATATAAGCTGGTTACCCAGCTAACGTACCGGTTATAATGGTCTACAATTAAATTGTCTTTCAATTCTTTAGTAAGCAATATATCCAATAGGACGCCATTGCACATGTTCGGCGGGCTTAAATTTCATGACTGGATCATGCTTTTGAGAAATTCCTTCCTCAAGTTTGAGCATTTAGTGTGGGAAATCACTATCTGTGCTTCCATAAAAATGAGCTCTCAAATTTGTCAGTGGTTTTAAACTTTCAATTAAAGTCCATAAGGGAGACGATGTTAATAACACAGAGAGTCTTTCAGAAATCTCCAGCAAAAGTATAAAAGTAATCCCGCCAATGAGAGCAGAGGTGTTTCTAAGGTCTTTTAAGGTTCTGTCCAAAATCTCTATAGCTCATGGTGATTTCATTACATATAATCAATGAGGCGTCTTATAATAATTTATAAAAAGGTTTGACATTAACAATTAATTATTTATCAAGAATCAAGAATCGACCAACCAAGAACGAGAAGCTGCAATATCAGCCAATATCATGCGGCGACGTCAATGATGCAGGAACAGCAATGATAGCAGTTGAAGGTTTTTTTACAACTTAGAATGGCAAACAAGCTGACGGCTCTCCAGATGGAAAGGGGTAACCGTCGCCTATATACATGAGCAGTACCTGACATGTTCATATCAGCACATTGTTTCCCTCATGCGTTGCCATTCCTGAAAACTCGGGTGTTATTCCCCTGTACCTTGTAAATTCACTACCATATATATACACAGGTAGTCTATATAGATAGATATACATATACACAGATAGTATACCCTGAGAAAGGTCATAGACTACTTTATAGTGCGAAAAAAGTATTGTAAGGGATTAAAAGCGGAGATGAAAGGTTGCATAAAAGTATCGTCATTGTTTAAGTGAAACAAAGAAACTTTTTTAGGTTATAATCTAAATATATTTCCTTTATTTGGTCAATTTCATTATACCACGCTGACGAAGTCGCGGACACACCTAATATATACATAAGGATGGGACCTTTAAATCAAAACAAAGCCTTGAAAACACAACTATTATACATAAATAAAATAATTATTTGCTAAGTATAATATTTAGAACAAGTGAATATGGCAATAATGTATCCGACTCTTATAATAAATTATTATATCTATTAATAAATAAACTGAATTAATACGTAAGAAGAATTAATTAGTAAATTTATGTTATAGTAATTTCATCTTCCTGTCCCAATTATTTGTTACTCATATTACTTAAGGTTTTGGCTTTTAGTTGTACAATCGGCCAGCATCCTGACATCAACCCTCTAGGAATAATATAATAAAAAAAATATGGTCATTATTAGCACTTTGATAATTAAGATAAATCACGTTATTTAAAAAAATCCAATAAGTAGTTTATGTTACTCAGTTAAGTAGAAACATATCACATTATTAATTAAAATATTACAAGGATCAAAATGGTTCATACTAAATCCACACCGATTGAGCTACACGGTTATTTGCGTCTGTGTGCGTGTATTACTGTATGTGTGCGTAAATCCATGCGATTAAACCTAAAGTTGAGCGGCATCATTTTGTAATAGGCCTCTTAAGAATAAATACAGTATCCTTAGAATACCTATATTACATTATAGGTAATCATGATATTGCTATTATGTCTGTCCGGTTGTTTACATTTTAGATGGCATATAGAATTGGCAGCAGGGACTCTCTTCAATTCCCTAGATAGGTGCCTACCTATCTATTGAGTAGCAGAGAATTAATGTTCGCGCTAGTGTCTTAAATCTATATAAATCACATGAAGAGGCCTGAACACCTTTCAGCATAAGGTGTATGCCGTAAAAATAAAAATATGGCGTACAGACACGGGTTTTAGTGTAATTTAAAACATATAGTTATATGAATTCATATATCTAAGTAATTACTTGCGAGTTATTTGTACATTATATTTATTAACTTCTGCTAATCCAACTGAATGACATTATTTATAATTGCCTACAGGAAAAGCAACAATGAATAATAAATACCTACCTACCTAATTATTAGTAGCATAGAGATATTAATTCAAATAGAAAGTAGTAGTTCTATGTCCTATTTCTGCTAAAATAAATTTTATTAGGTAAGTTGTATTAGGTCATTTAGAATTACCAAGGTGACGGGTGCTGTTTCTTCTTCATTAACACTAGACGCTGGGGTGCGAGTGCGGCAAAATAAACGGCGACAAAACGCACCGCAACTGCAAGAGCTATCATCACAAACCATATTCAAAACTATTCACTAAACTCGCTAATAATATCAGTAGTCGATATAGCTACTCAATTCAGCGACACGAACGCGAGGGCATTCTCACAAAAATATCCGCAGGCGCCCAAACGCCTACACTAGGATTTCAACACTAGTTCTCTGACTTTCCGTAGGTTAATAGCTACCTACGTCCGAAACGGTTCGTTCATTTACACTGACTGCTATAATGTTGTACAACTGTATACTGTGTTTGTTTACTTTGTGTGGCGGGAAATGGTGAACTCAATCGCCTTGTCTTGTTTGTCCAACAACGCGGAATATCAACATAGGTGCGAATGGTCCGAGTCATATGGGTACAATCATTTTATTCTTTGATACTATAAAATTCATCAATCTCAGATAAATATAGTCGTAAAGTTGTATACTTCATACTCACTATTTACCCATACCTCTATTCTATTTATGTGGTTTCGTTATATCATTTAAGCATAGTGGGATAGCGCCATCTATCATGACATACTAGTACCACAAACCAAAAGTTTATCTACTTTTAATTTATGCTCACGACTAGTATTCGTTGACTCCATAGTCGTCGTAGACAAATAGGTGCCTAATTAAAATATTTCAATATGAAATAACTAATATAAAATCTATTAAGTATTGCCTACAACATAATATAGTAACAAATCCATAATATAAGACAATTTACCTAATAACCTAAAGCTAATTTAGTAATTAGTACAATAATAATTTTATATAAGTGTTATTCTAGTTGCTAAAATTCTAAAGATTATCTCTAGAATACCTTCCAGTCAACCCAAAATGTAGTGGCATGGGTTATAAAGGGCGATCTGAGGTATTTATCTAATTACTAAATTATAACTACAATAAACTGTCAATATAAAAGAATTGATTCTTATAAGAAGTTAATACCTTAGTATACTTACATCTACTACATTTTTTAATTCTAAAATCAATAATTTTGGCGTGTTGATTAATTTAATGGCATAAAAAAACATATAACCTCAAAGTCTAAAGCATCTTCGGCAAAATCAAAATCTATAAACTCCCTTGGTATTTGACCATCTTCGACTCCATAATCCATTTTTAAACAATTCACACATGTCATCACTAAAAAAATCGTACGTATGTTAACCACATATACACTAGAATCTTGTCTCTTATTAATGACTGTTTAGTGAGATTACATTAATACACAATTCGAAATATTACTACCTACGTCTCAAATATTTTTTAATACATATTATTTTAGTATAATTCTTATTCACAGGTGAACACTCTATAAAACAAATGAATAGGTATTAAATTATTTAAACGTGGATTAGATATAAAATAGATTTATTTTTGTGTCGCATAGTGTCAGACACAAAGGCTGTTGTCTTATTTGACAATGGCCCACTGGTATCTGGTTGAAATGACATAACTATGTACGCGTTTTTCTTTATACTCTCCGATCCGATACGATCGTACGTGATCGTTTGATGTAGCAACCGATTAATATAGGTAGATATATGTACGAAGGAATAGTTATTGTAATTTGTAACTTATTTTACACAAATGAAAATAGGTAGGTACACAGATGTGGATAATGGCACGGTATACATGATTTGTCCATCCCATGTGTTTTTATCGCAAAGTGTAGGTCAGCAGATAATCTATTTATGTATACTAATAAAAAAAATCATTAGATAGAAAGTAGGAAAAATATTTTATTGTTTAAAAAAGACTTCAGTTTGAATTTTGATCTAAAACTGAAATTATATGTTCTAAAATAAACATTTAGAACTAGATATTATAAAGTGTATGTGGATAAGAAGTGAAACCGGAAATGAAGGGAGCGTGCTTGATCAACGTGCGGACGTGCACACGATGCGGCACATCTGACTATATCCGTCTATAATTATATTATATACTAGCTGTTCCCGCGACTTCGTCCGTGTTGAATTTAACTTTATTTTTCTAAAATAAAAATAGCCTAAGTTACTCCTTATTACATCAGCTACATGTCAAAAAAAGTACCGTCAAAATCGATCCAGCTATTTCAGAAATTAGCCGGAACAAACAGACACACTAATTTTATTAATATATATATATATATATATGTATTTTCCTTCCGACTAGAAATTAGATCAATAGTAATACCTACTCATTTCAGAAATTCATCAAATAGCATCACAAAGCTTGCTCATACCCAGAAGGCCATAACCTTCGCAAACTAACGTGAAGCATGGAATATGTTTATTTATAACAAGACGTACATTGACATCTTTTCTCCCTGTGACGCCGTTTAATTTATTGTGATATCAATGTGTAGGCCAGGGCTTTAATATATACCCGAGTATTAAAATATAAATCAATCCAAATGGAGACGATATCACGAAAATCACAAAATATCCATGAAGTTTGTATTTTAATTAGATAGTTTTGTTTTACTTTTGTACAGTTAGATAAAGATATAGACTTCTGTATAATGGAGGGAATGGGATTGTTAGTAATGTGCATTATTACCAAGAATTGCTAGCAGTGTACCTCGACAGGGTTTCCAGGGGTAAGCGTGTCGAGGTCATAGTACACATGTGATAAGAACTGATGAATTTGCCACGATAAGCTAACTGACCTGATCCTATGTCCATCTTATCATCCTCCACTGGCGCCCGCCCCGCCAGAGTAAGCGTTAGCGCAAGCGTGTATACTAATCCATTATCATTAATTTTAAAAATCCTATATAATACAAAACATACTTTAATCCATATTAATGTTATAAAGCTGAATTGATTGTTTGTTTGTTTGAACGCGCTAATTTCAGGAACTACTGGTTCGAATTGAAAAATTCTTTTTGTGTTGGATAGTCGATTTTTCGAGGAAGGCTTTAGGCTACATAACATTACGCTATGACCAATAGAAGCGAAATATCAGTCGAAAATATTGCAAAAACGGGGAAAATTATTCATATTTGAGGACTTCCGTTGCGTGCGCTGCGCGAACACGGGCACAGCTAGTTATATATAAACGTAATGTATAAAGAATTAAGTAAAAGATAAAAAATAAGATCTAATATTTATTACGCCACTTTAGTGTATATGGTATTGTACATTGATTTATATTATTATTCAAATTATCTGCAATAACAACATCATAATTATGACTGTTCAGACTGTTACATTGACAAGTAATATCATATAAATGAAACACTGATTACAAAGAATAAAAGTGAAACAAACAAAAAACTACAATTGTTTAGATACTATAATATAAACGTGAATGAGTTGTCAGACTTGTATTTTAATATTATCTTGAATTATTAATAAAAATGATTATCATATATATCATGATTTCAAAAAGGAGACGTCTTGATGCAATAATTAGTTAAAATATTTGGATGCATATCTGTGACCATTTGTGTATTGCACTTAACTATTATAAATAGTGACAACACTTTTCTTAACTCACATTTATAAAGAATAAAGGATTAGTTTTTAGTGCAACCTTTATAATCTTTATTGTTGATGGTCTGGTATAATTTTTTTTTCGAAGATACGAATATAATGTAATTATGTAGAACTTAACACACCTAGAATTTCAGCCTTTAGTGTTCTTCAATAGTTTCTTCTTTGGTGGAGCCTGAAATTAAATTATAATAAGAATAAGAATAATAAAAAAATCAGGAAAGGAAAAAGCGATGTGTGGTATACACATCGCCTAACTAAACACGTCTTATACTATGGGTGCTAAATTACAGCAGAAATACGTCAATATTATTATTTAAAGATCCATGAATTATAGTTGCTTTTACGATTGTTACTGTTATATAAATAATGTATAATTTAATATATCTTAGTTTTAAGTACATGAGAGCGCCGTGGCCAAGTGGTTTACCGTCCTTTTAATACTAAGAGGTCGTGAGATGAAACCTGGTCAGTACTAATAAAAAATAACCTGTGTGTCAATTTGCATTTCTGACGGTCTCTCTGGCCTTCGACAGATAAATAAAATAGTCTCTTTAATTTTAACAAGCACCATTGAGACCATTATGAATCATGGATTTATTCATAGTTACCAATTGAGGGTGATGTGAGCGAACGTGTTGCAGTAGTTTCGCACGAGTAGCGTACTGGCGTGGGCACGCTATACAAGCGGCCGGCTCGCAATGCCGCTTTCCTCCTAATATCGAATGAGCACGATCTACTGCTGCATCTAAATTACAAAAGTACATCATTAAAATTCTGTTTAATTTTTAAAAAGTAGACCCGGCGACGATTTAATCTAAATTATCATTACGGAACCGTGTTTCCGCCTGAGCTAATGGGCACCAGTGAATGATAATAATATGAACATGAAGTCAGGTAAATTGGCCCATAGTGGCAAATTCACCAGGAATTTATCACGATGGTTTCCAGGGGGACAGTGTAGAGATCATTTTGACATGGTTTCACATTATTATTATTATTATATAGGGATCATTAATCCACATTTTCTATGTCGAGATGATTAACAAATATAATGGGACTATCAGTGCCCGCGACTTCGTCCGCGTGGTATATCTAGTGATCTGGACGAAATAAAAAAAAAATAATCTAACCCAAAAAAGTCAAAGAAAAGGTTTTATTGTTCAAAGCTTAAAAAATGATGAATTTCCATAAAATTCAACCCCTATTTTCTTTGACATCCTTAAGGGTAAAATTTTTGCAAACTTTAAATGTCATATTTATTTAAATTTAATGAACAGCCTAAAAATAAGTTACAACCTTTTATCTTCTCCTTCAACCTCTTGCAACCCTTTTTTCGCATTAAAAACTAGCCTATCCTTTCTCAGGGTCTAGAAAGTGATCCAAATTTTATTTAAATCGCTTCAGTAGTTTTAGCGTGACAGAGTTGCTTTCGAGTTTATAATATTATTAAGGATTATTACTTGGATGGTGTGCGCGCAGATGAGCATCACGCTTGGCACGGGAGCGGTACAGCTTGGGGCAGGCGCCACACGGGAAGCACCGGTCGCGTCGAGACAACGGAACTGCAGCGGCAGCCGCCGCCGCCCCCGTGCGGTGCACGCGCCACAGATGGTTCACTAGCATGCCGCGACGCTACAATAATGACTTACGTGACTAAAATACTTAAAGGTGATGGATCAACTGATAGACGGTAACTGTATCCTACAAAAACAGCAATGATAACAAAAAACATGACAAATTATACTGTGAACGGGTGATCGGGTTACGGCCACTGATTAGACTATTTCCTTTTGACAAAAATTGTAATAGCACATGCTTGTGGTAACTCGTGTTCTTCCTAATTGGAATATAAAAATAAATTTATATTTTTGTAAACATGTAGGCATTTGAAAAGATTAAGAGCTGAATTACTTTTCAGTTATTCTTGGCTCAAAAGCACTCCGAACTGACGGTAGATTTGACATATCATAAGAGTCTGTAATAGACCTGATTTTATTTTATTTAAAAGCTGTTATATATTTGCTATGCTTAGTTTTTTGTTGTTGTTTGTTTTCATTTCTGAGGATTGTGTCAATACACCTATCACATATGTGAGATATATAACATCAATTCTACATCTCACACTAGGTGAATACGATTTGAAAACATTGGCAGTTTTATATACTATCGTCTGTTTTTCCGTACTTATCGATATGGCAAACAAGTTAATGGTCTATTCTACATCACATTAATACCTTAGAAATAGACTGTGATGTGGTTTCACGAAAAACTCATTGTAAAAACAAATAATAAAACGTGATCATTTCAGAAATAGATGAAATAAGCATTATATTAATTAAAATAGTGCAAAGTATTTAGTACAATTTACCTTAAATATATGAGAGCATACTTCACATTTATATAGTGCATTGTCACTTGATTGAGGACTGTTCTGAAAAAAATAATTTAAGGTAAATAATAATAGGTCTCGTAAATAAAAGCATTACGGGAATAATTATATTTCCTTAAAATTTCTTTGTGACAATCGATACCTGAATATCTTGTTTAGAATGCTTAATCACATTAGTTGGATGATCTATGTATATATGTTCCGCCAATTTCTCTTTACAATTGAAAATGGTTCCGCATTCACACTCAAATCTTCGGGCAGGACATTGTCTGTAATACAGTAGATACATTAGATGAATTGTACCATTATTTCCATATAACTTTACTATCAGTATAATAAAAATCTTTATTTTATTTCCACTCAGAAACTCCTTACAAGTCAGGTAAAGGTCGAAACAGAAACAGATATCCAGGCCTTCAATATATTATTTAGGAAAAGTATGTTTCGGGAGAATTTAACTGATTTCGCTTGAACTCTAATTGTTTAAAGCATATTAACCTTATATGTTGTTTTTTCATTTCCATAGACATTTCAGTGTGACAATACGAACAAGATATCATCAATGGTTTATCAGTCTTATTGATCTGAAAAAAAAATAATATAAACAGTTTCTGCCCACACAATTGTAAATAGACTGTTTAACTTTAAAATTACTATATGATTTAATGAAGTACCTGAGCTGTTTTCGATTTAACATGTGTAGATTTGGATAATTCCAAATAATTAGATAAACTACTGTCGTCTTTATATTCAATACCATAAGGTCCAAAATCCGCTTCCGACCTTGAGCTAACCGATATATCGAGATTGGGAATTCGGTCGGTGTCGAATAGATTAGTGGAAAAGTCTAAGCCATTAGAATAATTTTGGAAGCTTTCGTCTGAGGGCAATTTGTCTTCGACTATTGACGTATCGGATCCAATATTTGGTATTGTGTCAGTTTTAGTTGCAATATCCCTGAAAATATTAAATTAGTTAATATACAATTGCTTAAAATATAACATCCGTATAAGCGTGTACTACTTACGATTTATTTTTCCGACAGTGTTGCGTTATATGTCTTCTCAATCTGTAATATTATTTATATATCGGTTATATTATATGTAACTTTTAAAACTTTTTTCATCTTGTGGTAGCAAACACAGTGGTAAATATGTACTAAAGAAATTTAAAAATTGAAATAATATTAATAAAATTATTTCCAATTCTGGATACATTTTATTTGTATACCAAATCTCATTTATAATATATACATACAGCCATAGTCAACATTTTTACAAATTTAATGGTAGAATAGTGTGATATGATCCTAACCTAATATATATAACGTCATATATCGAAACGAGTGAACCGCTATCTGAATAACAATCCAGGTACTATTTTTCTTTTCTACAGGTATTATTTTTCTTACAAATAAATTTACCAAAACTTACGTAAATAATCTGGAAAATGTTCGCGTACAATGTCGACATCTATAGCGCCTCCGGCGTAAACTGGGCATTTTCTCCTAAAATAACATGACTGTGATTAAGCTCCGAGAAAATAGTGGAACTATTTCTCTCCAAATATTTACTCAATACTTTATTTATTAGGAAACAGTTACTCTTGTGATCTATTCGTTCAACACACTTTAAGCAATAAAAGACTAAACATCTGAAATCTATTTTAGATTTCTTTATTAAAGAAAAACAGTTTACATTAGAAATAGTGCCATATGGCATATGTTCGCTCTGAAAGTTAGTCTGTTAGCTGCGGGGTGTCCTACGCTAACGTTTGCCACTTATCTAGTTGACGTTGTCAACACAGTATACAATACATAATATGTAAATGAAACGTTTTTTATATACAAAACCTCTTACATTATGGCAGATTTCTTCATGTTGCAGAAGCAAAGCAGCTGATGCTTGTGCTTCGTGACAGTCGCAACACCACCAATTCTCTGGTTCGGATAAAACTACAAACATAAGGATATACATAACAAATGTTACTCCCTATACAGTTTATACTATGGTTTCTATAAAACATGTGATTAAATATTTCTATCATATAGAGATAAAAATATTTTAATATAGGTATATTGTTAGTAGACATATACAGATGATTCATAAAGGTCTATTTTCGTACCTTCACTAAGAAGTAAAACAGGTTGATTTGGTGGCAAGTCATGGTCTTCGACATATTGTTTGCTATATCCCAAATAAAGAATTGTTCGCGCCGCTAAAGGTCGTACTGTTATAGCATATAATTCGTTATCTTCTTGATACAACCACACATTTGCTTTGCTTTGGTCACCTAGTGGTAGCAAACTTAACCAATTCGATTTATCTGAAAATATCAATAACAGTTAGTTAATTAATAGTAATTAGAGTGAAAGTGTATAAGTGGAAAAGGAAACCCAACGGCTTAGTTGTTTAATACCTCAACTTATACATCACAAAGTTTGTGAATATTTATTAGGCTAGCACCAAAATAATACCTATTCAAATGTCTGATTAACTGATGGAAACATTTATAATAAACGAAAGTGAGTTACTTTTGTTTAATAGGTATTATTTTCTTTGAATAGGTATTATTTTGGTGCTAGCCTAATAAATATTCACAACCTTTGTGATGTATAAGTTGAGGTGGGTGGTGGTACGTTTCTAGCTATGTTGAATTGAAATATTCAAAGCAAGTGTTTTCTTCACCCTAACTTTGAGAGTTTAAAATGCCTCAATGCATATAAGGACTAGATAATCTTTTAATAGATAATCCCTCAGTTTAACTTGATTATTTATATTATAACATATAATATAAATAATTATGAGTATTCATACATCTCCATCATATTATATATTAGCTTACCTTTATCGGACACGTCTATGTTTATTTTATCTGATTTGTTCTTTATAAGAAATATAGGTACTTTTAAATCAGAGGCTTTAATAGTTAATTCACGTGCAACCGAATAGCTTACTTTGTGATTCACTCCTAAAAAAACAAAAATCAATAATTAAACTCTGTTGTGATATTTTTATACATGCAGAAAACAGTCATGTGCTTGTGATGCTATGAAATGTATATAAAGTTCTACCGATAGCCAATATTAATACAGTTTTACATCCTAATCTAATACTAAATGTTAACGCAGTGTTAACATTTAGTATTAGTATAAGTAACAGGAACTATATTTTTATTTGCTACATAGTACTAAGTTAAACAATGACAAGTAGACACAAAACGATTCCGTACTGTGTATAGCTTTTTGATAATTACAATCATGATTCCTGTGCGACATTTTAAAAGTGTAATACAAATAGACGATTAATCAGATATTAACTTGATTTATTTTGTAAACAGTACAGGAATATTCTACCACTATTGTGTCGACCAATTGGCAAGAGTAGGCTCACATTATCCAGTTCAGGCTTTACAATCCGTGCTTACAGCATTATTCGACCGACTATTGAAATTATACATGAATTGTCTTGTTTACTACCGGGTAAAATCTGACCTACAATTTTATAACCAAACAATGTGAATGGTTGTGAATGTATTTGTAGTGTTTTCCTATAGAATAGAATAGAATAGAAAATAATGTTGGTCACAGCTTGTGCACCATTAAATTAATAAATATTAGTATTAATTTAATACCTCTTTTTAAGCGACGTATTCTCTTTTAACATTTTATGTGAGCCGTTTTGGAAATTATACCTACCCAGACAATTGTTTGTTACCGATTCATAATAAATAGTTGTTATATCTGGTCCAGTAACAATATAATGGGCTGTTACCTCGCAAAGGTCCAAAGCGAGTACGCGCAGGCAACCGGCGCCTCGAGACTACGCGGCCGTCACGCCGTAGTTGCAGTGCCGACGGCAACACCGCCTCCGCACGCACCGGCGCTGCGCGGTCAGGGATATGGACTGTGGATACAGAATGGAAAATAAACGTCAGATATAGCTTCCAATACACAAATGAGGGAGGTGATTGATTAGTGACCCCATTGCTAGCAATGTGCCACATCATGCAACCCCTAAAAATCATCGTGGTTCTTGACGAATTCCCAACTATAAGGACTTTATGCCCATGCTAATATCCTTCACTGGTCATACCACGTCAACATGCATTAGCACAGACAGGTGCACCATTCCATAGAGAAGAAAGTAATAATCATGAATCACTAAGTGTGTATTCAAAGACAGAAAAAATATTTGAGGTAAGGTAAGAGCAGGGCATTCAATAATATTTTCGTAAATAGGGTTTACCAAGAGTATAATTTGACTTAATTTACATAAAACAGTATGTACCAGTATCGTGCCATAAAGTATGCTTAAATCCCTTAGAATTTTAGATTATTTATATTAATTGCTATCCACTAAAAATATGTATCCTATGTTCTCAAAATTATGTATTCTAGAGAATGATTCTATAAACCTGAATTTAAATTACAGAAAAAGAGTGCTTCTGTAAAACTTGTGTCAATTTGCTAAATAGACACATACCATAATTTTGACATATTTTATTAGCAGCAATTTTTTTGTCAGTGTTGTTCAATTGTAATTCCACTGGTTTATTATTCAATTCCGTATGAGATTCTGTAGCTTGATTGCTAAGCTGCATATTTATATATTCTTGACTTATATTATTTGCTGCAACATGAGTATTTCCAATGTTTTGGCCGAGAGTGTTGTTATCGGAAAGAGCTGATAAATTGTCCCTTATTGTTGAATCTGGAAAGAAAACAATATTATTGAAAATTGCATTTTGGAAGAACAACATTTAATTCTGGTATCCAAGACAATTAGTAATAGATAGTAATAGGTATTCCAAACAATTTTTTACAGTTCACATATTTTGAAATCAAGATTATCATTATTCCTGATTTTTTAAATCAGTAAGCTGTAAAACAGTTTTTGGATTTGTCAGAATTAATCTTGGTGTTTCCTATGTAATTATGACATACATAATTTTAAGTATTTATATCAGTTGTCTAGTACCCATAACAAGAATTTGAAATAGTAAAATAGTATTAATTAGCATACCTAGAGTTATTTGTAATGAATTACTATTATCTCTCTCTGGATGATCAGCTTGTAGTGCCAGTAAATAATGATTGTTATCCAGGTTCTGGAAATAATTACAGATATCAGATATCTATTGTTGTACTAAATGTTTCCAATATGATACAACAATGGACATTACTTAAATTAAATAATTAATGTCTACTGTTGGAGAGCATGGATTGACAATGACAGATTACCTCTACTGCACTATTATTATAAAGATTACATAATAGCCTAATAGAAGTGACAGTTCATTTCTATTTGCCTATTTCATTTACATTCAGCTGAATATACATATTTGTATGCATTTTCAGTGACACTATATGAGCTGTGAGTAATTAAAAGACACTATAAACATAAAATTTGAATAAACTCAAAGTAAAGGAATAAACAAGGTTCTATATTTAGATTTAAAAAGTTTTTTAAGAGTTTTCAGTTTTATTATAAATCGAAAGGATACTTATAAAGTTATTGCTGTTACTTGCGATTGGATGAACTTGCACTTTACTAATATAAAAGATAGCCTATGTTTGTTCTCATGGCACAATATATTTATTTATCAAAACTTCAATACATAAGTTCCATTGGGACTCCCAACATAAAGAGCCACGAAATTTTAATAGGATTCTTTTAGCCATTTGGTTGTGAAAAGACAACAAACAGACCAACTTTCCCATTAATAACATTAGTATGGATGTCAATTTTTTATTAAAAGGGAATACATACCAGTATCTGAAGAGGTAAGGGTTGCTGTCCCAGAAAATTTTGGCAGTCGTTATGATCGAACGCCAGGACGAACATACGGGTGGGACCTGTATCTATATAAATATATCATGATCTTACTGGATGACAACAATATTTGAACAAAATAAAAAAACACATTTTTTAATTAAAAAATATTTATAAGTCCGTTTAATATATTACATGTATAGCAAGATATTAAAAATTCCATTACAAATTGTCTGTAAATACGTACCGTTACTCATATTTATTTATTTTGTAGATTTAATAACTTTTTTTTGTACTTGTTTATATTCTAATACGACATTAATTAACATATAGTAAATATAAAAGGTTTAATAATTAATTATATTCATTTACAAATAACATTATTATGATTTTTGCGGTAGTATATGGGTACTAGGTATTTGACAGTTTGACTTTTCTGATTCTGACATTGATAACAGTTTTTGGCATTGCTAGTCAAATCTCAGAAAATGTCATGTCGGAATGTTTATTTTCGAACTACTCTAATATTTTTAGCCGCAGCAGGTTCTTTACAGCTACACCGGACGATTAATCATTTATATAGGATGATGACCCAGACCACCACTAATACCCGCTATTAAAATTTATTGCCACAATGGTTTGACTTAATGTTGGCTACTTGTTATCGATTGTTACAAAAAAATAAATAAAAAATCTTATTACGACTTGAGTCACCCTATAATTTTTATTTATATAATATTACTAGTTGTACCCGCGATTCGGTTACAACTAGTAATATTATTCGGTCGGTTTCATATCTATTGGTACTTACTGGCTGCATAAAGTTAAGCTCCTACTATTGACCATAATTTCTAAAAACTAAGTTATTATGTCCTTAATTTGTATTTATTATGCCAGCAGCAAAGAAATTCTTTTAGTGCCTACCTATGTACAGTGAGGACGATATAAATTTGGAGTCGTAAAACGAATTTTGAGACGTCAATGGTCGATTTCATTCATTAATCTTGTGAATAACTGGGGTAGGTTTGTGAAAGTATAATTTATTAATAATAAAAATAATACTTATTTTCTTCATTATAATTTTTAACTAGATAACGTTACAACTACTTATACAATGTAAAAAATAACTTCAACCTAATTGCAATATTTACTATTAATATAGTACCTTATTGTAATCAATAAGGTTTAAGTTAATGTTCTTCCGAAAATGGTTTGTGAGGAGTAGGTACGTTCATCTAGTACAAAATTATCAACAGTATCGGAGTATCTGAGCCCATTGCGAACAATATATCAATACAGATATTCATATGAAATGTCAATTACATGTAAGATTGGTCAATAAATTAATAAGCATATTAATAAACTGTTTATTTATTAGATAATATTTACAAAGACACTTTTAACGTAAAGTAATGAAAATATTTTAACTAGCATTAGCAACGATCCAATCAGTATAAACAGATACGCGAACGTTAACCCCTGGGTAGAAATGGTGAGCACAAAGGTAACCCCACGATGTAATACCCACGATAATATCGCCTTGATGAGCAAGTGGCCCACCCGAATCACCTTGACATGCATCCTTGCCACCAACATCCAGTATACCAGCACACAACATATCATCCAAGACTCTAGGAGCATTTTGGAATCCAGGTTGGGTTCTCAAATAGTCGTAGCGTTCGGCACAGATTTCTTGGTTGATAATGTTAATGTCAACACTTTGAAGTTGTTCCGGAAGTGGACCACCAGGCTACAACAATAATGTTATTGTATTTAATGATTTATAGACTACTGTGTTTCAGCACATAGTGGCTGGCATTGTATTCATCGCTTCTGTATTTTAATATTGTTTTTGTATTACTCGGCTTAGGTACAACATGATTCTAATCTTTCTCAGGAATTGATATATCAAATGGAAAATACTTTATTAGATTCGACTAGTCTTTTCAGAGTTAGTTGATGATAAAACAAATAAACCGTTCAGTTTTGTATAGACGTTAGCATTGCTAGTAGTAGTAATATATACAGTTGAACTTACCGCTAGAGTTCCCCATCCTACAGCAGTGACAGTGGTACCATCGGGCACAACGTATGTCACACCAGGAATGCGCGCTACTCCGACACTATTAGAGAATATTGCTGAACTAGCCAGTCGAACGATTGTAACGTCAGCAAGGAAGGTACTGCTCTGGTAGTCAGGGTGTGTAATTAATTCGGATACAGCAATAATTTGTCCACCACTCGCAGCGTACGATGTGCCCACGCGCACTCTCCAGTCTGAAGGCCTGTCACCTCTGCGTGCAAAAAAGTATATCTAAGTTTTAGTAAATATATATAATTACTGATGTAATGTATTTATTTAAGTAAAATTAATGTATTTATTTCAAAAAGTGAACACAATTTGAGAATTTCTTTTATTCTTTTCTAATTTTATTAAAATGTCAAATAATATTAAAACCATCTACCTAGTAGAGAATATAGAACTATATACTCTTAAGAATATAGTACTCTTGCGCACTCTTGACAAGCGCCTATTTACATAATATCTACACGAACCGTACTATAAAGTTATACCTTGATATCATCATGTATGTGTTTCCATTATAGAGGACTAAGATGTTATGCCAATTATCCTGAAATTTCATTTGTGATTTTTTTTATAGACTGTCTCTGGTAAATACTTTTTGTAATAAATATTATATATACTTTGTGTAAAATATAAAATTTAAAGATTCTTTTATTCTAAAGAGTCAGACTTTGTGATGAAAATATCTGAACACAAAAATGGTTACTGTTAAAAATAGTAATATTATTTTTACAACATACTGGTAACAATGAGCCGCAGATAGTACAGCTCTGGAAGTGATAAGCGATCCTCCGCAGGCTTGGATCCATAGAAGTCCAAATAAATGATATTGCATATTAGTCATGTATGGGTATTCTTCGACGGTGGTAGGATTGCCACCGACAATTCGCGACCAGTGAGGCCGCACCGCTGTAGAGTAAAAGAATGTGATTTTAAATTTAGATAGTTTACCTACAATATCTGAATTAAAATATACCTTATTCTTGTATATTATTTCCAATGTAGGTGCCTATGATAATTATGAAATATATATTTGGGTAAATTTTTATCCCGTCACTAACAACATTCTGCAACCACCCCTTAAATGGATTCCACTTTGCGTATCTAGTGCCAATGTTGGTGCATCAGTAGGTACCTAGTATTCGTGTTTTTGCGGGAAGTTTTTTTGACCGACTGCCAAAAAGAACAGATTCTCAATTCAATTGCATTTATTTATTTATTGGCATAATTGTATTGGTCAAAAACATACAGTAAATAGGCTATTTTGTGCTTAGGTCATAGATTTTGATGTAGTACAACAGAACGAGTAGAATGAATATTTTTATAGACAGGGTTTAAATCCGTATCGAATATAAAAAAATAATTACAAAATGTTAGATTTTTTCAGCAAAATCAAGTTATTATTTTGGTACTCACCCACAGCGGCGCCTATGAGAGTTAGAAGAACAACAGCACGCATTGTAAGAAAGTGGTATACTGATTAATGAGTTGAAAAGTTCTTATTTATATAGTAATTATAGTAGTAAGGATAATGAATGTTATCTATTAATAGACATTAAATTAATTAATCTTTGGATAAAAATCATCAGAGTGATAAAATGAGTCAATTACTTTAAAGATAATAGTCTAATAGATAGAAATCATATATATTAAGAAGCCAAATAACAAATGCGACCGAGCTTCGGTAGTGCATTGCTTGACAGTTGCTACTGGATTAGGTATATCGCACAAACTCAAAAAAATAACGATTTCTTTGATCTCGTTAACACGTAGGTATGGTACCTACTCATACATAGATAGAGATACATGGTTAGATTAGGATTTCATTCTATGATTCTTTTTTACTCATTGTAATTATTATTCTATAGACCTGTACTATGGTCAATAGAATAATAATCTCAAGACAATTCACACAGCGCCATCTAGACCCAAGTTAAACTAGCTAAAACTTGTGTTATGGTTAGTAGTTACTAGATAACTGATACAAATACATAGATTTTTTTTGTAAATACATACATATTTTCTTCTTATATTACAGAGGATATACGGCAGGCTATGGATGACACCAAATTGACTGCCATCATTTTATTGGACTTCAGCAGTGCATTCAACTCTGTTGATTTCGATATTCTCCTTGGTGGCCTCCGTGCCGTTAACATTTCAAATTCTGTTATAGAATGGTTCTCTTCTTTTCTTTTCGGTCGCCAGCAGTGTGTTAGAACCAGTGATGGTTCCTCTGACTGGACTTCTCTAACTGCTGGTGTACCTCAAGGCGGTGTACTCTCTCCTTTACTATTTTCAGTGTTTATTAACAATATTTCTTGACTCATTACTTCTCCCTTCCATCTGTATGCAGATGATCTGCAGTTATACCGTCACTTCTCCTTGTCGGAAGTGACTCAAACAGTAGAAGCTTTAAACTGTGATCTCTTGAGTATTCAATCGTGTGCTAGATCTTTCGGTCTCATTATTAATCCTTCCAAATCCCGAACCATGATTGTTGGTAGTAGCAGACTAAGGTGCAAGTTGGATTGTTCTTTGGTACCCCCAATAATATACAACAACATTGAGATAGCGTACACTGACAAGGTTAAAAATTTAGGACTTATTTTGGATTGTACTATGTCATGGATTTCCCATGTCAACGAAATTAGTAGAAGAATACATTTTTCATATCACTCTCTCAAACGTCTCCAATATTTTCTTCCTTTCAGTACCAAAATTATGCTCGCGCAATCAGTTTTGCTTCCCATTCTTGACTATGCCGACGTTTGCTTCTTAGATATGACTGAGGAGCTTTTAAATAAACTAGAGCGCTTACAAAATTTTGCTATAAGATTTATCTTCAGTTTACGCAAATAAGACCACGTTTCCGAGTTCCGCGCTCGTTTAAAATGGCTCCCAATCCGTATTCGGCATAATATGTATATCCTATCCATGCTCTATAATATTCTTAATAATCCTAATGCTCCCGCCTACCTTCGTTCCCGCTTTCAATTGTTACCCCCCTCTTCCCGTCCCAAACGCCTTTGCCAAAACCACTCGAGGATCCTTAAACTTCCTAACAGTAGAACTCAGTTTATGGGTAACTCCTTTTCGTTTCGTGCTGCTCAGCTATGGAATAATCTCCCTTTGGAGATTCAAAAAAGTCCATCTAGTGGTTCTTTGAAGAAAAAGTTAAAATCATATTACCTTTCTACTGCTATGTGATTAGTGTCATCATTGTATATATATCTTTGTAGTATTTATTGTTTGATTTAGTATATATTTATGTTTATTATATATTTATTATATGTGTAATTTTTTTTGTTTAGGTATTCAAGTACATATTATATATTAATATTTTTTTTTATCTTTATGTATATTGTATTAGTATCTGTATTTTGGACATTATATTTTTATGTTTAGTTTTAATTATTTTTGACATTTTTATAAAAAATATTTTTTGCACATTTTAACCCACTCAACACTTCCTATGCCACGCTCTATTGGGTTGACTGGAAGAGATCTCTTTTAGAGATAAGTCCTCCTTTGTTAACATTAGCTGTAATTAATATACTTACAAATGTATTTAAGTGCAATAAAGAATATTTATTTATTTATTTATACATTTTACATAGAAAGCAATCATACTTATGAATTCAAATGTTTGTGCCGTGCGAGGAATCGAACCCGCGACCATCGGAAGTAAGGCGGTATGTTAAACCGCTAAACATTCACCGAGGCCGTAGAATAATATGAATAAATGTATATAGAACAATTTATAGTATTCACTAAATAAGTTTTTCTTCTTTCTAAGAAAACTTATACAAAAAGACACGTAGCCATAAACCAAGACCAACAACACCAACCCTAAAATCTCACTCTCTTACTAATAAGTTATTGATAAGAGACGAGGTTATTGAAAATAACTCAATTTTTGAATATATCTGTACTTAATCATTTTCTACTCTCGGCGGCCGATATTTGGGTTGTTTGGGGTATTGTCAGGTGTGTGTAGCACCTGTAGCACTGCAACCTACATAGATCTATTGTGTTCGCACTTTTTTAGCGTTCGCTACCTAGTCAGGGACAAGAATTGAAGGATATTCTGGCGGTCGATAACTGACAAGTAAAAATGTTTACCGTCCAACGAAGGTCACGGGTCAATTAGTAATATATAAATAAATCTTACCTGACCCGAAGCGTAGTTGGCACTGGTTTTTACAGGGTGAAAAAGGTACCTTAATTCTAAATTGGAAACACAATCCTTTGGTAAATACTTTAATTGGAATGTTACTAATAATTAATTTACAGATCATATAGGTACGTATGATTTTATAGGACAAAAATAGAAGACTTCTAAATTACCATGTAAATTCCAAATCAGCTGGCGTACTTGATTACTAAAACACTTAGATCAATGTTGAATCAATTTTAACTGACATGCATCAATTTCATTTTTAATATTTATTTTTGGTACCTAAATATTAATGATTTTTTTAATATGTAATATTACATTACATATTAGGTACCTACCTACTAGATTTTTGTATAAATTATTTTTTCTAAAAGGTATTATAAGTTAAAGCATATTGAAAATGTTATAGTCATCAAGAGAGCCAGTTTTTACCAGAGTTATAGTAATAAATAGTGTAACCCAATTATTAAATTTTAGTTCAGATTTTGTAAATTATGTTTTAAGACGAATAAGAAAGTGCTATATGTACGATACTACAATTCAACTACATAACAGGTAGTGTTCTAATATTTTAAGTTCTCGATCTCGACTTTAATGATAATTTAATATTGTACCTATATCTACATTTCAGACTACAGTTCAATTTTCAATACGTGCAGGTAGACAATAGTCTAATTTATAAAAATCAAAATCTGAACTATCACAATAAAACAGTTTATGACGGATTTTTACTTTTAATTACATAGCTAATAATAAAAATAATATGAACATTTCACTCGAAAAGGAATAATTTTAAAATAACTTACGTAGAATAAAATTAATATATGGTGGGAAGAAACTTGAATAAATTCAATACATTGTTGTAGTTGTTAGTTTTGGTCTATTGTATAAATTGTGTCAAGATCGTACAGCAGAATATTTAAATTTAAAAATAAACGTAAACATCAATAAATTCGACTTGTATGTACTTAATTTTACAACCTCACAGAAAGTCGCACACCATCACATGATGAAAATTTACAATGCTCGCCTGGGATTATATTTAAGTATAAATAAATCAAGAAAATCCTAAACAAAAGTTACAATAAGGAAAATTTTGGAGATCTGATTTCTTCGTTTAAATAATGGAAGGCTATATTTTGAACAATTCAGTTATCAAACGAATCTTTTATTATACTGCAATAATTCCATATGTCAATAGATAGAAATGGATAGAAGCGAATTATAGATACTTGTTTAGTCAAATACTGAATACTATACTGTGTCATAACATTACAGAAACTATATATTTTCACTGCTGTTATTATTGGGTCTTCGTAATATATGTATAATGTCAACAAAATTCTATAACAATCAGTACCATAACAATGTTATATATCTGTGATTCCATTACATTGGTGATTCTTAAAATAGATGATAGATAAGTTATAATTAATAATATATTTTTTACAATTAATACATAAGTTATCAATTAAATTCCATATCTATAAATATTTTAAAACAAAGTCGCTGTGCGCGTGTCTATTTCGCTTCTAACACAACGGATTTTGATGCTGATTTCACTTTATATAATTTTTCGTTTAAGTGTTGTATGCATATCTTAATAGTATATTATTTAAGCTAATTGTAGGCGAAATGGGCCACTTGTAATTGTTACACATAAGTCCGACCGTTTTTGCATTTAAATAAATGAGACTGTAGTCTGGTCTATAAAAAGTCAACACTAAGCTTCCAAGCTTTATCAGAGTTCCATTCATTGCTTATGACACCTCGCCAAGAAGTGAAACACATCTCGCAATGGGTGTTGACTTTCGAGTTACCGTCGGAACTTGATCACTAACGGAATATTTGTGGTCTCACATAGATTTTTTTAAATGGAGTTGTAGTATATGCTTGTATTATATACCAAAATTGGTTGTCAAAAACGACTAAACTTACTGCTACAAGATAATAAATAAGTACATTTTCATACGTACATGAAAATAAAGTATTTCACGCGCGTAATTTAGTTTTTATAACTATTTCCATTATATATTTGTCAGTGTCCTAAAACATTGGAATAAGTACGAAGTAACAAACACATGGGAGATTTTTTAGTCACAAGTACATCACAAGAGCTGTCTGCAAAGATACATCTGTGTAACCCATCGTAAAGCAGTTAGCCCTAGATCACGTGTATACTGAAATGCAGATCGCACAGTCGACACATTTAAACATAGCACAGGTTTTTATAAATTGTGTGTATACAACAAGGCAGACATACTTTGTTGCAATTTATAAAAGATGAAATTACTTTTTATATGATTCTCTGAATTACACGAGTTTATTTTTATATGATTCTTCACTAAAACATACATACACCAATTAATGTTGTCTTTTTTTTCTTTTTCGACGTATACGCTGTATAAGCATTTAACTGCTTCGCGAAGGCATTGTCAAATTTTTTTGTCTGCGCTGCATAACCGATGTTTGTATCTCCGTATATCTTTAGGCATATGACAGAAACAGTTGTATTCTGATTATAAAGTATGATAGAGCTGTGACTGAAAATCTTTATGGTACGAACATTGTAATGCACCAGAATCGTTTTTGATGTTATAAGTGTTCACCTACAATCTACAGTTACCGCTTACGGTTACGTGGATTGGATAACTAATTTGTAGCAAGAAATTACATTGCGCCCGAATTAGACCCGTTTAATAAATTATTTTCATACTTATCTTAACATAATTGTTACTTACAATCTACGACAACATTCCCCTACTCTTGTTTATTTTTTGGGGTTGGTATCAAATGAATAGATTACAAATTGTTCTGTATTTACCTATGTACGGCTTACAATGTAATAATTTATAAAGCAAGTCTTTAATGTTACATAAGTGTGACTTAAACTAATAAAGCTTTCATTTCATGATTATTATCTAATTATGAGTTTTACTAGACTCGAGACTCAATATAAAAGACCGTTTTATCGAAGTGTACATCACATGTGGTACAATTAATACTCTTTAGTGGTAATAAAAACTTGTAAAACTCAATCTCGATACAAAGCATACGAATTACATAGAAGTGAGTGCAACTTGTACAATCGTATTCAATCAATAATACAACAATAGTTGTCGTCAAATTATTTATATCTAATCTTGCATGCAAGTTTTCCTATGCAGTTAACTGGAATAAAGACCAGTCACTTCAGTACAAACAAGTTCTTACCACCTTATACACAAATACAAAAACTCCTTCTAAACCAAAAATGGTTTAGTAAAGAAAATAGTTTGAGAGAAAATGTTTAATCATTAAAAAGGTTATTTAAGACTTTTGGCATTTCCATAAATACTGGGGTTAGACGTATTTTTCCGTTACGTCTTTACTTATCAATTGACATTCACTTCTATATAAAATTCTTTACCCTTATTAATTATTTATAATAATAGTAAAAGCCACTAGTATTATGCAATAAGTTTTCGATTTAAGCCATTTTATCTAAGATAAAGTAAATGTCACAGTATGTGTATAAAGTGAGTACAATTTGTGCTAAAATCCATGTCTCTTATTGTATTAATATTTGGCAGGTTTCAAGTCTGTATATTAATTTAACATACTATATCCATATCTACTTAAAGTACACATTTGAATAATCCTTATTATAATTATACTGATCATTGTCATTAGTGTGTACCATTGCTCTGTATTACCACAAGTACCATTTATAAACAAATAACAAGAGTAATACTATATTATGCAATAAATACTTATAAGGTACTTGAAAGAAAATTTATTAAAAAAAAAAAATTGTATATATACACTAATGACAAAGATGATCGCATAGCCTAATTGGTGTTCACCTTACATTTTTTATCTAATTTCATTACTAAAATAGTAATATACATAATATTACGAATTGCGTAGAATGTATAAAATGATGTAGGTACGTGCCTTCGAATTTTTTTGTTGTAACTCGATAGCTAAATAACAACCCATATGAAACTAAACTGCAACATCCAATAGACTATAAATAGTTACACCTACCTAGTTCTTATAATATCAGCTCATAACAAAAACATCGTATGTATATCTTATATCAAACATAAATAACGCCAAACAATAGCTCCAAAAGAAGCACAGAAAAGGCACAAAATTCATAAGATAGCGCATAATTCACTGTGCTGTGTTACAGATGTAATTTAGTGAATTTATTAATAACTAATAATGATCACTAATAGTTTTATCTGATTATGTACAGATAACATACAAATACAAACATCGCTGCGATAATGTTATTACTCTTTTATCATTGTAATAATATCAGTTATTTATATCGATAAGTAAAAATAAACGGACATGGTTTTCCCATAATTATATGTGGGATTTTACAAAAAGGAAAATGACGTAATTGACATTATAGATGTATTATTATTATCTGTGTTAAAAATCAATAAATCAATAATTCCTTTATCTGCCAGATTTACCAGTAGACTGTGTAATCTTATTTTGCAATTCAGTATTAGTATTAAAGATTTTTATTGTCCATCTATATTAATAACATAATCATTAATATGAAATTAATTGATTGATTGAAAATCAGGACTTTCCATTTTTATGATTGGGTGATTTATCAGCATTGTTAGCACCGACTAGTGCATTTTGAATTCGTAAATAATCCATAATATAGTAGGTCTCTGGAATGTTATATCTTTTAAATTTTTTCTTCCGATTATTTATTTATCACTAACACATTATCTAAGTACATGTTTTTCACATATAAAAATGCATTTGTAGACCATTATTATCTCCGGTTTTTTAATAATTGTAAACAGTAATATAAATGATGTTATTAACGTGAATCTCATTCCTCGTGCCGCGGTGTACTGTACCGTATTGAATCGGATACATGTCTTAGATTCACATATAGTATACTTTTGTTACTAATTGACGCGACTTAAGTATCACTTAAAATTTGTAAAGAACTTATAACGGTCTAGGAAAGGGGATCTTATTAAATTTTTATAAGTCACCTTAATTCATAAGAATTCGTTTTTTTAACTAGAACACTAATATTATATTAATATTAACCACTTATGCATCTGTAGTAGGTATATAAAATTAATCAATCAGTTATACCTACATAAATTAGGTTCGGTCGGCAGCGTTGTTTGTATATGCGGCATAATTTGGTTAAAACATCACGTAGCCTGAATTGAAAATGTGTGGAATATAAGTTATTGCCATATGCGGAGATTTGTCTCACTGTCGATCCACAGTTCGCTTGAGCCACTGCGTGAAATGCCGTAACTGCAATACAGCGCGCGCCGACTCTTCTTTTAGACGTGCATTGTGACGTCGTAATCGCCGTACCTGTGAACACACCTCTTTAATTAAATAATTGTTGAGAATTGTGCTGTAGCTGGTTTTTTTGTAACCGTTATTTTAGCAAGGTAACCTCTATACAAAGTCCTCTGTGTGTACTGATCAATGAGAAACTTGTCACAATAGTTGTGGCAAACGGCATGCATGAACAGCACCACGAACATCACGTCTATGTGACTTCTGTGGTATATATTCATGTATTACAATTTCAGAGAACCTTATCACCCTTCAACCGAATTACGGTGGTCTCATTCAGTGCGCTATGGACACTACAGGCAGTGCTGTGTTTTATACTAATGTAATGGTTATGAAAATTTAAGAAACTTATTTTTATTGTATAAAAATATTTTATTTACACTTTATTAGATATATTTAAAAATGTAACAGTAGATTGATTTAAAAAGTACTTTCGTATTAATAGTCGAGTGACGAGTCAATTAAGTCGGTTATCTGATAGTTGTAGGTCCTGAAATGACGGATTCGTTAACGAGCCATCGGCCGAGTATCAACTTGTGAGTGTTTGTCGAACTATATTTAAATTGAGGACAGTATTACAAGTTGTATAGAATACTATTCAATTTGTTGGAATCAAGTTCTAATATTACACTAATATACCTTCTATCGCTTTAGTGCTCCATGTGACATAGTAAAGTCTTACCTCCTCCTCGAGTTGGTGCTGGTGTCGCTGTGCGGCGGCTGCGTCGGCCTCCAGCGCCGCAACCCGCGGTGCCAAACCACATGCGCACGGCACGCCGCTCGTACTATTCACCACCACTGTACTATTTGCGACTGTAGCATTACTCGGAACGGGAATATTCCCGATCGTCTCTGTGCTCTGCTAAAAGCGAAACATATGGTCTAAGACACGCCCTAAGAGAGCTGTATACTCTGAAAGTTTAATGTTAGTCAATATGTAGATTTAGAAATTACAGATGGGTTGTCGGATTAAATCCTTGGTCTAATGTGTTTAATCTGACCGCCGCCCATGAGCACCCTCAACACCGGGGGAATGACAAGTATGTTGATGCAAATGACTGCAAAACGGTACGTAGCTTGATATATCGACGTCAAGCATCTTGAGGTTTCATTTCATATCATGGAGTGTTCTTCGGTAAATAACAATAATTATACTTACTGGTATGTCAGACCAAGAATCAGGTACGGGTTCAGTAGCTATGCTTTCTAAAGAAGGGTCTGCATTGTCCATTGAAGGATATTGATGTTCTTCACAGATCTAAAAAAAGGATAAGACAATATAAAATTAAGGCTTCTAAAATATGACTCATTGAACTTTCTACTATACATATTATATATTATTATTCCTACCCATCGGCGATTATAAAATACTAACTTTGATTAATAGCAAAAATTGACTGCAAGTCCTATATTTATTATTTGAGGTCGGCGCAGTATGTATACTCTCCTTTTGTGAATTGTTCTGAGATTATTATTATACATTATTATTAATAATACCTGCATCATGGCCCGAGTAGCGGTATGTACCAGCGCTGCCCAGTCGAGAGCAGAGGCGTCGGGCAACGGTAACGGCGGTCCGCGCGGCACATTCGCCACTCCTGTATTGTTTACAGCACCCAAGTTCGCCACTCCGCCACCGCTCGAGACTGCTGCTGTACTAACCACGCTACTTGATCGAGTTTCCCCGAGTTCCGCATCCATTATTCTCATCAATTCTTCCTATTAGGAAAAAATAATGGCACTTGAGTATTAATAGCTCAGTGTAAAAAGGATATGTTATGGCTATTGTACTTATCTTTTTCTTAAAGTAGGTATAATATATATGTAGTTATGTATGTATTATTGCGAAGTAATTGTATAATTTATATGTTGTACATGTATAATATGCGTCTTTTTCCTATTGTATTGTTTCTTGCCAATCATGTTGACCATTAACTTGTATGCCATGTCAAGTACATTTAAAAAATTACATTTACTTATATATTTCTAAATGGTATCATAATGTATTCTTTATGGAAATTGCGCGGATGGGATTACGAAATTTTGCACACTTATCTAATTATATATATAACTCAAAGGTGACTGACATATTGATCTATCAACGCACAGCCCAAACCACTGGACGGATCGGGCTGAAATTTGGCATGCAGGTAGATGTTATGACGTAGGCATCCGCTAAGAAAGAATTTTGATAAATTCCACCCCTAAGGGGATAAATTAACGCGAGCGAAGCCGCGGGCAAAAGCTAGTCGTTTATATAAAGAATGTAGTATGCCACATTAAACACAAGATTATGTATTTGATACAGACATATATACTCTTCTGTTATTATTTAAGATTCTGGTCAAATTGAGAATAGATTAATCTTGTTTGCCTTTAAGAAGACTATAGACAAATATAACCTTCATAATTTTAAAAATTACTTAAAATAAATAATGATTAAGTTTCTACTATTAGTTGATATAAGTAATTGACAGTTTTTTTATGGTTGATTGTAGAATGATGCACCCGCCTACGCTTACAGTTTACACTGGTGGGGCACCAGTGGAGGATAACAGGAGCATGAGGTCAGGTCAGTTGGCATCGTGACAAATTCACCAGGAAAATATCACATTAATTTCCAGGGTCAACCGCGTGGAGTTGAATCTGACTTGGTACATTGCTAGCGATTGAGTAATTAGTTCTCCCTTTGTAAATATCATAGTTGACGGTTACCACTTAGCAACAGGTGGGTAGTCAGGAAGTTGTTTTGTTGTTCCAATAACACAGGATTGTTTATTCATATGATTTTCGTAACACGGAAATAAAAGTCACCATGTTTGTTGAATGGTTCATGCCATCATTGGAGATATGGTTTTTTTTATTCGCCCATAATCGCAAAGATTCAATAAAATTGCTGTTTAAAGCAAACTAGGTCATTTGAGTATTCATTCGTCAGCAATGGCAACCCAAAGAAGTTCGAGTATGCTTTTTTAATAAAGTCCTACACATTCAGTAGGAATATTCATAACATATATTTTCCACAAATAACACAAAAACAAACAGAACTGTTTAAACACGGCGTCCTTGAGAAAGACACAATGAAATTTGTACAGAAACTAGTTTGGTTACACAGCTATTGATAGAAATTATTGACTACTCATGCAAATTCAAGACGCACCTGTATCACACTAACCAGAGCTGTTACAAAAAGTCTGAGGGTAGATTAGAAATCAGCGCACAAAATAAAAATAAAAATATCAGTAGAAAAACCTTAAGCAACAAAAAATAAGGTAAATACTGTTGTCCTGTGTAATAAATTAGAATCATTTTAATCTTAATAATATTATAAACGTGAAAGATTGTAAGTATGGATGTTTGCTACTTTTTCACGTAGAAACTACTGAACGAGACTAAAACTTTACAGTAATATATCTAGTTTATAGATCAGAATAACATATAGGCTATAATTTAAAAATATATAATCTAAATTGAGTAAGTGTGATGAAGCTGCGCGGCTGACCCGCGCATCTAGTCTCTAATAATATAGAGACATGACATATAAGTGCTCCGGATTGCTAAATGCATGAGAACATTGATGATTACGTAATGATAAGGTAGGTTACCGTGAGCGAGCTGGTGTTGGCAGAGGCGCGCTTGTGGCGAGCGTGGCGGGAAGCGTGCGGCGAGGCAGCTGCCGAGTCGTCGTGGGAGCGGCGCCGCACCACCGCCTCCGACACCGGCGACGACTGCGGCGACCGCCGCGCGCTCCGACCCGACCCACCTGACAATAACATTACTATAACGCCCCTATTAAACGCCGAGAGAATGAGGTCGTAACACTACTCGAACATATCGCTGAGAGGAATGGGGTCGTAACACAACTATAACATCTCGCTGAGAGGAGGCACGGGGAGGGGATCGTAACACATAGAGTATTGTTACGACTAAAACACAATATGGGTTATAATATTTCATCTATACTTGATGAAATATTATAACCATATTGTGTTACCATACCAGTACCAGTTCATGTGCCATTCTATGTAGAAAAAGAGAAAAGAAGTTTCAAAGTTAGTAGTATAACAGTTTAGTACACTGCCTTACTTTCGATTTCTAGTACGATGCAAAAATGTATTTACAAAAACAATGGTATCAATCTGGGTGTTACCCATGTGTATTATGTATGCAGTTACAAAATATACTTAGTTCAGAACTAGATGGCGCTGTGTGAATCGTCCAGAGGTATTATTATTATATTCTGTATGTACTTACAAAAAAAGTATTGTATAAATTATATAGTACCCATTACACAGGCTATACTTAACTCAGGACTAGATGGCGTTGTGTGAATTGTCCAGGGATATTATGATTTTATTACTATGTTTCCAGCATTATGCTGAGTTGTTAACATTGAATCTGTACTGTAATGCATTTAAATTGTTGTTTGCATTTTTTGTCATTATTGTTGTGACAAGACGACTCAATAGAATTCTATTTCATATTCAGTATGTATTCACCAAAAAAAGTATTCTATCAGTTGTCTAGCACCCATAACACGAGCTATGCTTAACTCAGGACTAGAAGGCGTCGTGTAAATAGTTCAGGATTATTATTATTATAATGTACCGGTGCCGTAGCCGGAGCTGTCGGAGCGCGGCGGCGAGTGTCCGCGCTCGTAGGCGCGTCGCGGACGGCCCGGCTGCTGCGCGTCAGCTCGCGCGGGCGCCGCCCACTCCTCACTCGCAGCCTCGCACTCGCACCGCGAGCTGCTCGCGAACGTCACCGTCACCTGCGCACGCGCATAATACACACCTCTATATTTCCACTGTCTATTTTAATTGCAAAATAGGAATGTTACAGTAATAATAGATTACGTAATAATAAAAAACTGATTTTATATAAATATCGTTGAACTAAATTTAGTTCGTTCATGGTAACTGCGTAAGGTTTTACAACGAACTACTAGAGTGTGTTCTAAATCTGCCTGCAAAAGATTTAAATTATTACATAGTATAAAACGAAGTCGCTGTCGCTGTCTGTTCCATTTTTTAATAGACATAATGATTCAAGAGGAAGTTTTCTATATATAATAATACATGTACACCTGTGAGAAGCCGGGACGAGTATTTACGTATAAAACACTTATTAAAAAAAAAAAAAGGATAATTATAATATTAAAGAGTACAAACTCTTAACAATAATGTTATTGTAGAAAAAACTTTTAAATTCATAGAGCTAACAATATTATCTGATTTCACTAAGAATGAGTGCGCAGCGGTTTTGGTGTATGTGTGTGCGCGCGTGCGGGTGCATGTGTTTTTTGTAATACTGACCGTGACCGGGTCGGAGGTCTTGAGGAGGTCGACGAGCTGGTCGTGTGCGAGCGCCACCACGGCGGCGCGGCACACCTCCAGCAGGCGAGCACCGCGCCGGATGCCCGCGCGGGCCGCGCACCCGCCGCCCTCCACCGCCGTCACCAGCCCGTCCGGCTGCACGTGGAAACCTGTTCACACATGTCAAACCATTGTCGCTTTACTGAATAAGTCCAATCTTACCTCCGTATTAGGCTCTGCTAGGTCATCTAGATTAATTTTAGAAAGAACCCTTTATATAAATCTCACTGTACGTGCTTATAGGAATGAACTCACTGTCAAATGGGCGATATAAGACTAGAGCTGAATTTCAATATAAAAAACAAATCAGATTGATGTTGTCATGGATCAGCAGTTTTGAAAAAAATATTAAAATTAAAAAAACATATCAATTGTCTAGTACCCAAAACAAAAGCTCTGCTTACCTTGGGACCAGACGGCGTTATGTGAAATGTCCAGTGATATTATTATTATATTATGTATTTATTTACAAAATAAAAAAAAGATTTTTATATTAGTTGTCTAGTACCTATAACACAAGCTCTGTTACCTTGGGACTAGAAAACTTTGTGTGAATTGTAAAAAAAAAATTGTGCCATAGTCTGACCGCATTTACATGATCAAAGAATAAGAATTTCATGCCATTAAAATATAACGTAAGTAAGGGTCCAAATTTACCGAGTTGATGTGCCGCGCCGCGCTCTAGTGTGATCTCGTGGAGTGCGGTGGCCTGTGGTGGCGCGACACTGGCGAGTCGCCGACGTAACGCAGAGCCCCCGCCGCCGGCCCGCACCCGCACGCTCTCCCCCCGGTGGTAGTATACGCGCGTCCATTCTCCGCTCTCAACCCAACCTGTAGGAAGCGGGAGATTGTTTGTAACAGTTTTTTGCCCGCCTGCGTTAACGATTTACGTTAGCGGAACGCCAGTGGAGGATGATAAGATTAACATGAGGTCTACATGAGAACTTGAAAACTAGAAGCGACAATGTATAATAAATTGTCAAAATACAATTATAATGCATAGTAAATTCTTAAACTTCTCTCTGAAAAAAGATCGACCACTCAATGTTCACTTCAAAGAATTTAAACTCGTTTTAATACTGCAATTGGGATGCAATTAATATATGTATGTATATATACATGTGTACTTTATCAAATAGTTTCATCCAATTCATTTCTTGCAAGCTTACGTACTGCGCCAACCCCAAATAACGCGATAAAAGCAAGGCAATGATGATATGCTTAAATTTATTTATTTATTAGCACACAAAATAGCAACATGCTAAATTATATACATTAAATACTCGTTGTGGAGATTTTTGGGGGAGGCCTGTGTTCCGCAGTGGACGGGTTGAGATATGAGAGAGACATCATTGAGATGGTTCAATATGTGCTAGATAAGGCAAATGAAATTAAACCGATACATACCAAGAAGTGAGCCTGTAGGTATAACCAATATGATCTGGCGCGTCGTATCCTCCACAAACACGACAGTGTCGGACGACACACCCATCATACAATCCAATAGCGAACCGCCACCACCCTCGTCTAGCACTTGCACCTGAATTAGACGAAATATATTCATGTATACTGCAAAGATAGGTTTAATTATTTTATAAGTTAAGACATTTGTTTAATTTATCTACTAATTATCTGTCGCAACACAGGGTTCAATTTATACAAATGAACTATATTTGTACATATAACTAAGAATGCTTGCGCATATTGTACCTGATTTTGGTGTAGATTTCAGTGGAAAATGTAAATTATGTATAATATTTATTTTAATTCATTGTTATTTACAGGGTTTAATTAAAAGTTAATCTAAAATTGATGATATTTATATTTTTAATCCCTGATGCAAATATACATATATTGAAGTGACGTATCTATCGTCTCTCTGTGGCATCAATGCTTGTTAATGAATAGACCGATTAGAGTTTTTCTAGGTCTTTAGAAAGTGGTACAGCTGTGTTCGAGATGGTACTTAACTACAATTCATTATAGGTTTATTTATAGGGAGATTTGAAAAGAGATTTATAAATTCTATAATTACATTTTAGAAATCTATTTCATTTATTAATTTGTAAATATAATTAGAAGTTGGTAATGTTAAAAATGTGTTGTTAAAAGCATATTCAATATATGCAACTAAATAATAGGTACTAACGTGAAAACAGAGCGCTCCTCCGACAAGAACGTGGTTCGCGCAATTATCAATGCGGGGCACCACCGTGTTGTTACTTGAATTGCTGCCGCTTTTCATTAATAATGACGAGAATAAGGCTGCAATAAAACATTGTTACAGATTAAATATTATAGTAAGTACGTGACTGAAATTTTTATTATTTCTTCCCTTAAAATAGTCTTCAGTTATGTTTTAATAAGAATCATTGGGAATGTGTCGTGGTTTGGTTTGGTTGGTTTATATCACAATAGTATACATATACAGATATACTTACAAAACTTCTGTCCCGTTTCCACGGTAGTTGCTGAAACGTAATTTTTGGCCAAATCCTTCAGGTACTCTTGGCGTGTCCGTGTCGCCATTGTACTAAATTTAGGCGATTGTATAGCTGCATTTTCGCCATTAATTACCTAAAACAGATACCAACAAACCGAAATAAAGCAAAAATATTTTTTTTAACGAGTTTCAGTCGATAAATCAAAGATTTATCGACGGTTGACATACTTACATTGCAAATGAAATAAGTTTATAAAAATTAGGTTAAGTACGTAGGTCACATTTTCTAGGCGTTGCATAACAGTAATTATTAACAAATAAATGTGATAATATAATTTGCATTGTGTTGTTCATCATTATATAAATAAGACATACCTTACTTAGAAGTAAATCAGTGAATGCTTCACCCTTCTTATAAATAGCACCATGCTGAATTGGAGGTCCAAATAAAGGCACTTCTTTCGCACGACTAACAGCTATACTATAGTGAGTATTTTCTGTACAGGGGTCTATAACTCTGACCACAATGAAAACGTGTTGAAATTGAGAACGAATATTGCGCGGTGTAAAAGGCGCCGCACCGGGTTCTTGGAAGACTATAGTTACTATATCGTTACCAATATGTCGCTTCCTTAACAACTGCTGCCTGTTATTCGGCGTGTATGGAAGCATAGTGGAAACGTGAAACATTATTTCACAACCCTGGTATGTAGTATACACTGAATACAGTCCAGTGGAGTCTGTTCGGTTGTCAAGCCCTGCTTTGTATTTGTCAAATTCTTTTAATCTCACTGTCTGTCCCAACATTTGTAGGAACTCTACGAATGCTGGACCAGCTTCTTGGTTGTTATACATCTCTTCCTCTGTAGACTGTCCACTTTTGCAATACATGACTCCTACTTTATAATGTCTGGTTACACATTGTTCATCAAGTCGTAATAGTTGATCTTCTGCTCCGCTGTTTGTAATTCCTAGCCTGTAATAATAAATACATTGCAAATTTTATAAACAATTGTATGACTTGACAGGGTAATATGGTTGATTAATATAAAGTGAGTATTACTTGAAATATTAATTATGAAGAGTTATGTGACATGAGACATCATTACGTCAAGAAGTGTCTTATTGTCTACTACCATATTATATAATCTAATTTGGAATAGAAATAATCTTTATTCAAATAAACTTAATATAAGCACTTTTGAATAGTCTCATTTTTTTTATTCTACCACTCATTCGGAACGCAGACTCATCACAAGAAGAATTAGAAAGAAACTTGAGTGTTGATCTTTTAAATAAATGTTGTTTTAAGTACATTTACATTAACAAGGATTAGGCATGTGACAATCAATTTGATTTGTTATCTTGTCATTATTAGAGTTGTCTACAAATTTAAATTGTTGTGAAGAATGTGGTGTAAGCAGAAATGATGAGTGCTATAGACTTATCAGTTGGTGTACTAAATAACTTGGTCATGATTCTCTCATGAATCTTTATTAATTGAAAATGTAACAAAAAAAAATGTAAAGTTAATGGTAATAGTTCAATTAAATTATTTAAAAATATCAATTGTTTTTATTATAATTAAATAATGTATATCAGTAGGTTTTCAATTGCTTTTTAATACAATGTCGAATTAAATATTATATATACAACAATATGAATTACTCACTTTAAGCAATTGTACTGCAGTTCGGGTGCAACATACTCGAGTACTTCTTTAGTAATATAATTAGCGCTGTTATTGCTAGGCTTTGCTGCGGGGATAGCATCCTCAAGCACAGTGCCCCTTAGTGTAAGAAGTTCCGACGTGCGCACTATGAGTCTATATTGCCATGCGAGCTGGGAAGCCGGCGCCGATGCGTCACCTCCACCACCTCGTCGGAGCTCCACTCGTTCTTTTTTAATCGATATAGCTATCGGTCCTAAGTTTTCGTCCATACCGAACCAATTTTGATGAGCTGAAATGACGTGAATCTGATTGATTACATTCAGAACCCATAAACACCCTACTGAGGGGCATATAAATTATAAACCTACATTGACAATGCATTAATTGTAGTTTTATTCTGTAGTAGTACCAATTTACAAGTGTAATGTAATGGCAAACATGCCGAGACAGACCACATGATAGCAATTGGAAACTGTCGCCTATCTGCATAAACAGAAAGAAGAAAATCACATAATAATTTAATGTCCAGGGTATCACTCAAAAGCATTACCATTCAGGGGCATTGAGTTGTAAGTTGTAATGCCTTCGTACTCTGTAATTCTGTAATTTAACATACTGCCATATCTCACCCTTCAACTGAAATAATGTATTTATAGATAAATACAGTGTACTCACATATACAATATATTTTTATTTCTAAAAGATAATGAACAAAAACGCGTTTGTATGTAATTTGGAATATACAAAAATAGCAGAAGCACTATCATATTATTTTTTATTAATTGGAAAAATCCACTCATTAACTTACTGAATGTTTTATTATATTAAACTTTATATATATGTACTGAACAAATATAATTAATAAACTTACGTTGATTATTGAAATAATGTCTATAATATAAGGCACCTAAGTCTTGACTTTCAACTGGTAGGGGTACAGGTGATTTTGCAAATGGACAACCATGTTGCCAATGCGAACGGCCAGGAGGAAACTCCAGAACTGATATGCCATATGCAGCTCTTGGTCGGTGCCATCCTCCATTCTGACCTAAGATGGGTCCACGAGCTGTTCGCCAGCACAGAGAAACACATCGTTCTTCTTCACCTAAAATTTATAAACATTGTATGTATCTATAAAAATTTTGAAAGTCCAATAAGGTTTCATTTGAATAATTATATATTATGTGTTTAAATCAAATTCCAAATCTTTAGTCTATAAGGTAACTAGATAACCTATTTTATTTCATATGGAACTACAATAACCCTGTTTTTATTAGAATGCACATAACAAACATTTAGGAGCTCAATTCAGAATACTTAATCAGGATGAAGTTCATGTAAAAATAAGTAATTACTTATGTGACTAGGTATATTTAAAAGTACCATTTTTTATACAAAATATAATTCTTAAATGCTATGTTTAAATTTTTAATCATAAAATTTAAAAAAATATGATGAAAATAATATTCAGTAACATTTCAATTTTAAGCTGTTGTGTAGTTTAAGAATATTTAATAAATAGTACTTTAAATGTACTTAGTTACTTAAATGATTAATTCTTTACAGTACCTACTATCAATACTAATATTATAAATGACAGAATACTGATTTATGATCACAGAAAGAGAATCCATCTGTCCTATATGTTACCTGTTCACAACAAACTGGCAGAATCATAATGAAATTTGATGTGAAGATAAATTGTATTACAAGGATATCAATTTAACAGATACTCAATCTTTTGTTAAACTCAACTCAAAAATAAGAGTAGTCTACTCTTACTTTTGAGTTATCCTTTATAGTGTGATTGAAATTAGTTATTTGTAGTATATACACATATAATTATTCAAACAAAAGAATGAGTATCTGTTAGATTGATATTCCTGTAATACAATTTATCTTCACATCATCATTTGAATCATGTTGAAAAAAGTTTTGAGGTAACACACATAACACAAAAATTGAGAACATACTCCCTTTTTGAAGTTGGTTGTAAAACAGATAAGGTCATGTGTGTTTTACCAAATAAAATACAAATTTTCATGTGTCATACATCAAATAACAATAATTGTGACCAATATAAACAAGGATATTACTGACAAATAAAATAACAATATTATATTTTAAGGGCCATTTGTAATAAACATCACTAAAATTAGAGCTAGAGAACAACAACAAATGATAGAGATCAATAAAGTTAATAAAATATGTACATAGCAGGCAATCATTCACAGAATGTGAGGAAACCTGTCCTGTATTACTATTGTGAGTCATGCAAGGTAAATCTTGTATTACCTTGTCAACTTTGGGGAATACATGACCCTAAGAATAATAGAAGTTATCAGGTATTATGACAACATATACAATATTTGTTATTTAAGTATGATAATGTACAAGTGGAGCTATCAGCAGTGTTTAATATTACAGGCATTAATTACCCAGGGGTCAGTAGGTGTGGGGTATCTGCTGTAGTTATTCAGATTGATACTGCTAGTGACCTAAAAGCACAACTGTATCCTTTCACAAATTACCAAGAATATATTTTTAAAGTGAATAACTGGTAGTACTAAACATACATGAGGAGTGGGAGTTATTTCATTTTAAACTAATGATGTATTCTATTTAAAAAGTATGTGAAGTAGTTTTTAATTTAAGTGATAGGACCCAAATTTATGACTTTCTACCTTTTCTGGTATCAACAATATAACAATTTTGGCACCTCCATGCAAAATAAATAGTAAGTGACATAAAGGCAACTAAAATATAAATGTTTCACATGACTTGAAAACCATTCATTAATCAAATAAATGAAAGTATAGAAACATGAATTAATGAGTATTCAGTCATTGTACCAAGGGTACAGTTATAAAAGAAAACTATTTTTAACTAAGTACAGATTGTTATGTTTAATATATAACATTATTTATATATGGTAAGCCATCAGTATTTTTGCAGTTTACACAAAAAACAAATTATTTTTTAATAAAATATATGTTACTTCTGTTAAGAATACTGTTGGTGCTGTTGCTCAATGTTAGGAAAATTGATTTATTTTGTATATACAGAATACATATTAATTATTAAATAACTAAACAAAAAGTAATCACTCTCAAGTCTCTTCAATGATTTGTAATTTTATTAATAAATATTACTAACATTAGTTATACTAATAGTATCATTATGATTCATTATTACACAATTCAAATAATAATAATAAAAAAGAAGCACCACATTACAGTGAATGCATTATTTGGTGATAGATTATAATTGAATAATACACAGCCAATTATGTAGCTAACTGTACCATGTTCAGCATGAATGAGCCAGAGTTAATGCGACATTAATTACAAAAGAATTTAATGACATCACACATGAATGAAGTTGGTGGTTAGTATAATACAGTAGTTTTAGTCAAAGATGCTATTTTTTGATCTTTATTGAATATCTTAGATTTATGTAAATGATATATTTTTATGTCAATAGTAGGTATTAGTCATGAATTATGTATCACACTAAGAACAATGTATGAGAGCGGAATTTGTATGTCACCTGATTCACAGATAACACAATGCTCATGTGAGTTGGAAATAAGGTGTAAAAGTGAAATAGTATGTATAAAACATAAAATGTTCAATAATAAATACAAGATTAACAGGAATTGTATCAACTATTGCCTGTTAAGTTTGTCTTTCATTTATTTTATTTTTTGTTTGGATTAAACAGGTACAATAAAAACTCAATATGATATATATTATCAATATATGTCATATTAATATGCAAAACTGTATGTTTATGAATAAAATCAGAAATGATAACAATGTAGATACTAAATATCGAATGATAACATATCTTTCTGTTACAGAAATAAAGATATATTATAATTTGATATTTTACTTTTAATTTGTCATTACTTGGAGTTTTCTAGAACAGGGTCATATTTAGTCTCATATTTTTATTATACACATATATTCTTCATTATCTAAATACCTTTAAAATAATAAATATTAGGTACTTACCACCTAATTCATTCCTGAAGAATGGACAACTGTCTAAGAGTTCATTAGATCGTCCATCACCAGTATCAGGTACAGAATCTTCGCCTGGTGGTAGACCACGGGTTGCTAGTAGAGATGCAGCAGATGCTCCTGTTGTGGTGTTACGACGTCGACTAAGTAAGGCTCCACGAATTTCTGCAGCATAGCTCAAGTTGGCTGTAAGCGACTGACAGTCATAATGTGCAAATTGTTTTCTTTTACAAGCATCCGAAATGGTTGCTAATGAACCATCGTCAAGTGGTTGGCGAGATAATACAGGTGCATTACCACCCCACAATTTATTAAGTTTTAGTCGAGGTTTGGGGCTTGCACTAGCTCTAGGTTGCGGACCATCTGCATGGTCGCTGTTTAAAGCGTTTGCGAGTCGATCATTGGGTCTCACCAGTCCAGGAGGCTTATCTGATGCAGAAATAACACTGTAGTTATGTACCATTGCCGGAAGCCGATCGTTGGCACCTCCTATCACGTCGATAGAACCGTGACTACCATATTCTCGTCTCAAGCTGTTTCCAGAAGGATGATCAGCATATATCAAGTCAAGACTTGAGTTACTGCGGTACATAACATCTCTTGCTTCCTTTCTTCTATGATCTGGGGCATACATGGCATATTTTTTTATATTACTGTTTACTTCATATTGGTTAAATATTTAATGAATTCATTTATTACTGACAACTATTCTTAACTTTCACAGAGAAGATTAAATTCTTCGTTATATATTGACACCATGAAACTAAAATCTCTTCCAATCTCGAATTAACGGACACTGCTTTATCACATATTTATTTACATAGATTTCTAAGTAAAAAATTATCTTTAAACATTTGGATAACGATAACAATTCGGTATACAACTAAATGTCTTTGCAATAACAAAATAGAGAGAAAATAATGAATGAGATGACTGGGATTGTGTGTGAATTGTGTAGTTTTTTTTTGTTAATTGAGTAGGTACATTTTCTCTTTTCTCAGTCTACGATTTGCTAAGCCTAATTAGGTGTCTGGGTTCTTGCATTTTGAGCATCAGTACAACGGTGAAATAAATGGTCAGCTATGGTTTTTATTAAGGTATTCAAATGTATTGCTTTGTTAAGAGGTTTATTAAATAATATAGTAGATTTAAAGTAGTTAAAATAAAAAATTTGTTTCTAAAATTGTATGAAATAATGCCTGACATGATCGCATTCAAAAACATGTACGTTGATTGGTTTTATATACGTCAAGACGAAATGTCATCGTGTTTTAGAAGCGTTCCTCATTTGTAAATCTTGCACTAATGCGTCGGTCGGTCATTTCCTCAGTTGCCAATAATGATGAGCATTACAAATTATAAAATTATAGATTTTGGGATAAAATTATTTTTGTAATGTTAATGTTATTATTAGGTGTAAAAGATTTTTGGCTAATATTGGTAAACAAAATATTTATTAATACATACATTTGGTAATTACAGATTATTTACCAAATTTATGACTGTTCTGTTAAGTAATGTTTCATATACCTATCCATAAAAAAAATACCTTAAATGCGTGTAGGCATGCACATTCTATACATCGTCCGGTGAAGCTGTTACTTGAAAGTAAGTAATCCTCATAACATTTTGCAAACTTTCCGAAGAAACAAAGTGGGAAATGGGAATTGTTTTTTTAACCCTTGTCGTTGGATCGGTTTAATATAGAAATATTAAATTATAAGTATAGAAATATTAATATTTACACTGCTACAAAATGGTTCGTATATACGAATACATTGAATACTACTCTTGGGGGGAAGGGGATTGTTAATAATGGGAACTAGAAATTCCTATTGCTAGCAATGTACCATGTCAGGTCGACCTCCACGCGGTTCCCCCTGGAAACCATCGTGTTAAATTCCTGATGAATTTGCACGATGGGCTAACTGACCTGACCTCATGCTCATCTTATCATCCTCCACTGGTGCCCCGCTAGCGTAAACCGTTAGCGCAGGCGGGTGAACCATTCCATTATCAACCCAAAAACAAAAATACTACTCTTGGGGGGGAAAGGGGATTGTTAGTAATGTGGATTGATTATCTTATTGCTAGCAATGTACCATGTCAGGTTGACCTCCACGCGGCTCCCCCTGGCGGGTGCACCATTCCACTATCACCTATAAAAAATAAATACTATTCTTGTATGTCACGATGGGCTAACTGACCTGACCTCATGCTCATCTTATCATCCTCCACTGGTGCTCCGCCAGCGTAAACCGTTAGCGCAGGCGGGTGCGTCTGCCGCTCACACAACAGGAGCCGAGATGGGAGGAGGCGCATCCCGTATTTCGATGCGTCTTCCCCACGGTGGGCGGAGGCGGGGGAACTGGGAAGAGTTCCCCCCACGCGTTGAGGAGTGCCCGCTTGCGGGCAACCGCCGCGCGGTTGATTGCCAGCTCGATCTCGTGACCCTGGCACTATGACGGCGAGGAGAAATATGGTGTGGTTTTTAGTGAGTAGGAGTCTCACAGTACCCGTCCGTCCAACCCCTGATACGGCCGGGTCCAGGTATAAAACACAGGACTGATATACAGGCCCGGTTTTAATTTCTGTCCTTAACCTAACCTGGCTAGGGTAGTTTATGTAATGGAATAATATTAATGACAGCAACCAAAAGCAATATATAATACTTAGTATAAATAAGTCCCTACTGGACATAGATTTATATAAAATTCCAGCTGTTCCCGCGACTTCGTCTGCGTGGAACTTAACTTTATTTTTCTAAAATAAAAGTAGCCTACGTTAGTCTATATTAAATCAGCTATCTGAGAAAAAAAAAACTCCCGTCAAAATCCAGCCATTTCAGAGATTAGCTGGAATAAACAGACTGACAGACAGACAAAAATTGTAAACTTTGCTGTTTTGGTACATGTATCGTATTTATATTAATATGTAGTAAAAAACGATTATTTTAATATTACATACACTCCAATTTTATTTATTTGTATAGATAACACAAGGTCTAAGTTTCTTTATCTTCATCGGCATCGGTGTGATGACTGCGACTTCTTGACGAAATGGATTTCTGTGAATAATTAATTAAATAATATTTGATATCTGATGGTAGATATTGGAGAAGATTGGCATTGAGGATATCGGTCCATTTTTGATGTTTTTTAGCTGAAATTTTATATCAAATTCAAATTCATATAGTACCAGTAACAGGTTCTATATGAATTTGAATTTAAGAAATTTAAGTGCAGAAAATACAGATCAAACATAAATACCTACTACAACAATAAGAACAGTCATTAATATCGGACCGCTCTGTGTTCACCCATGAGGTGTAAACCCATTAGTCCTATTCCACATACACCATATTCCCATGATATTGCTCCGTGCGATTGTTACTTGTTCGGTTCGATTACACATAATCTGGCTAATCACCAATTCAACTTATATGAATGACTGATTATTAAACAATTTTTGGTAATAAAGTTGTAGTTTATAAAAAAAAACAGCGCGATATCAAATTTACTTATAACAAATAATTAGTATATAAGGTCTCTAATAAGTATTTGATTTCTTAAATAATATCTAACTGTTCGGTTTGGTGCTTAAGTAACGTTCACTTCCTTCTGGTTATATCATTATATCCATACATTAATGACATTTTATTTCGCATTTAGTGTGCGATAGCAGGCCTTCATCTTACAAGTCAATAAGTATAGGCTACCTAATAGGACCTGACTGGGGGGAAATGGGATTGTTAGTAATGTGGCCTAATGAACCCATTACTAGCAATGTACCATGTCAGGTTGACCTCCACGCGGTTCCCCCTGGAAACCATCGTGTTAAATTCCTGGTGAATTTGTCACGATGAGATAACTGACCTGACCTCATGCTCATATTATTACCCTCCACTGGTGCCCCGCCAGCGTAAACCGTTAGCGCAGGCGGATGCACCATTCCATTATCACATACAAAAAAGAAAAAAATAGGACCTGACTGAACATGGAAGATGTAATGACACTTCATAGAAATATTTTCTCACCGTTTCGACGGATATAGTCTTATCCATTTCAATTTTAAGGCGCTCCAATTCTTCAGGTCCTAGTAACTGTGCACGAAGACAGTCTATAGCCAGCCTTACTATACGCTCTAGTTCCTCGTTTGATACTTGAACACCGCAATCTATAAAATGATTATTTAAACTGCATAAAACACACCTACATAAGATAATGAGAGAGTTTTCACTTCCACTTTTTGATATCGACCCCTAAGCTCGCGAGTTCATTTTTGGCCAAAAGAAAAAACATTTCTGAATTTTTCGGTGATAGAAACATCAACAATATATCTAATTAATCCGAGAGACAGTGCAAGGAATATGGAATTCAACGTGCTAGAGGAAGAGCTCTATCTACTAAGTTGGATTTTATATGCCTTCGCAAAAAATGTCAGGTGCTGCATTTAACACACGAGTTATACCGACAGTTGACATCGCCTCAGATTTCCCATTTTAGATAACAATTTAATACTTATATATATATATGTTTGTGATACGAGTCGATAGCTACATGTATCATGTTAATGTTAACTGTTGTGGAACGTATTCATAACAATTGCCTTGATATATTGCTTACAACTATTCCAAGCAACGTGACTTGCATCGAGCATACCCCTGCCCCGTCCGAATTTTATATACACAAATGCAAACAATGCAATGATGTCATTTCTAAATCTTACTAATATACATGGATGCTTGTTACTCTTTCATACAAAAACTACTGAACTGATTTTAATGAAACTTTACAGTGATATAGCTTATACATAAGAATAACATATAGGATTTAATTTAAAAATATATTATGTAAATTGAGAGAAATATAAATATAGTTATTTTTGCGTGAAAGAGTACCAAACATAAAGATAAAGACATCTCATTATTATAGCTAAAAATTGCCCACGTCTTCCAATGCACTACGGACATATGTAGCTAAATGAAGGTGGTCTTAAGCAGGTCAATATATAACCATTGTATAATATCCAAGGTTGTTATCATTTTCTATTAAAGGAGACACTTAAAAACATTTGCTATTTACAATTTTCTGAAAATAACAAAATATAGCAGAGATATTTCCTTTACCTTTAATATCTTCTATGACATTACTAACTCCTATGTTCTGTATAGTTTCAGATGTAACAGGATGTTCTTCATCGACCAGTGAATTTACAAGTGCCGTCATTGTATCTTCGGTTTCTGAAATGGTTGTTGTTATACATCATTAGATAGTATAAAAAAAAGTCGCTGCCGCTGTTTGTCCCTGGGTATGCTTAAATCTTTAAGATTACGAAACGGAATTTGGATCGTTTTTTTAAATAGGTAGATTGATTCTAGAGGAAGGTTTATATACATAATACATGTACACCTGTGCGAAGCCGGGGCGGGTAGCTAGTATTTTATAAATATGACATTTATTAACATAATCCTGTACCTGTAGCAATTCTCGAAATTCATCTATTTATGAAGATAGATATGGATAAATATCTAATAGGTATTACACTCATTTTTAGTTTTATTTAGGTTCAGGTAGTGCCTGCCCGCCCTGCCTTATACCTACTGTAGGTACCTATCACAATAATTTTAAATTTAAAGATATTTTACGAAATCTATATAAAATAGCATGTGATTACTAGTCTAGGGTAATCATTTATCTCGGTATAACTTAAAATTCTTGAAAGAGCAAAAATACAAATATAATGCAATTAACCTAAGTCAGCGGGCTGTGTGGCGTGAAACAAAGAAGCGATGGCAGGACCCAAACGCTCATGGAGAGGTTGCTTCACATCAGATATATCTTTAAGTGCTTCCTCTAATGATTCCATTACTTGATGTGTACTGCTTGCTGTACCTTCCATAGCTTCAACCTGTACGAATTTAATATTTTTAAACTTCCTTCAATTTTATTAATTTAGACCTGAAAATAAACTAATGTCAATACATTAATTAGACGTAATGTGACAACCAGAACGACCAATAAAAATATTTTTGTTGTAGATAGTACACTGGTATAAAAAAAACAAAAACGATAAAAAAATCTAGCGCAAACAGGGTTAAAAAGCGTAGTCTAGCGTCAGTTGTGGAATAAATTGCGTAACATATAACATACCAAAAATATTCTCTAAATGAGATAAAAACTCCTCCTTTCGGCGAGTGGTTGAAAATAATAAACAGTCAAATATATGTATCTTATAAATAATGTTAGGTAACTCACGTGTTGTCTAATTAGTCGATCTGCCAGAGTGGCGAGCGCATCGAATGCTCGCGTTTGCTTTTTATACTGGCTGGGGTCACCTCCATATTTCAGAAGCCATTTGCGGACGAGCGTGTCCACCACTTCGAAACGAGACTTATTTCTGTGTCATACAAAACCGTACTTTTAATAGTATCATTGTTGATAATTGTGACTTTTTTTGTTTCTATTTGTAAGTGTTACTACAATGTAGATGGTGACAGTGATATGACATTGTGGACAAAGTACCAAGATATGCCTATATGTGGCCTGCTCTATAGTCAGTTGAAAATTCGCAACAAGTATAAAATTACTCAAACGCAACAGTACCAATGTAATTAAATCCATTTGATTGTACTATGTATTTATTATAGTTAGGCCTACTGTCTATTATAGTAAGCAGTACTAAGCAGATAGGAATCTATCTAATCCATTTTTTTCATATTAAAAGAGACTTGTATACTACTCGTAGAATGATAAATGTTCGTAAGGATGATGATCTTCGGCTTAAAATTTAGCTGGTTTTTTTAATTATGAAACAACATACCCCGCAAGAACGTCTGGAAGTTCAGATGTGAGTTCGCGCAGCAGTTGGTCCGCATCGTCGCGCGTCACACGCATCGCATCCAAACAGTCGTATAACAGTTTCATTATATTAATATCATACACCATCTTGACTTGGGATCCTAATGGTGTGCTATAAAAAAAATATAATAAATAAACGCCATGGAGATTTATGCCTGGAGGTTCGTCCCAGAGACCCAGTCGATATCCTGCGATCAGTACCTCATCCAATTTAAACGGGACTGAAAATACTACGGCTTGAGGATGACGATAGCAGCTCAGCTGCTCCATAAGTTCTTCAGCGGGTTTAAAATTCCATCTGAACTTGACCTCTAACGTCCAGTGAAGCTGTAGAGGTCAGCTGCGGTCAACAACATAAAAGGAGTAGTAGGAAAAAAATTGGGAGATTCGTGTACGGATGTTCAATGATAATGGGTTGTTATAATGAATTGACAAATCCTGTGATTTATTTAAACTAGGTTATTTGGAGCTAAACTTATTTTTATATAAAATATAGTAGGTAAATAGGTAAATACATATCTTTTTAAGTTTGAAATATCTTTATTGAGAATTATTACTTACCTACATACCTATTATTATTATTTACCAATGTATTGAAATTTTTAATCACTTACATGGGGAAGTATTTACGCCTCGGCTGTCTTTTAACGTGGGGAATCATACTGAGGTATATTTCAGACCGGTCGGATTCCGGCGGAGCTGTTGCTGGTGGTGGAGTCGTCTGTGACAGTGGCTTCAATCGAAGGTCCTGAATTTCTTCGCTTAGAGCCTAGCGTAGTTTTAGTTATTAAATGGATAGGGTAGTGAGCTGAGGCAAATGTAACTATTACAAATAAAAAGCACTTAAGTAAGACCTAATTTTAATTTTAAAGTAATTAATGTAAGCGTTATATTAGTGAAGTTTTTTTTATACCAAAGTGGTGGCATAGCACATCTTGCTCCTGGATTTGTTTTTTTACCCTTACAATAAAGCAAATAATTTCGTTCTATTTCCTAAATTCCATAACATAGAATTAAATTATTTATAATTAAATATTAATAAAAAAAAAAATGGTGAAGATAGAACACATAGTGGCAATTATCTAAGTTTTTACGATAATAAAAATTAGTGAATATACTCTTATGGTTGCATGGGCATACCTTGATTTGTTGCATTTGTTGAGAACGAATAATACGTAGGCGTACCACATCGCGTTGGTATTGTTCTGGAATATAGCCACCAACCATAACGGACGGATTTTTTGGAGGCTATATATATAAAGAAGCAAAATATTACTCTTTTCCTTTTTTGCTTATTTTTACACCAATTATTTAGTACATAATTGACAAGAAATTAAACCAATTTCTTTTACCTTTCTGGGGAGAACATCAGCTTGCAAGGCAGCTGCGAGTCGTAGACGTTCAGAGTAATGGTTCAGAACTTGTAAATATTTTTTTTCTAGTTCACTGTGACGCTCCTGCAATTATGATATTTGCTAAGGATTCCGGTAGACGAAATGTATCACAATGTAAATATTTATGAATGTCTATAAATATATTAAGAGGCTTTTACTACAATAGAAAGAAAATATAAAGGTAGCCTTATTTATTAAGTGCAACAAAATTAGTAGTAAATTCCGGAAATCAAACCCGCCATTGCCGCAGCTGATCCAAGATCTGTGGTAGCGCTCCCAATGTAGCTGAAAACTTGTGTCGACGGGCCATCTGCCGCAAAAGATCATCGAGCGTGCGGTCTACACGTCGCGGTCGTCCGAGTTTGCGTGTTAGCACATCGCGCATTTGGGCCCGTAATTCCTGAGCCCGTGCTTCCATTGCGCGTAGATCCATGTTCATGCGGAATAAATGAGTGCGGTTTATCCTGCGAGTAATGAAGCGTATGTATTGTTTGAAATTAATAACCTTGGCTCCCATTATATTTTACGAAAATTTATTATTATATTTTTATTTATTTTTGTGGTATAGAAATAACAAAAATAAATATGTAATTATTGATAATATTGATATGATAAAGATGTAGTGCATAGGGGATTAAAAATAGTTATTAGTCATAATAGATTGTGATTGGTTGGTTTGGTTCAAAGAATAGGGCAGCGCAATAAATCATCACAAGAAGTTAAACATACCTACTTCTAGTTTGTTATTATTTCCAGAAATATTAAATTATAGGCTTATATTATTATTTTACCCCATGAAAGCTTACTTTTGTCTCTGTCTCTGCTGTTTAATTTCTTCCTGCAATTCAAGCACACGTCGGCACAATCTTGTCAACATTTGCTCTGGAAAAACTACAGTGTTTGACAGTCCCTGTGGGCCGGTGCATCCACGAATAGCAGACGCTCTAATTTGATCATACCGGAGTACTATTACCTGGTCGACGTCGTTTAAACAACTCTGTTTCTCCATCTGAATTAAATGATTATTTAGTTGAAGTTGAAACTAACAATGTACGTTACTGTTAGTTTCGTACATCAGATAACTGTCATGTAGAGCACTCATTATAAGAACGTACAAATATTCAATAAAATAAATTTGTTTTATAGGAGAAAGTGGATTATTAGGAATATAACCGCATTGCTAGCAATGTCAGGTTAACCTCCACGTGGTTCCCCCTGGAAACTATGTGTTAAATTCATGGTTAATTTACCACGGTGAGCTAACTAACCTGATCTTAACACCATTCACTGGTGCCCCGGCAACGTAAACGGTTAGCGCGGGTGCACCATTCCACTATTATACATAAGAAAAAAATGTGTTTTATATAAAAATAGAAATTGAGCAGGTAATTATGATTAATATTATCATAATAGAAGCGCAGAAGGTACTAAGAATAGTAATACACTTACCATGAATTCTTTCAGTTCATTCTTTCTCTTATCAAGTTGCACGCTGAGTTTTCTTTTCACTTTATAGTGCGCTTCGATGTCCTTTCTCAAGAGATCGACTAATCTGTCTTGTTCCAACATTTCTTGTTCGTGTTTTTGTCTAAGAAAATATAAGTGATGCTTTATATATATATAAATATTAAATATTTTTTTTCTTATATATTTTAAAAACTGCTAATTAAACTGTAAATAGAAACGTGACAACTTTATTATTATTTCCTGGATGGGTTTAGCCGTAAAGTTAATGGCTAAACAAATCATCATAAAAGCTGGTACGAAGACGGACAAACTGATTTTTATTCACGTCAATCAATTTGTCCCTGTTGCACGAACAAAGTCACAGGTAAAAGCTAGAAATTGATAATCTAACCTGGTATTCCTTAAGTCATAGGTTTTATCATAGACGTCCTTGTCGCAACCTTCTGGGCATATGTTAGGGTCGAGGCGAATAGGACCGATATCACGACTGTCCAAACTGCCTTCATCCTGTTCTTCACTCGACGATGAGGATGATTCGGATTCCGAAGATTCTGACATGATGTAAAATTAGATAAACAATAATAATATCCCAGGACATATCACACAGCGCCGTCTAGATCCAAGATAAGTAGAGCTAGAGATACAAACAAGCTTACTCATGAATACTGTTTATACCATTTGAGGTAAAGTGGTGTGCTAAAGCGCTAGACCACCAAGCCATCAATGTATGTATGTCTATCCCTCTTTTCGGTATTTATTACTACAAATAATACCTATATTACATTTATTCACAGGTATATTGTCAATACCTTCTCAAATATTAAATAGATTTAATGTAGTAAATCTGCATACAATTAATCCATGAGTTATAAAATTTTGATATAAAAATACACTTTTAAATATACGTCACAATTATTATTACAATCTACTTCTTATTTACTGCTGAAGAAAACGTAAACTCATCTAAATACAATGAAATACGTTTTTTCTGTGCGTTTCTCGAGAAGACAAACAAACGTACAGAAAAAATGTAAATAAATATAAGTATATATAAGTAAATCTTAACCGCATGGCAAAACAATGCTAGCCGCGTCTAGTATCATCCTAAAATATGGTTCTGAGCCATCGGTATCCATTGAACTCGTGCACATTTTCGAAGTTCATTTCCAATAATTACTACTTGTTGAGATTGTAATGGAAATTTGTTGAAAGATCAAGTTAACGTTGCTGATACCAGATTTGGGAGATTTAAAATGCCGTGTATTGAGCTACAGCAAACAGCATTCATATAATCTCTTATGATATACCTACATATGTAAATGATTAAATGTAGTTATTACATATACAGGATTATATCAAACCATCATTGTCGCGGTCTCGTGGTGGTCTGTATTTCTTTTTGAATATTCTACGCAGGAAGTCTGCAAACTTATTGTCTTGGACGAGACGTTTAAACTGTCTCTGAAGCTCTTGGCATTGGTGGTCTAAACTTTCTTTATTAGAGAAGTGTTCTTCAATACGATGTTCGCAATCCATTATTTGTTCCTGTACGCCTCGTACCTATACAATAATAAAGTAAATGCAATATAAAATAATAGTTTTAAATATATACATATATATAGATAAATTGTTATTATAAATAGAATTATACGCTGTATACTTAAATCGAAAGTTATAGAAGAATATAGGTAATAAACACAATTATCAAGCGTTCCTGTAATAAATTGTGACGATCCTATTCATTTAATTGTCTCTAATTACCTGCATTAGTTTCACATAAACCCTTTCAGCTAACCTATCTTCGTGAGCTTCGAAACGATTCAAGACGTTCATCTCTCTATGTAGTTGATATAGGTGTAATTCAAGTAACTGATTCTTTTCCTGTGGAGAAAATGATGTAATATTTAATTACAGATATTTTGTTTTTGTTTTTATGTATGTTGTAGGTAGAAGTATTAGAAAATACCTGTACACGAATCCGTTCACGTTGTAATTGTCGTAAACGCGAATCGAATTGTTGTACAGAGACATCGGCATCAGCTAGTAGCATATCTTGTTCGTATAGATGCCTTAAAGAAAGGAAAAGACATTGATTAGGTCTTTATTTAACAGGCTTATTTTATATTTATTATATTTCGACGTAAAAAAAAACATTTATATAATATAACATTTAATAAACATTTAAAAAAAACATTTAATAAAATAACTATGCTACTACTATGGCATAGTAATCAAATTAAATAAAATTATAGTAAGTTTGCGTTAGTTGTATCATTTAATACCTTTCGATGCGTCTGTCTCGTATTTCAATTTCAATGTCTGAAAATTCATGATCTGCTCTTGGTTTTAATAGTTCCCATGAGGCAACTAATGGACGAGATTCTGTAAAATTGGAACATAAAAATTATTCGACATATCAGTTTCACATTTATTTTTTGTATCAGTACTCAATACATCTATAATCTATATTATAGGTCTATGAGTATGTTCAGATCTATGGGAGTGTAGATTGGATTGGACGTTTGGAATGATTACGATATTTTAGAAATGAAATATGTTTGATGCCCTAATTATATATTGATATATGACTGATAGGATGTCCCGCTCTTCTTGTGCACTATTAGTGTGACCAATGAAATGACTTGTTTTAATGTGATCAAGTGTGAGAAAGTATACAAATAAAATCGTACCGGTAATAGGCACAAACTTAGGAACTCTCTGTTGTGGCACTCGTGGCTGTGGGTATAAGGTGGATTTTCTGCGTTCTTGTATCATAGGTTTCTTGCCTGCAGCCCTAGTAATAGCAACTTGTATTGGTTCTGGCTTTATCTAAAAGTATATCAAGTTTAATTAATCTGTTTGAAATAAAATTTTATTATTATATTTAAAGTTTCATTAATGAAATTGTTCACCCGCGTTAAATTTCAATAAAAAATATAGACTATGTTAAAGCTTCATTATAATCCGTTCAGTAGTTTTTGCGTTAAAGAGTAACAAACATCCATACTTACAAACTTTCGCGTTTATATATATCTTTAAGATGAGTATGTAGTATATATATTTATGTTTAAGCTAGTTACAGAAATTAATACAATTCTTATAGCATACTTCAAGATTTTTTTCAGGAAATTCGAGGTCATCATCTATATGTGGTACTAATGGCGGTGGTTTCACAAGTCTTTGCGGTATCTCACTTCGAATTTCGCTAAGTCTTTCGGCGATCTTCTTCATTTGCGTTACCATACGCACTTTGTGTTCGCGAAGTTCTAACACATTTGTATTGAAGGCACGTTTGTTGTCGTATATCTGAGGGTGTAGAAGTTCATATAATAATATTTAAATAGTTAATAACATCAAAATTTAGATTTACTACATAAAATTATAAAACAGTTATGGCAGCAAAATATACAGTACAGTAAGGATTAACCTCTTTTCTTGTGAGACAAACACGCAATTGAGTATTATGGGCTGGAGATGCAACATAGTCTTCTTGGCTCTTGAGCAAGCGGTTGCCTATAGTGGCCTCTGCTTCTTTTAATGCTTCAGCCGCTCCTGGGGGCAAAGCATGGGGGTCTGGCTTACGTGAAAGATGTTCTTGCCACTGAAAATAGAAAGAAATGTTTCATCATGATCATTGTAGAACTCTCATTAAATATACAGATAACAATACATATAATTTGAAGAAGCAAGATAACGAAGTAACATTGGGCGACTTTATCATTTAACTGTGATTTTTACGAGACAAACGTTGGATGGATATGAATAGGTATCTAAGTAGATTCGAGTAGGTTGAGATGTACGTAACAGCAAGTTGATTATATCTGACATTATTGTAGGAGTTATATATCTCAATAATAATATCTTTCTGCAAGGAAGCACTAAAGCACACTTAATACCTAGTGTGCTTTAGTGCTCCCTTGGTGCGTAATACCTAGTATAGATTATCAGGATCCTCATATTGTATTAAGCAACTTTCTGCCATTTGATTACCTAGATAAACTTTAACTGTTATATATTGCTCCTAAATGTTATAATTATATGATACATGTAAATAAATTATTATTATTATCATCATCTGTATCTGAAATATATATATAGGTATATATTATCTTACATGTACCTCACCTCAATAAACTGGAGGTGATGACGATGTAAACGTTGTCGATAATTCCTCAGAGCTTTCTTTAAAGGATGTGGTGGTTTTGGAGGTAATCCCAGTAAGAAAGACGCTACTCGTGGAGGTCCATATGACAGTTTCCTAGCAGCCGCTCGACGAGTGGTAGATTCAGCTCGTCTAATAAAGCCACCGTTACAATGATTGTCCAATTTAAAGAAATACAAAATAAGTGGCAGTAAGTAATTGTAGGTACATGCAATTGAGTTAACAAACACAGTATAATTAAATTACCTTGTCTCTGCATCTGCCAGTGCCAGTAAATTCATATTTCTATGGTAAGCATGTAATTAAAAAAAATATGTATAATATAACATTATTGAATACCACCTAAAATTAAACACTAGTCACACTTCTTTTATCCATTGGTTTTCCATTTGCCATAGATTCATTATTCCCATATCAATTTCGGACATAAACCTACTTGTTTTTAATGTATTGTTTTGCGTATATACAGTACGTACCTTCCGCGCAAAGCAGCTTCAGCCATTTTTTGATAAACTTCTTCTAATTGATCATAGAAAGCTTTTGCGAGATTTTTTTGTCGCAATGGTCGTATCGTGACTTCAGGGTCTCTAAAAATGTAATAAGTCTGATATTAGTACAAATAAATATTATCTATAAATTTAAAGAAACATTTTAACAACGAAGACTTTGCAGCCGCAGCAAGCAACAGTTTGTCTGCTATAAAGTATCATATTAAACAAAAAAAAAAGATCTATTAGGCTTAGCACGAGTAATATGAAAAATAAGCAAGCTTTAGTATAACTTACTAACCTGATGGCTCTCAATGTGAAAGGGTATACGTCCAGCTGTATAATATTTCTGGAGTGCATTTTGTGCAGAGCCAGATTTGAAGCCTCCAGTTGGTGAGCGAGCTTTCTTTTCGTGAGCGCTTTAGCCTCCTCCAACTCTTGTTCTTGTACTGCCAATGGACGTGGATCCAGAGTGACATCAATTTGTTGAGAGCATGGCAATGATCGGTTCCTATAAAATATAAATTATAAATATTTATATTACCTTTTACATAGTAATGCTTGTATATACCTAATATCAGTATGTGTACATAAAGGTATACTAAGTATTTTAATAAATAATGAAATAATTTTAGTTATTATAAACAATTAATGATAAAAAGTTTTATAATTTTTTTTATGGGAAAAAATCGGAAGCATCTGATTTATATATATATGTGACGGTTACCGCTAACCACCCGGAGCCCACCTGATAGCTTATCTAGAACCTTCCATTTTTATATAATCTTACTATCAAGCTGTCAGGTGTCTTTAAAAATAAAGACAACAGCTTAAATTAAATCTATTGAACAGTTCAGTGGTTAAAATAGTTAAGATAATTCATAAAACATGAACTAGGTTCTATAAAACTCAATAACAAATTTATTAATTTCTCAACTTAATAACAAAGAATAATAAAATTAATCTTAAACAAAATTGGTAAAATCAGGTACACTACATTCTACATCTAAGAAATACATAAATTACTAACGCCTTGATAAGTTTATTGTATTCTGCAGTAAGTTCGGCCAGTTGATCTCGGACACGTTTTTTATGTGCATTTGCTATTGCCATCATCTTGTCGTACTCCTCTTTTTGTTTCAACTCTTCATGTGACATTAATTCTCCTTCAAGTGTACTCGGCTCTTTAACTTTTACAACTTTCTATAAAGAATAATATTTTCAATCGCTTAAGAATAATCAGGAAAATAATTTATTTTTTTGTATGAGTACTTACGCACTTTAAGCTAGTACTGATACTGTGTTTTTATGTGAAGATAGAACAGATATGCAAAATATATAATATATACCATAATTCCTTCTTTTTTTAATACATTTCTGGTAAAACAACACCTGAATAAAGTTGTACTTATAAATAGTCCTTCCATAAAGCGAGACTCATGCTCAATAGTGGGACGACGATGTTTATGATGATGATAAAATATTCTGTATTGTGTCCATTAGAAAAAATGTTTTGGTAGATTCAAGTATCACTTACGGGAATTTCTAGTGGTTTTGGTAATGACAGCGTTGTTAGTAAGGCCTCCGTAAAATTTACTTGAAAAGAAAATATGTTGCCATCTGCACCACAACTATACAGCATTCTATAAATTAATAAATAGATAAATAAAATATACTTTACTTATTTTTACATTACTGTAATTACATTAATAATGTATTAAAAACCACCCGTAAAATTACAATTAGTTTAGTTTAGCCAAAATTTGGTACGTATATATTATTAAGACTAATAAACTATGTAATTTTAACTAAACAAATTTGACTTTGAGACTAAAATTAAATCCAAATCTAAATAAATGAATATGGAATGGTCCACCCACTGAAGCTAATGCATACGCTAGTGGTGTCAGTGGATAGGAGTTTATGGAGGAGGAGAATGAGCTTAGAGCCATTATGATTTTATCTGTGATTCTTACTTTCCATCAGCACTGAATTCCAAACATGTCACAGTACCAGTGTATCGGTCGTGCATAGGTAAATAGTAATTGTCAAAAAAATCAATCCGCGGTGTAGGTTGGGCCTGAAACAAAAAAAGAATAGAATCGACGATTTCAGCTAAGCGAATTACCTAAATGCCGTCTACACAAAGTTAGTAATTCATTTTATGGTAATTGCGTAAGATTCTATAATAAACTGCCAGAGTCTACGCTAAATCTTACAGAGAGGCAATTCAAATCTTATATTACTTAAAAAAGCCTATTATAAGATAGATGAATTTATAGAAAGCAATATATAGCAAGAATAAGTTTATTTGCGGACAACGTTATAATTTTAATTTTCATACTGCTTTCTTGATATATGATAGCGTAGCGGCTTTTGTATTGATTGCCGCATGCATCCTTATGTAAAGTGCGAATACTGTAACTACCATATAGTAATTTTTGTAGCTGTGACGTGGTCGTGTGGAATGAGTAGTCATGCTCACTAAAATGTCCAGACATGTGGCGGCGTGGTGGGCCGGGTTAATGGGCTCCCTAAAATATGGTCGAGCGCAGTGATGGCTGGCTCATCCGTCATACTCGTGAACGAGTGCTGCTTGTAGGGACTGGTCTGCTCTTATCACTACGACTGATTTAATCTTATTGCATATTTATATTTGACCCAAAAATTAGTGCTTGTTGGTAGTTTGTATTCACACGTTTCGACTTGTAAATGTAAACTTACAAGGATTATTTAAAAGAGCAACACACAAGTTTCTTGCTCGTTCTTCTTGTGATGAGACAGCTTTCCGAACGAGTGGTAGATAAAAAACAAATTGTTATGACTATTCAAAAGTGCTTAAATTAAGTTTATTTGAATAAATGATTTTCTATTCTATTCTATTCTAATATTTTTCATAGACATTGGTAATAAAAAACCAAAAATACTATACGGAGTACGTACTCAGTGAAATCTAGAGACTCCTTGGCAAATGCCACAGAAAGTAGATAATTAATAATATTGCGTAATCAGAAAAAAAAAAACAAAAATGTATGAAGTGTATAAATAGTTCAATAACTGTAATTTTATGTCATTTAATAGTAATATATCTGCTATTCTATTTAATCCATATATGAGAAGTTACTGAAACACCTCCTTGTACCTCTTCTTTAGCCAAACGTCTGCCTTTTAGTTTCTTGAGTAGCTTTTGTGTGGCCTTGATCCAAGTTAAATAATGTTGTTCTGGCGAATCTTCCTCTTCAGTTGGCATACGTACAACACGTATATATCCAGTATTTGTACCAATGACAAGGTATCGGCCATCACATCTAAAAAGTTATAAGATGTTCTTACTTTCGACTATTTTCGTCCACAGAGGCTCAGAAATCTTAAAATAGCTTGTATAAAATAATTCCTATATATAGTCATTGGCTTCCCTAAAATATGTTTTAGGGCAGTGATGGCCGGTTCATACGTCATACTAGTGAACGAGTGCTGCTTATATGAACTGGTCTGCTTTAATCAGTACGAGTGTTTTAATGTTTTCCGAGTTTTCCTAATGAGCGGTAGATTAAAAGAATGATAACTGTGACTATTCAAAAGTGCTTAAATTAAGTTTATTTGAATAAATGGTTTTCTATTCAATTCTATATATATACTATAATAAAGAAGAAAGAAATTTTAAGAAGTAAAGCCAATAATTATAGTCACTTTTCGCTTAGTAAATTTATATAATATGTAGAGTACCTACATTTTCATTATTGTCAAATCAAAATTCCAATTTACTTAATAACTGTTATCTAGGTATAATTCTTAGCTGTTGATTATTAAAAATATCGCATGTAATTTATTATGTAAATAATAAAAAATATTTTACACAAATTTTAGAGCCGTAATATCATCACTCCACGCTCCAGGAATTGGTCCATATTTTAGAACCTTATTAACTCCTGGTTTCACTAGTAGTAGAGCTCCAGTTCCACGTTGTACTACCCAAATGCCATCCTCGCAATATTGAGCCCAAGTGATGGTGGTCCCAAGCATACTTTCGCTTTCCACTGCAACATATCACATCTATAAGTTGTGTGTATATTAGAATTCTTACTTGGATTAAATAATACGAGTTCTGCTTTAATATTTAATTAGGTAGGCCAAAAACTCGTAAGTCATTATCTGCAATTTCTAATTAATGTATTTTAATTAAATAATTATTTACTGAGCTCTATTTCCCCAAGCCATTCATGTTCTTCGTCATCGTCTTTATCATTAGTCGCTTCATCCTTGGCTTTCAAAGCCTCTTCGTCTATACTGGCAAGATCTTCTTCCGTAGGAAAAGGCCGGTATCGCATACTGAGAAATATAATTGAATAGCATTCAGTACTGCAGTATGTATGTAGTTGAAAAACTATGGAACATATATAGCGCAATAATAAGATGTACTTTATAGTATTTATATGTTTAAACTTACGCGTGTGTTTTATTTTAATTATATGTTTAATACGGCCTAACACAAATAATTTTATGGTAAATCAGGTATTTACCTCTCTCGATGTTTCAATTAGTTAGCATTAGCGTTAATAAATGTATTTTTATATGACAATCTAACGCCGGTAGATTGTCATATAAAACAGAAGTTTTTATATGACAATGTAACGATGGTAGTTGATTAAACGCAGTTACCTACGGAAATTGATCGCTGTACTCAAGTCACCTCGTGAACATGTCTAGTGTAACCTAGTCGAAACGTCTTGAGAGACAATTTACCATACAATTGTAGAGCTTAAAACCCAATTAACTATATTAAATGTAAGTGTAAATCTAACTCACTCGATAAACGTTGTCCTGACTAAATTGTGAATATAAAATTCGTATCGATGTAATAACAAAAACATATTTCTTAATTTTATCTTTCATGTAAAATTAAGAAATATGTTTGTTTCTTATTATAACAAATAACGGAACGTGTGATGCTGGTTTATCATAGGTAGGAAATAATACCATGGATACATACAAATGTTTTTTCACTAATGTTTCCTTGTATGATAAGAAGTCTAGCTTAAATGTTGTGATGTCACTGTATTTGCGTATAGGAACATCCGGAAGAACAGCTTCCATTAGAAAACCAACTTGTCCACATAGTAGCAATACAGTTTCCTGAAATATACTAACATCATTAATATGTATTAGGTATTTTAAAAAAATCTATTATCTTCAAATACGTTACCTCTCCGGGTTTCCATGTCATGTAGGCTATATTGTTAGGAGTTTCAATAAAACCAAGACGGTGTAAGCTAAATGGTGTACCTGCTTCCAGCTTGTAAAGAAATATTGTAGTATCCTCACCGCAAGTAACTAATAGAGTTCGTTGTTCATTTATCGTTATTTGCGTTAGGGGCTTTGAATGTGGTTTTAGTAACTGTAAAGTATATTTAATATTATATACATTTGTAGATATAAAAGTAGCATAAAATAAAATAGTGATTACAAATAATTATGGCACAGGATAATACCGAAATCATGTCTATGGCGTCAGCATGAAGAGAGTCACCACTGTGTATACTAAGAGCGGAATGTACTCGAATATTGATCATGTTGGTCTGTGATTGAAGTCGCTCAGGGTGCAATAAAAGTGTGCGCATTATTCCATCAGAAAAACCTACTAATAGAATACGTGATGTTTCATCAACCTATACAAAAGGAAAACAATTATTTTATCAATCAACTTTTCCTACAAATTAGTGACATTGTGTAAAAATTAATAAATATATTATATAGCCTATGACAGTGATTCCTAAAGTGGAGACCACGGCCCACAGGGGACAAGTACATCAATATGCGAAAATACATCATACATAGGCATAAGAATTTTAAAAAGGCTAATGTGGGGCATGGCACATAAAAAGGTAACATTGGTCTAGAGGAAGCGTATTGACGTTAAGTTGCAATTTTCAATATTTCTCTTTATTTTGCGGCTGCTAAAATAAACTATTGTACTGGTTATATTATTATTAGTTTTAACTGTGAATGGTTTCAGTAAGTCAGAGTTAACTATTGTATAAGTAAAGTTGAATGGAACAATGATATGAACAGTAACAGGATAGGTTTTGACAAGTATTTATGAATTTATTACGGAAATATAAATATTGTATAATACGTACATCCACTGGCGGGTATAATAAACAAGTGATAGGTGCAGGAAAGTGGTAACGAGCTAGCAATGCATGAGTTTCTATGTTATATGCTTGTAATGCACCGTCTTCACCAGCAGTAATCAAGATTGGGTGTGTTCGGAGAGCAGCCATCGAAACTATACCCCCAGCATGACAAGTCATCACTTTATGGTGGTCGCATTCAATTTTATCTATTTCGAGTTCCACTGTCCATATACCACCATTGCCGTCCTGAATAAAGAAAAGAATCTTTCATAATATTAATAAAAAAATACTTTCTATTATCTTATATTTTTGTCAGCTTTAGAATTATCATATAATTAAGTAATTACCTGAGCATACCAATGCATATCTTTTTGATGTTTGAGACACATTATTTGGCAATTCGGTACCTGTAATTAATTTTTATTACCACAGATTTAATTTAGAATATTAGAATTTATTTGTATTATTTTATCAAACATAGTTCGCTTTTGAAATGTATTAAATCTAGGTAATTTTTATCCTCATAAACGGTCCTCTTAGGTGCGAGATCATTCATCCATCTATCCATACCATTCAAATTCCACATTTAAATACGATAGTTTTACTGTTTCTGTTGTTTTAGTTACATAATAAGATCTAGCAATAAAAATCATACGCAAGTTTCAGCCACTGGATTTAGTTCGACGTAAGGGTCGTCTTCAGGAGGATCAGCCTGCTCTACGGTATCCCAATACCATGCTCGAATACATCCATCGCGTGCTATAGTTGTTATTTCATCTCCCGCAGGACTGAGCATGAACTGGATCTAAATATTGTATAACATTATATAGCTGACGAAAACTGTATTCATAGTTATTTTTATGAATTTACATGAAGAGCTATGTGGATAATATAATATTTTAAGTATAATTTTATTTATGAGTATAGATGCCATTCTAGATAAGCCATAGATACTTTAGTTAGGATGTCATTAGTTTACTTTAATTATGTTTCCGTTAAATATTTAAAACTTGGGTTTAGTGTATTAAAATTTATTTTATATTTACTTACCACAGGAGCTTTGTGACAAGTTTTTCTACCACGCTGCGTTATTTCTAATTTAACAAGTCCAGCTTCCCATACTAACACGTTGCCCCACTCACATCCCGATAACACCTACACAACAAAAATATTTTTACACAATTAGATACTTTGTAAATATTACAACACTAGTATACGAACATAAATATAAAAAAGGTTTAAGAATGCAAAATGGCACATTACACGATATTATGCCGGGATAGTGTATTTTCATACACAGGAACAAGAGTTCGATCTTTCATCCAATTTTATTTCAGCTTGTAGTAATGCTACCTACATATATCAAAGAAAGAGTCTCTATTGGAAGCGTTAATTTATTGATGAATCTCTAAAGTCCCAACAGCCTCCATTCATAAAGATTAAACAGATAGAAAATGTTTTGTAATACTGGTATTACCTTTTCATCCGGCATTGGATAAACTCCAATCACATCACAAATCTCCGTTTTACCAAACCGACCTAGTTCACCTTTTAACTTCAAACCTGTGAATGTTTGAGCCATTTTCCAAAATTTTATATGAGCAGCACCTGTAATTTTTTTTAAATAAAGTTTTAATCTTGTCTATTTAATACTATATGTACTTTTATTGTTAATAGTAAAATTGTTAATATGATACAGATTATTCAGCTCTATTATTTGTATTATGAATGAATTGTTATTTGTTTCAGTTTTATGTTGAAATAAATATTTAGATTAAAAATATTTTTATATACAACGTACAATTATTATGAATATAAGCAATATAATATAAATATAAGCATTACGTTCTACAGACTGGGTTTAGATTTAAATTACCTGCCGTAGTAAGTTGTCCGGGACAATAAGGTGAAAACATTACTGAGTTTATGTCAAATGTAAAAGCGCTAGTGCGAAGCAAAATACGGTGTCGTTTCCAGTTCCAAATAGTTAAGTTGTAGTCTGGTTCTTTACCCACAGAAGCCAGAAGTTCACCGTCGGGACTGCATTGACAATATTGTAGCTATTAACATCTTTTAGGTATACTTTTAGATATACCTATATTTTAACTAGCAGCACCTAACAGTTGTTTTGCAAACTTACTTTATGATAATTTATATTACAAAGTATTCTTTTAGTTAATCTTAGTCACCTCTTACTATCCATAGGATGAATAGATTAAAATTAACGTATTGTATTTTTTCGCCGAAACTATACTGAGCGTAAAAGCTCTTTAGGTTATAATTCAGTAACAAAGTTAATCGATCATACAATAATCTTTAAAAACTATAATGCTTGTACATAATGTTAAAGAGATCCATAAACATTGGTATTACATAGTATTATGTACTACAGAATTTTTGTACTAGGTATTTAGGTTTTCCTTTAAGTATATCTCTATCGTCAACTTGCTCATAGTCAAATTTCTAGTCTGTTATTTATGGAATGAAATAGGTATTTTAATTGGGTAACATAACGATATTTTACTAAAACTAATTACAAGTGACTATGTTCTGCTAATGTAATAAATAATTAAGTGTTATTGTATACCCACAAAATACATAAACATGCTACATACCTAAAGTCTAGGATAGAATATGCATTAGTTGTGCCGTCTCTAAGAATAGCGTCTATATCCATTTGCGGCCAAGTGTATAGTAATATCAAAGGATCCCGATGTCCTTCTCTTCCTTCTGCTACTGCTATGCGGTAATTTGGATCTTTCCTAAAAGACTGAGGTGAGGTTTGATTCAATATCAAGTGAAGTGGAAACAGTTAAAAGTATGAAAGTGATAAAAACTAGTATGAACGTACGTGAATCAGCATAAATAAAAAGTTATGAAATACCTATTCTTTAAACAAGATTGATTTTTTGTGAAATTAATTTTCACAAATAAATAATCAATCTTGCTGTACTTCGAATGTTAACAATGGCATCTCCCATATAAGATGAATCATATAAATTCCAAATATAAGAAAATCTGCAAATATGTCACGTAACATAAATAAATACAATAAAGTGGATCCGTTAGGCAGGCTTTGAGCTACTCTTCACGTGTTTGGAGTGACCTCTGCACTCGCCCCCATTTTCATCCAATGAACCATGGCCAACAGCATTAGAATAATTTGAAAAAATATACAATATAGCTATTAAATATAAATATTGAACAATAATAGCAACAGCGCCACTCATTATAATTAACATGAAATGTAATAATACTATTATACTCTTCATATCGTTTCCACAACAAGACCAAACATTTTTTTAAATGTGCAAATATTTTGAGACCATACTTTTTCAGTGGTGTAAAACTTTCACTTACTGTAATATTTCCAATCGATCCACCGGTAGTGCTCCTTCTAAACCATGTTTGTTTAGTGTAGACATCCATAAATGTTATAATACTGCCCGCAGCCCAACATACTACGCTCTCGTCACAAGCACACAGATTGAAGTATTTGTGACAATTGTAACCATAAGAATATCTTTTATGTTCTTGTTAAGAAATGTTATAAGTTTCTCTAATTTTGATACGGTATGAATATTATGTATGCAATGAATAATGAATGATGATGATATCATCAATATGTACATATTGTGATACTTTCTTCGCTGAAGAATAATTATGTAATATCAGCCATTTCCATTACCTTAATAATTCATTAAAAAAACTCGAAAGATTAGAGGGATTTCAAGAAATAAGCGAAAATATAATGATGTTTTTAAAAGGATACTCAAATTCAAATAAGTTAAGAGGTATGGTAGAGTCCAAGGTATTAACAGCACCAGACAAAAAGTCATCTGGGTCATATTCCGTAAGTAAAGACTCTTCTTCCAGTTGCTCTTCTTCAACTTCTTCAGGGATTACTGTTTCTTGTATCGGTAATTCCTCTTGTTCACCTATATTTACTTAAATTGATTATTTACTGTATAAATAATTATATTTCTACAAAACAGTATGCATGAGGCTGGGCATGTGCGATGATTTAAGCTAGATAGAAATAAATTCTTCCTACCTATTATTTTTATAATTCGTCAAGGTATAAGTAAATCACTTCTACAATGAAGGTGACAAAATGAATATAGACGCATACAACATCAGGTTATTTTATAGAATTTGGCGTTTAGGTACATTGTACAGTAGGTATGTATTAGGTATATCAAATATTCGCAGACTTGGTCGTGGAAAAATAAGTTCAAGCGCATAACTGATCTTTCTTATAAATATATTATACATTATAAGAATAAGCCGTGTCAATGTGAGTATGTTTATTGCCTCCTAGTACTTTAAGTATTATAATAATTTTAACAATATTTGTTATAGTGTAAACAGACATGAATTTTGGACTTGCGTTGCATATGCAGAAGTTGAATTTTAGTTTTTGCCTAGTATTGCGAAGTATTCCAGCTGACTACGTGCAGTCTAATAAGTGGGTGTCTCCCGTGTTTCCTTGCTACAGTACGGCTAGGTATATGTATACCACAGTTGTAAGTGTAATTGCAGTATTGTCAAAGACAATAAACTGTAATGTTTACACTTTACAGTCTTTGATAGTATAGTCTTAATAATGTTTAAAGATATAATTTAAATTAATTACGGGCGAATTTCGACTACTGGCGCGCCACTAGCTATAATAATTATGCTACGGTATATATAAAGGCTCATCCGCATGACAGATGAATAGTTCAAATAAATTGCAATAGATGTCGTTACAGGTTTCGCTCAACAAAATTAATATTCAGAACGGCATTCATGTGCCTATCTTTATAACAATTAATTACAATTATTTAGTTATATATTATCAATTAGTGAGTTATGTACAACAATGAAATGAATAAAAATATAAGGCGATTCACGCTAGGTCAAATCACTTTTCGCAGTTGTTGCGGCAACTATACATTGATGCGATTCTCGATGCGAAGAAGATTGCCGCTCTGCTACTTGTGCAAAGTACTTAATTCATTACTCCAAGACTTACGAGTTTATATATACATATATAAATAAGTGTATATAATGAATTGATGTATATATAATTTTGTTTATATAACTGGTATTATAAATAAGGTGATAGGCCAATTAACAAGTTACAGGCACCTCAGAAAATAAACTGAAAATACTTATCCAATAAATAAATATCGGATGATTGTTAGTAGTAGGGAGTCCATTACTAACAATCAAGCTTCATTTCTAGTAATGTAATATCAGCCATTTCCAATGAGGTCTACGCAACCTATTTGGTCACGTGGATTTCAAAAACTATTGCGGTCAATTTTTGATGAATTCGCCACGGTTGTCTAATTTAATAAATTTTATTGTCTTATCTTTCACTGGTGTCCTTTTCAAACAATAAAAACATAATCAATAGCTCTGTATTTATTGTAGCAGATTACAATATCTTGTAGATATTGGATCTGATATATGTTAAGAACAATCTTAGCTAAAAAGAAAAGCTCGTCCTATTTATTTATGGGTTATGATTATGTGCAGTTAATTATTAAAAACCATAATTGAACTGTTTAAATTAAATTTTATGCAGTTTAACAACTACTGTAACATAATAGAATGTTATGGATAATGAACAAATATAATAATGTAATGAATTTTACCTTCTATGGTAGCTTTAAGTTCATTATCAGCCATTTTATGTGTCTATTTATATTTATTTCAAGAATTAAACAAACATTTCTATCTATAAAATATGGTATCCCGGCAACGATACTTTAAAGAAATACAGCATAAAGTTTATATCCACGCAACGATTTGATTCGACTTAATCGATTTGTCTCATATCTCGTATACTTATTCTGTGCACATATAAGAACGCTACTAGAATAAATTTTACATATCTGACAAATGAATGATTGTCAATGTCAAAAAATATAAATTTTGAAGTTTGTGTTTATATTTGTAATAGATTAATTCCATTTTACTCATAGTTGTTGTTCATTTTATCTAATTTGGTATATTAGTTATACCAATTGGACTATGAACTTTAGCCAGAATTTTAGTTCTTTCAGTCCTTGAAAATAATTAATTATGTCGCAGCCACATAGAAGAGCTGTCTTAAACTTGTATAAAACGGTATGTTTCAAGAATATTTTATAATTTTATTATATTGATTATATTATATATATTGATTTTTATTTTTTAAACTTGCATTGAGTAGATATATACGCTGAAGTGTACGGCATTAATAGTTTAATTTTGTTACATTTATAGTATAATAGCAAAGTAACATGTGATTTATTTAACATCTGTGTATTGTTTTCTTATAGTTATTGTATATGGGCCGGGATTGGCCTCAAGGGTATGATTTCTTTAGGAAACGACTGCATAAGGTATTTACAAAAAATAGTGGAGAGACAAATCCTGAGAAAATAAGAATTATGATAAAACATGGTGAATTTGTTGCAAAGGAAATAGAAGTGCTTTACATGTTAAAAAAATATAGAACAATGAAAAGAAGATATTATGATGGTTCGTAAAATGAGTAAGTATTTGTTTTAATTCATTGTTAAAATAAAATGCTTGCTGCATTTTATAAATAAGACCAATATTGAGTACCTAAAATATTATAAAATTTTAATTAATTGTGTAAACCTACTTATTCTGAAAGATAAAGGCTTAGAGACTGTCTAGATTATTAGTAAAATTATAAGTACTTCTTCCTATTGTGAATATATAAAATGCTTTCTTTGCTATATTGCTTTGTAGATATTTTCATAGTTATAAATTGAAGTAATTCTATTGGAAGAATATTAGTATCAAACAAGAACTTCATAATATAAATGTATAATATATTTTCAACATATTTTTAAATGTTGCAATGAAACTGCACAATCTATGTAATTATGTATTATAGACATTCTTCATAGTTTACATAATTCATTACAATATACTCTAAGAAAAAAATGTAATGTGAAAATAAAAAAAATCTATATTATCTAAAATAAATAAAAAAATAATATTAATCATACAATGGTTTTTATTCAAATGGCAAGTGATATGACAATTATTATATTTTAACAATCAGGAATATATACATGATTAGATCTACAATAACAACATTTTAAACATAAAAAATAAATATTCTATACTTTTTAGTCATGTGCAAGAAGTAGTAATGGAGATACAGATACACCCTGCAATTATTTAGTGTAGATTCCACTAAAATAAAATATTGATTACATTATATAATACTAGATTCAGCAAAATTTTATTTTATTTAAGTTTATAACAAACAGTAACCAGTACAACAGCTTAACACATTCATTTTACATTTGTTCATTGTGAGACTGCTAATCCTGGCACATCTGTTAGAAATGTCAAAAACAACTCAAACATGAATTAGGATTCAACACACATTTAAATACACAATACTCTCATTTACTACTTTTATATCATCTACACCTAGCATTCCATATTTAAGTTTGAGCTGTGTTTGAAGACTAAGGCTGGGTCTACACTATGAGGTCAATCTCGGTCTGGTAAAATATAATCATATTAGACAATCTGACTTAGTTCACAAGTCTAAAACCATATACTTTTTAAATGTACATTAATTACATTTGATGCAATACTCTCTTCAATGGGTAATAGCTGACTGAACCGGGAATAACAGAGTTCATTATTCATTATATCAATATAAAGATTGATTAAACTCCAACGAAATTCCATCAAGATTGATCGCATTTGGAGTTGGATTTAATTCTTGACTGACTTGGATAGGATGAATATACACAATGTTTTTCATTTAATAATATTTTACCAGATTGCGAATGAACTGTCATCAACCTAATGTTGTAGGTTCAGCCAAAAGTGACTTAATTCAGGATTATACATCCTGTCAAAAGTACATTACAATTATTATGATTTACTTGGGCCATTTTAAGTATAGCAGGATGGCTATGACACTGCAGCACCTATCAGAAATCACTAACAAAGCAGTATCTCAATTTTAATTGTGGTTAGTATGTTACTGAAATGCAAAATTTTACATACATATTTTTATATATTTTGAAAATAAAAATATTTTCTTAAACATTAATATACATGTAATAATATCTTACCTTTACCTAAATTATTTGTTCAGATATAAGAGTGTAAAACTATATTTGATTATTGCTGAACTCTTATATGAACCACATTGGAAGAATTTAATATGGTAGTGATGATAGAAGAATCTCAATTTATGAATAGAGCTATCTGTAATCACCATATTTTTTAATCAAATTGAATGCTTATATTTTGGGCAATCATCCAAATTCTTTGCTTTTATGGAAGTGGTTGTTTTAAGAAGTGTTTGGCATGAAGTCAACATAGTCATGTTTAGATAATTTTAGATACTTCTTATTGAAAATTTATTTTGGATCTTCTTATCCTCATGTCCTACACTGTATCATAGTGTCACTAGAACTGTTCAAGAATGATATAACTGACTGTTATAACTGAATAAGTAGGTACTTATTTTATCACTTTTATTCTAGATAAATTGTGAATATAAAGTGACTACCTAAACATCAAAGTTTATTTGTTTTCTTTTATGGCCACTCACTAAGGCTGCACATTGTTATCCACTTATTATGTGATAGTATTGTAAATATCCCTCTGGGGATAATGATGTGAGTACATTATTTTAATTTATTAGTGATTTCGATAGTTTAAATGCTGATATAATAGTTTAGAATACGTACTGGTAATAAAGAAATGTTAAGCACATTAGATTAGCAAGGCTAGCATTGTTGGTCGTAATAATGTAGCCCACTTCTACAAATAATTACACAAATCGAGTTATTGATTTTTTTTTCTAATATTCTAGCGATTATTCACATATACATATTTCGTGGCTTTTCGTCTTAAGATTATACAAAATGTTATTAAATAGCATTTGGAATATCTATATTGTCAATTCTACCGAGGCCCGACCGCATGATTGGTGGCGGCCTGAGATTATATAGTAGGTACTTGAAAGATGTTTCAACAGATTCACAGCAGCTTAGTAAGTCATGGTGTGTACTTGGAAAAATACGACATCTTGTTCAAAAAAACGTCAGTATTCGTTTATGAAACGAAAGTGATGGAACATTAAAAGTAAGTATTAGGTAGACTTATATTTGCATAATACAGTGTATATATTATAATATATTAAAAAATATATATTTACCGGTACTGGCAATGAATCTGTTGCAAACCAAAGTTAAATCTATATTTATATTACCGTAAATATATTTATTGTTAAATACAGTACTTGAACCACAAGGCTATCCCTACTTGTTTCGTGTTGGTGCACTTCTAAATGTACTTGAAGCCCGACTCCTTTACTCCTATATAAGTAGATATACGTGACCGTGAAGTTTAACATGTGATTACATTATATACACAATAACACATAGGTTTGAGATCAACAACAGTCAAGCTTTAGCTAATTATGTAAGTATAATATAGATAGATCATTCTTTTATAAATAGGTAATTTCGTGTAGATATACCAAATTTTTTGGCGCTGAATTGTTTCAATAAACGACAATTAATCGATGTTATAACGCCATATATATATATATATATATATAGAGTTTTTATAGCTTCATTAGCGAATTTATAATTAGGTATATATTATACATTAATATGTATATAGTATGATGTTATACTTTGACTAGTTTCTGTGACACCACTTAAATTTTTTGTTAAAAACAATATTATTAGAACACTTCCTAAAAATAAATACGTATCAACTAACTTTTATACAAATTATATATTTTTTTCTGTTAAATAATGGATACTGAAGATACTATTAATTAACACACGTAAAAATGTCATGTCTTAAAATAATAAAGATTAGGTACCTATACGATAGGCCTATAATTGTTCCTCATAAGAAGAGAATTTCAATATTTCGCGTAAAAATAGTATGCTGTTTGTAAAGACAATGGAATTTTCTAAATATAACTTCATAATTATTTAATATATAACTTCTCTTCTACAGAGGAACCATTTTTATTATAATAATAAAAGGGTATCAATATTATAACACTTACAAGATAGTAAAATAGAATGTAATAAAGTTAACAGGATTCAACTTATTTACATAGCGTAGTTATTTTTTTATGTAAATGATATTTATATTTTCATACACAATTCAAGCGAACTTTAAATAATGGGTATTTGGGTACTTACAACGAAACAATTTTAAATTAGGAATATACTGAAATCTTTAAGAACTGAGTAGGTACATGTAGCACTAAGTATTGTACCTATAGTAAAATTGGAATTTTACGATTTTGGGAGTACTAAACAATATAACAACAGTTGAAAATACCATAAGCTTTCGATTGTTTTCGAAATTTCTATGATTACCAAAGACACGAGTATTAAGAATTATTACATACAGTATTAAGAATACAATGAAAAATGTAACGGCAAATTATGTCAAATTACGATATTGTTTAAAATGAAATAACATTAGGAGAACAATTAGGTAAATTACTTTTATATATTGTGTCGATTTTCCAAAATAATTATTTTACCACATAGATACCACATTGATTAGAAGTCAAATATAGTAAATTATGTATAGCATTTTGAATTAACACTTATAAAGCATACCTATGTAAAAGAACACGCTTTTTATTTTATTTAGCGGATACGCTTAATTTTCAGTCATAAATAAACTTGAATAACTCCAGTAAAACAATTCGCGTAGGTATTCTTCCCACTCGCACTTGAAGTAATCATATTCTGAAAATATTAAAACACATAATGTTTAAATAATTTTATAATACTTAAATATTAAAACACATGATTAAATAAATATTGTAATATATATTTACTACTAGCTGTGCTTGCGACTGTACTCGCGGAATTTAATTTAATTTTTCGAAAATAAAAGTTACTCCTTATTACATCAGCTACCTGCCAAAAAAAGTCCCGTCAAAATCGGGTCAGCAATTTCAAGATTAGCCGAAACAAACAGACAAAAATTGTAAAAAATGACATTTTGGTGTATGTACCGTATTTATATTCATATGCATGTAGTAAACGGTTATTTCAATATTAGAAACAGATACTCCAATTTTATTTATATGTATAGATTGGGAATAGGTATACAGATTACAGGTGCGTAACACCTTTGTCCTTAGCTATTTATAGGCGACTGTTGGACAAAATCTACTAGGTGGACCTTCAGTTTGTTGGCCATTCCAGTAAAATACGCTAATCACACTGTAAAGTACTGTGTCATTTGAAATAAGTATTTGAGACAACTTTGCATGACTGCATTCGGTCTAATGGGATGTTTTATATGGTTAAAAACTTATGTTGATAAATTATATATTTTTTTCGGACTACTCTAATACCGTTGGCCGCAGTTGGCCTTTACATATTTATACTAATGAAAGTATCTCATAAAAAATCGATGAACTCGTGGATTTTCTACATATACACAAACTATTTTTAACAGCGGTAGAATAAAAAAATGTGTATATTCAAAAGTGCTTATATTAAGTTTATTTGAATAAAGATTACTTATGACTTATTTCTGTTTAACTTGATAGTCAATACTAATTAATAGTATATATTATATTTACCTATATAATCTGGGATGATATCCTATTTATTTTAATTTGTAGCTATTTACCGAGGTATACTTTATACATACTTCTGTATTCTGTATGTACCTCAGTGTTACCTATTTCAGTCACCAAGCGGCTTACTTCGAAAGATGTGTTTCTGTTAAAGGTTAGGTAAGGCAGTGATAAGAGGCATGATATCTTAGTCCTCCGGAATGGCAACGCATGACTGGTATCACGGGTGGCATATGATATGTCCGTGGCGCTGTTCATGTATACAGGCGATGGTTACTACTTACCATTAGCTGGGGATTCAAGTTAGTTATCCTTGCTATTACTTAAACACACCTTACTTTCAACTCTAAGAAATGGTCGAAAAACTTAGAGTCCAATAGGAAATATCTTCCTCAAAATATGATATCTGAATTAAGCAACAATTCGCTAGTAGTAGATAAAATACTTTAGTCATTTTACTTTTAAATTTCTAATGTCTTAAATGTAAAATAAAGTAAATATATTACATTCATTCGATTACCTCAGGTTTATGTAATTTAATCCTTCTTTTCTCCATCGTCGGGGTCTTTGAGAGTATGCCATTGTGCGATCGGACGCCGAGGGCTGGCAAGCATGTCGGACCAGTGACGAAGCTCTGTGCCTGAAGCGTTGTAGCCCAGCACCACCTTACCAATCGGCTCCGATGTACCGATGCGATCGTAGTCCACCACCGTTACCACTAGATTTACTTTCTGAAGTCCAATTCAGTTATATGATGATTTAATTAATTTATGATATGTGAATATGGTCTGATGATCTTGATATGAGTTATAATGATTTTTTATTTAGTAATTTAGTATTGCGCTATAGTAGTATGTTCATAACACGTGCATGCTGTTGGTATTTTTTTGGGTATATATGTTTTGTTCCTTTAAATTTTAACATTTATTGAGAAGGTGAAGCACGTTTACGTATACAACAGTTAGATACATACAGGACATAGTATGGCACTCACGCATAAGGAACGATCATGTCAATAGCATGCTGTTATGAAAATAAAATATAACCAGCAACATTTTGGATATACTTACAAACGTAGGAGAAAGCATTCGAATGTGTAATTACGAGGATGAAGTGATGAATAGTAATAAGAGAACTATAGAAGAAAAACGAGGAACTGGATTCCTTAAACCATAAGTAATTACAATCTGAAGTCACCAAATTGTAATGCAGTTACGAGGGGAGATTATTAGACACCACTCTGTAGGGATTTATATTATTCAATGCCATAATACTTTATTAGAATATTCATAAAAATAAAAACCTTCATCTGAGACGCCGAGTTACAAATAAAGGTCAATATTTTATCAAAGAAGAATTCTAATAAGTTAGACTTTAAATAATATAAGGCTGGAAGGGCATCACCAAGGTACGGATAGATATATAGAGGTGGACAGGCGACAGATAAAGAAAATAGCTGTACAAAGAATACACTAAAGTACACTACAATAAACAACTAACATCACAACAACAACAACACAATAACATTTAGAAAACATAAACATAAACGCATTTGTATGACTATGTAAAACCAAATTATACGTGTATTTGTCAATTAATTAGGTATTCCTTGATATGTATAATCAAAAAGACTTTGCAACTATTGCAAGTCTACATTGTTATTTTCCTTTCATGTAAGAACATGAAATGAACAAAATTGACGTTCTACTCAAATCATGAAACATAAAACATCAAAATAAATTTGTATTTCTTTTGTTTAGGAGTGGGATCGGTATGGATGCAAGTGGTGTATGTAATTATGTCCACAACAATAAATACACAACATCAAATGGCACACAGTACAGACAATGCCGAAAGAAAGACATACTCATATATGCCCGAAATATTTAATATCGGTTGATGTTTTCTAAGCTTACGAGTACATCGTTCATTCGGAATTTTGTCCGAGCCATGCGCAATCACATCGAATTTTTCAATCTCGGCTCGCACCTGTATTTGTTCGAATGGTACTTCAAAAGTAAATGACTCGTTGTAATAGGGATTCAGTGTGCATTTCTTGATACTCGTTTTCTTCTTCTTGAGGCGTTTACCATTTTGCATGAGTGCTATCTTTACGTACGGATCTGTTGACACGCAGCGATGATACCGCATATGAAAAAGACATGTTAGGCATTAATATGTTTTACTACTTTGAAAAATTTTTGTGAGTGTGTTAGAAAAGTTAGTATGCCGAATGCAGTATGAATAAATAATACGATAAACATACACAAGCGACAAATTTTGTGATTTTTAAAAGATGCTAATAATCTGTCTTTATTAATATAAACTAAATAAGAGGGAACAGCAGCATACCGTGTTAGTTATGATAAACCATCAATGTATTCTTTGACGACGATGAATCCGGACGTCTACGTATGAACTTAAATTTTAAGTCAAAAGATAGATTGATGGTTGCTTTGGGAATATTTTATACAAATTAGTACTTACTAGCTTCATCTTTATAAATAAGGTGTATAAGCAAGTGATTTAACGAGTAACTAATATTAAATTGTAAAGTATCAGGAGAATGCAAATAAACATTGATAGTTCAGGTAAATGTGGATGCTTGTGAATAAATGAAAGTAATGAAATTAGGTATACTCAGATCGCTTATAATTTATAATGTGTATGCAAAAGAAGATATTTAGGTACATATGTATTTGGATGAAAATAATTCATGCATTTCAAAATTGACTATGTAAATTCTAATACTAGTAGTATAATGTACAGACGATAATGAATTAAAAAATACATTAAAGAGTTTTACCCTAAAATCCCTGTAAATTAGATAGTAGTGTTATCAGTGATCTAGATTTATATTTGGATTAGTTTCACTCGTATTACTGAAACAAAAGTGCTAATGATATGGTAAAAATTATACCTGATAGGCCACCGACGTCCATTTTCTTCAAGTTCTTGGCTTCCAAAATAACAACTGTGAGTTTTCCGGCCGTTGGTACATAACGCAATGAGAAACATATATCTCCCAACTTGTTGTCCTGCACAACACATATAAACCGGTATGTATGAGACACTGTTACTATTATATATCTATTGACATTTGTGTAAATCTAGTAAATAATTATTAAAACTAAAATTAAATTATATTTTTTATATGAATAAGTATAATTGTTTAAAATGTTGTAAAATCTATTCTTGTGTGAACTATCAGTTTAGTGAATAAAATGTAATGTACTTTCAAAGTATGGGTAATAGGTAAATTTTTTTTTGTTTAAATTCTGATAAGCTCTGTTCTGGTTCGATTGTATTTGATGGACATGTTAATTTCTTCAGTCAATTTGGATGTGAGTAGTATATATATATAATATGTATGGAAGATAAAAGAGGAAGAGTAGTGTAAGGATAATTGTAACGCTCAGAGAACGGGTTAGAAAAGCTATTTAATTAACACAAATAATACAATGGGCCATAAATAACGCGGCTTAGGGCGGATAAGGGCACTCAAAATCTCGTTACAACAAAGAAAAATAAAAGAACATAACAGTAGCTCCGTGTTGTCACCTAGAAGCGTATTTATGGTCTTTGGTTAGTCGGTATAGAATTTCAGTTTGCAGAATTGCAGGTACAAAATGTGCATAAAATTAAGTACTCTGTTAGTATTAAAACAAGCTGAAAAGCTATAACCGACGACGTGCTGAGGACGCATAGCCCATTAACAGTTGAGATAATAGCCTCAAACAATTCAGATTGCAGCTAGACATACGCACATTTGACGAACACTTTCATTGCGGTACATATAACGTTTTAGCACATAGACGTCATTTCCTCTAAAACAAGAAAAATAAACACGATACATATATTTTATTAACACCATACTATAAGACGAACAAAACAAAACAACGTTCATCAAACCTAATATAAAGCAATCACTGTCCGCTGTAATATATAAGTAATAAATGGTAATATAGACGATAGTAATAGAATTTCATTACGATCTGTTGCCGAAATGAAGCCAATTCTTAGTTTTGTAACACCCAGCTCAGATCATCAAAATATTTGCTACCTTTGTACATACCTAGGCTATCCTGTAATCTGTTAATAACTTACGTGTTCCGATGTTACATTGGTTACAGCCAACTGTTGTTCACTAGTCTTCAGTAGACTACCCATTTTAGGAACAGATCGCAATATCTATAAGTACTAATAGTAAACAATAAACATAGATGCATACATATTATAGTTGCATATAGTAAATCCAACAAAGATCAAAACAAAATAAAAAGTAATTGATTTTTATTACGATAATCTTAATTTTATAATTAGAATTCACAGAAAATCATTTATGTACATTTGACAAATTAAATAATTGTATATGTAAAATTTCTTAGAGAAAAAGTACTTAAGGACAGATACCACCATGACATGATTGATATTTATATCTTCATCTAATAATATTGTTGCAAAGTCATTCATGTTTATATTTGAAAAAAGAAAACAGGAAATAAGATGTGAATGTTTGGTATAGTAAACTGTTTCTTAGAGATATGAAATATATGACGTTTTTTTATTTATATTTAGTTAATTTATCATAAGAATTTGTCTGTTATTACTGTCCTATGCAGATGACCTAATACAATTACGTTGATAATATACAAGATTAAATTAAATCAAAGGTGACAACATTTTATAGTAAAACATCGTTAAAAATTTGAATGCAAATAAGCATATGTATCCTTTACAATATTGACGTTCCAAAACTGCTTCCTTAAAGAAGAGCTCAATGCAAATGTACTATGTGTAAATATAATATGGAAGTATTAGACTTTATATTATCTCTGAACATAAATGATTTCTGAAGATTGTAACTTCTCAATACACAATATTATTGCTATATTTATTAGTAGATTCTTTAATGGATTTCTGTCATAAATGGTATAATATGTGTATAAGTTTACACGCACTATACATTTAGACATTTGCATAACATTCTAACAATGGAGTGTATTATGATGGTAGTAGGTGATTACTGTGTTAGTAGTTTGTGTTAAGCTGCATTCTTTGATTTTTCATACATATTTAACGGAAACTTTTTTTCATAAATATCTTTTAACTAATTAAAAATAACATGTTTCAAATACATATAATTTTCATTTCAGTAAATATATTTGAAGTAATTAAAGAACACAGTTTGTTCTAGATATAGTTTAAATATAACACCATGAAATACATTGTGCAACTCAACATGCTCGCAAATTATTTTATTTTTTTATTGCTAGACAATTATGTATCTGTCACGGCCCTGGTTCTCTGGTGAAATAAACTTAAAGGATCGAGTATTCTATACTAAAACTGAGGTCATCACCAGAACACCCTGACCCAGTCAAATTGTGAGAAAGTTTGTTTGCCAAATTACACCGACCGAGAGTTGAACTCGGGACTTCGTCAGTGTAAAGGGTGGTGAGCTTTGGACCAACGAAGCTATCAAACTGTAATCCAAATTGCTTTGAACTTGTATATAATATATATCATGTAATATTAATAATTCGCACAATGTTCTTCACGGCTACGACATTACGGTGCCAGCCAAAGTAATAAGGTTCTAAACTGCATAAAATAGCTTAGAGCATGGTCTAAGCTGTATAATAGTAGTGATTATAATAGCGTATTTATTTTTGGGCAATATTTAAAATTTTAAAAATAAATAAAGAACGTAAATATAAACTGAATTTATGGAGCGATAGCTTTGCTTTTAGGTAGGAAAGATCATTATAATACGAAAAATATTTTAAGGTAGGTATTATGAAATCGATAGCGATTTTAACTGAAATTACAACAATTTTAAATTAGTAAATAGTTACTAATTTAAAATTGTTGTAATTTCAGATTAGGATTAATCACATACATACATATGTAGGCAGTAACTCAATCTTAAAAATCATATTAGTAAATGATGAAAATATTGTGAATCACCATTCTGTGCCCGAATTCACGAATGTTCTTTTTTATTAAGTAGATATATATAAGTAGTTTCTAATTGCATTTAAGAAGAATGTACAATTGTAAAATAAATGGCCAATATTTATTATCTTGAACATTTCTATTGTTTCTACACTTATTAAGGCTGTAATATTTTAAAAATTAATATCCGATGAACTTAGTTTTGGCATATAGTTGATATATATATTTCTTATCACTTGGGAAAGTGATGCGACTCTACCGGTGTTTCAGGCGATCATAGGCTACAGTTACCGTTTACCATGAGATGGGCCGATGGGGCTTGCTTACACTGTGTTAAAAATACATATATATAATAAAATTGCATAATTCTAATTTGCTCTAAACGAAAATAGTTTTAATACCTCGTGAATTGTTTAACTCTCGGGAGATTATTTAAATCAACATTAAATTTAACTGTCTATACTGTCCATGTCAGCATCTAGACATTGTTGAGATAATTGAGTGTTATTATTTAATTTTAGTGTCTCTTCCCTTGGCCAGGAGAAAACCTGTAAAACTTAACACTTTGAAATTACTTATTGCATAGGTAAATAACAAAGCCTTATATTTAATGTTACTAATATGGCCCCTTATAATAATAACTTTATGATGACATAACTGAAATGACATGTAGTTATTTTATAGATTAACTATAATTCGAAAATGCATGAACGAATAAAAATTATGTATATATTACATAATAACTTAAATTCGATTTGTTTTAGTTTACTTTATCAAGTAATAGTATCTTATTACGCGAGTATTTAAGTCATAAAAGAGATTATTCAGTGCAGTAGCTAAATGTGAGTATGTTATATTAAAACGAGTAGGTAATTACAAACTGAATTACGTCTGATATTATCATTTTTAGACAATAATTTAAATTGATAAATAGTCGAATATTTATTGAAGTAAATTCAGTTAACTGTCGTTTATTCAAAAATATTTAATATTGGAGTTATATTGAACAAATAGTCTCAATACACGCAATGGATGACATTCAGGTAAGGTCGTTGCAGTCACATAAAGTAAAGTTCAATAATTTTTAGTGGCAAATCTTTTAACTACTTACAAATAAGGACATTATTTATATGTAGTTTTATGTTGAAAATTTGAACTCTTTGTAATTTTTAATATATGCGTTATTTAATACATTTTTTTTTCTTAATTATCTAAATGACATCAAAGTAATTTAATTTAAATAACAGTTGGTTAAGATATTACGCTCTCATATAGACTAGATAATACATACTTTATTTTCTGATTCATTATGAATATGTACACAGTTTTACAGACAATAGTTCTGCAACGATCCTCAATTATCCACACGCATTTAGACCCAGTTCGTATTGTAGGTAGTAGAGTTATCAGTTTTGTAATCAAATTAATTGCACGAGTGTTGTAGCTGCTTAAAATGGTATTTCAGGTGTAGTAACGTCAACAACAAAAGTTATGGAACAGATTTTAATTATACGTATAGTGTCCCAAAACCAATCAAATATCTTGTTCACATGATATTTTGTCGCTAACGTTACGTGAAGAACGAGCACAACAAAATATAACAACCATGCAACATTCCCCAGCCGCAATATAAAACAAAATAAAGTGTTGGATGGATGTAAATAAATAAACGTTTAACTAAATCATATGGTATGATAGGTGATAATAGGTAATAGGTGATTATTTCGTAGAGCTGTAAATGGAGAATTCACTCTGCGTCCTGACATCCTACACGTCCTAAAATTTTAGATACATGACTTTTTGTGACACTGTCGTATGTTACTTGTAAATGTTGTATACTGATCTCGTCAACGTAGTATTATAGTACATGTTTAGGTACAATAATTATATCTTGATGTGTCTCAAAATAATACTTACGTGAATGATCATTTCGTTTTTGAAGCGGCATGCAAGATTGTTCAGGACACAATCAAACACAGCCAAGCAGAGCAGAGAAAATATGGAGAAAAAGAGAAAAACCAAGTAAATACATTTTTGCTGTCCAAATTAAGTTTATCAGAAAAATAAATGTAGACTGAATCCACATGAGGTGCCTTGACTTTAGAGTTTTTACTATGTATAAAATTTTAATACATAATAACATGAATTTACTTTTTTTTAGATTACAATTGTTAATTATAATTATCTATAGTATTACAATTAATATCTAAATAAGTACGTCAAGGTTCCTCCGCTTAAAAAGTGCAGTAAAGTTTGAAAAAATATGAAATCTTCCTTTCAAAAAATATATGGTTGCTTCTACATTACAATATGTAGGTATAATAAGCATAATAAATTGAAAATACTTTTTGAAAAGATGTAATATTTAAAAATAAAGCTATTTTGTCAAAACGTACTTTCGATATTTAGACTAAGGACTCGACCATCGACCACCGGTAACGTGATCGTACGAGCTATCAGTAAATCCTTAGTTTAAGCTTAGGTCTTCCGAATACCTAACGATTTGTATGTTTTGCCAAAATAGCCTAAGCTAAGAAAAAAATAAATATTTCCTGAATTGATAATTGTTACGTATTAGCTGTAGAATGATACCATTTTTTCTATAGTTGTGCATGAAAGTTATGTAGGTACCTATTAGATTATTTTGTGTAATAATAGGCTGTTGATGTGACCTGGGTGTAACTGTTAACAAAAGTGTTAACTCTGCCAATAGAAAATTTTAGCAACATTATTAAATCTCATAATATAAAATAATGTCAATAGCATATACATACAAAATAATAAAAAATCAATGTATATGGCCCAAAGTTCGAAAATATATGTTTTAATTGTAATTATATAATTAATTTTGAGCACAAAAATGTAACAAGCGCAAAATTTGCGCTTTAAGTCTTCCAAAGTTTATCTAGAGACCCCTATGAAAAATAATTACGACGATATTATACGTTCTCTGTGGCGAACTATATATTACCACAGTAGGTGTATGTAAGAATATATCTTAAATGCTGAAAAGTAAAGTTTATTATAATGTTATATTGTAGTTGTACCTATTAAGCTAGAGATAGCTAAAGCACTAGTTGTTGATATCTTTGATATAAAATGTATACACATATTTTTATAATATTAATATATTTAAGTTACCTATTTCGGGCACCTAAAAAGAAAGAGGCAAGAGATTTTAATTGAAGTGTATTTTTAAGATAACCTGTAAGACTGTGCGGTGAAATTATTGTCAAATATCGCACAAGGTTGATTTTCCACGGAAATTGTGTAAACTTAGGTGTTTTTATGTGTGTATGTGTTCGCACCTGCCCCCCTTCTCCTTCAACACTCTGTAGTTCACGCCATTCCTCGATGGTTTGTGCCAGGTCTACCTGACAGAGCGGTACCTTCACCTCCCCTATCTGGTCATGTTTGGAGAATCGATCGAAGTCGAAAATCGCGAACACCAGTGTTTTGTTCATTGCGTCGGCATATGGTACGTTCTGAATAAAAATGTTAAAATTCCGTTATATGTTCAATTTCAATGAGCTTTACAATTAATTTCTAACTAATGTTCCATAATATTCTACTTACCTTGAAAACAAAAGTCTCATTAAAAATGGGACTCAAAGTTTTCCGATGTACTTTAGTCTCGAATTTCTTTTTCTTATCTGGTAGTAGGTAAACTTTCACGTAAGGGTCAGATGTACCGCCCATGTCCAAGGCGGGCAGTTCCTCCGCTTGAATCACAGTAACCGACAGACTGTTGCTATTAAAATCGTATTCCAGCTGCAAATTAACCAATTTATTGAAAATGTAATAACAATATTACTCTTCCATAGCAAAATATGCTTGAATCTAAGTTATTTACAACAATAGAAATAGTTATCATGATTTTATTTAATTTACTATCTACTAAAAAGTTAATGATTATAAAATAATATTTTTAAATGTTGCAATAATATGTATTGACATACTTTTGTACGAGTATGTAAAAAAAATATTTTGCTCTATATCTAACTAAATTCTTATGGATAAAACGGTCATATGTGTACATGATGGCGATATAGTAGCTATTTATCTAATAAACAGATTTTGTAAGAATATTTAAGTAAATGCCTGCTGATATAAACAGCTATTTTATAAATTACATTTTAAGTAGAGAAGTAGGAAGAAAAGCATTAATTAAGTACAACTTAAAATCAGTTTTAGATTTCAGATAACGAGATATGGCAGCTATGATATTTTCTACGTAGTTCGAATTATTTATGGACTTTTATAAGCGTGCTAACTTTAATGGGAAAGTGTTCCAACCAACTGAATGTCGAGGGTAAATATAAAAGTAATTAAAAGCATGCTATAACAATTACGTTATTAACGAGAAAGGTAATTTGGCAGAAAAAATTAAATATAATATTTTATAATAAGTTTGTTTGAATACCTCAGTATAGCTACTTCCTGAAATTCATTCTTGCTATCGGATTATTTCCTGTGAATGATAATAACGCATTACATATACCCACCTTATACTGTAGTTTGCCTAGTTTCTGCTCCTCCTTTTTAGAATCACCGTCATCTGGTTCCTCCGCGTTCTCAGTCAGCTCTTCCATGTCCGGCTGAACCTAAATGCATGTCCCGCGGCAAATTTCACATGAATAACGTATTTCTTATAAATATAACAAATTTCTTTTTCAACCAGAAAGAGGTATGAGGTTTAAGGATTCGTATTATATTTCAATTTCTACAATGTTTAAAATTTTTGCACATATACATGCAAGTGTAAAACTATTTTTTTTCATTATTCAAGAAATTGAATAATTTCAAAGGATCTAATATAATCAAATTTCAATATTAATATTAGATGCAATATTAATATCTATTCTTTTATAAATGAATGCGGCAAATATTAATATTGCACCAAATTTAATAAAATGACTGATGATGATATTGATTTTGTTAAATATCTGTTGATCATAATTTTAATATTGGATAAATTATTACTTTAAAAAACATTACCTTTTCCTTGTACGCTGATCCTAGGAGTTGGACGGACTTGAGGTCGACTCCTTTCATTCCCTTCTTGCCATCCTTGGAGCGCCGCTTTCGGAAACATCGTCTGATGCAGCAGAAGCACACTCCTAGCACCACTACGCCAACTCCTATGTAAATAAATAATCATGCATTAAAATGTATATATATTTGTATATTCGAGGTTTTTAAAAGTACACCAACCAAGTACCAGTTATAGGTAATATTAGGCAGATATTATTGTAGCAATTATTAGGAACAAAATGCATTCGATTTGTATGTACCAATATTGCAGTAAATATTTAAACCTACAGCATAAATTGTGTCACTTGTCTATAGATATCAGTAACGCCATTCAATATTATAAAGATAGATTCACATGTCATCATTAATAGACAGACAAGAGTCCTTGGATGCGATGTTTATATTGAAGTTAATTAGAAATGAAATAAACTGTCCACAACTATTAAGTTGAATTAACATTGGAACAACAAATTAATTCCAATGAAACAAAATTACTTGTGTAATGTAAATAAATATCTTAGTATTTTTAACTAGCTACGGTGTTATTAACCAGTATCAGCAAGTTTCTTGTTAGTATATAAGTAATATCTACCTTTAATTAATTTATTCATTTAGATCTACATATTTTGTTGTCATAGAAAGTTTACAAAATTATTTGCTTGGATGTACCTATAAGTTTTAGGTTAATGAATAAATAAATAAAATAGAATCTCAATAGAACCTTGTTACATTAAAACTATTATCAAAATATTACATTTTCAGAAATCTTTTTTTTTTACCGTGTTGAAAAGATTATTCACCTGCCAAAGAATACGAGTGAGGTGTTAGAGGACTAGCGGTCTATTTCGAGCCTACATTGCCTTGTGACAGTTCTGGGCTCTTATGTGTATTCTATCACTCTTGTTAAGATGATTATAATTATTCTACACACTCGTGGAACGCTCAAACATTAGTAGTATTTTCAACTATTAGCATTTTCAAATCATAGAAAAGTACAAAAGTAGTTGCGTGCAACTATTGCATTTATTACAAAATTACTTGAGTTCATTGATTAAACCAACATCGCAAAACTGTTTTGTACCATTAAATTTGTAATGTCAATTAGGACTGGTACGTAGAAAAAATACTTACCAACAAGAATAGCAACCAACTGCCAGTTTTGCAAATCCAGCTTTTGGGCTATTTCTTTAACCCCCTCTACGAACTCTGCGCCGGGCGTTGCAGTCGATGTTAGAGACGACTGCGGCTCCGCTGTTATTAAATAAATGAAAATATATTCATTGATCAGATAATTACATATTTTTAATAAGCTGCACAACATATGTATAACGATGCACTAAGTATTATACACATGTTATACTTAGAGTGCAGGCTGTACAGTAACAATTAAGTAAAACTTAATTTTTAAGAGTTAATAATGTAATGGACTGAGATGATGATGAATGTAGTAGCTATTTAGTCACGGAATTGGTAACATTATTACAGGTTTGAATGAGTTAAATCGAGGTGTTCCTTTATATTCATATATATAATGTATTTATTCTGTTGTAGACATGGATATATTAGCAAGTGTACAAAGGAAAAAACTTAAACACAGTAATGACGTTATGTGGTATAGATTCCTATAACTGAGACATGTCTAACTGTTTCAGTCATAAAACTTCACCAATGGATTTAGATGTCACTTACATAGGTGACATCTAAATTCATTGGTGATGTCACTGTCGCTACATAGGCAATGTTAGCCCAACAGTGACTACTTCGGTGGTTAAGTAAAAAGAGTAAACTTAAAATTACTTACGCGTGGGCTCGGTGCTTCCAGGGCCGGCATCTTCTGTCAAGGATGACTCCACCGCTTCGCGGCGCCATCGCATTAGCGCCCCTAGAAGCGGCGACATGTCTGCACAACAAGATAAATCATCAGTGCCGTGACCACACAGATAATTTCAATATTTTAATATCATACTTTTATAATATTCATTCATATGTATGTTAGTTTATAAGGTATTTATAATATGGGCCTAGTAGCCTGGAATAAATAAATTAATAACATTTTTTGAACAATTAAAATAGCCAACCAATCTATTGCCCCATTTGGAGATAAGTGGTAACAGTTCCTAAAAAGACATATACTACCTACTACTATTACTAGGTATGACCAACCACGAAAAGCATAAAATATCTACATCCCAGACTATGGTTGCAATGTGTAAATTTAACTACAATATCTCGTCAAAACGTGAAATACAAGCGACTTGGTGGCAGAAATCAGAAATAGGTCAGATAGAGGTACGTATCTATGCATACCCCTTCATTCCATCCTCTGCTAAATATTTTCTATTTAATTAAAAAATAGATGTGATTCTCTTATCATTAATATAGCTTATAGGTAAATTGGGCGATAAATAAATATCAAGGTGTGATGTAGACGAAGTAGTGTGGGTCAGCTAGTCATTAATAAGTATTCACATAGATTTTTATAGTATTAGTGTAAAGATTTTACATATGCAGAGAAGGTCCACTCGTATTAAAAAAATAAAAGTTTATAAGACGTTTAGATATTTGACTAAATGAAAATGAAACTGGAATTTGGTACATAGATAAATTAATTCTTCATCCTAATTCACTCAATATATTTGATCTCGCAATGGATTGCAGGTAGTAAATATAGTTTTAGGTAGATTTCTCTGATTTTCACCCGACTACGGCGAAGAAATAGGAAATTTATGATTTAGACTGGCCAATTTGTCCAGTCCATGTTAATTTGTCTTCACATAACTTATAAACGTCATGAACTAAAATATATTCTTTAATCGTATCATGTATCATATGAAACGCCCTAAAGATGCCATATGAAATGTTCGTATGTTTGCTAAATATAGCTGGAAGTATACATTTTATTAATCATATAAATTCTAGCTTCAGCTTAAAAAAGTCTTGGTCGTATATCACTTACATTAACAAACTAACATTCAAAAACAGCGAACATTATTTTCAGATTAAAATTCATCACGCGATATTAATGATGGACGCTATATGACCATATAGATATGTATACAATAATGGCATACGACCACGTCTAACAATAAAAGATGATTTTTTCTTTCGTAAAATTTAAGCGACGGGAAGATAAGAAATAATTTGAAAATCACTCCCCATTTTCAAATTATTTCTTATTTCTTACATGATCTTATTAGATGTTTTAGTTTCCAATAATATAATTTAAAATAATTATCATGCGTTTAATATTAGACATTGATTTTGTACGCCCATACCCATTGGAATCTTCAAGTATAGCATATACGCTAGATTAATACGAGCATCACAGTGTATTTAGTAGTTTTTATAGTTTACCACTTTCTATCTGGTGAGTAGCCATTATTGTAATATAAAATAAAATTTTAGAGATGCTTTAAATTGCAGTATCTTAGAGAGAATATTTTTATATATATAATAATAATTGAGGTTACAACATATTACAAAGATCATATAAGCAAGTATGTGCTTTGTATTATAACTAGTTGATAATTTTTATTTTTATAATATATTGTTGATTGTAATATTTGTCTATTCTAAAGAAAATTATGTATCTTTTAAAATTTCATGTTATTTATATCCAGACATATAGGTATAAAACTATCATCAGTAACTGCTTACACAATGTATGTTCAATATACGTATATCTGTAGAAATATGTCTGAAATTCTTAAAATATTTCACTAACTTTTGATCTACTTTACGCTCACACAAATACATGCTAATTTCTATCATATTAATTTCTTTGTAATATTCACACACCTGTTTATGTAAAAAGAAAATTGAATTACTGATAATGGTCACTACAGAGAAATGTGTAACGTAATGGCTATGGGGCGAACAGCTACGTTTTGATTGAACACCGTACTGACCTTTCTTTCTTCCAGTACCGGTTCACTCTTATTGGGTTCTCTAAATTCGATAGCAGTAGTCACTTAGCACAAGTTTGGGTCATTTCTATCGAATATTTTATGCGAATATAGGCAGAACACTTTACTAAAGCTAGGATGGCGGAGATGCGCGCGCATGCGATCGATTGTCGCTGCGCGATGCGATGCCTCCACGACTCCTGGCCAAGTCACAGGGTTTACGTCACTCGCTGCGTACATTGACGACTGGACTAGGAAGTTAGCTGTCGAGTAGGCGACAAATGCGTATGGATATCAAAATATAATAACGTATAGTAACATGTACTCACTGCAGTTGGGGTGATTACCTAGATTTGGTTATATTGGGCATGTATACTATTTCTGTTTGATAATATATATTATATAGATGTTTATTTTAAAAACAGTCTTTACATCTGAGAATAAAGTCACCATGCATAATCTGCATTTAGTTAGTCGCACAGTTAGAAAATTTTTAGAATAATCATTTTTATATTGTTAAAGAATCTTTTAGATTTATGTAGGTATATGTAATCAACCAAATGTAGATATAATTATTTCAAAGTTACTGTACCAATTTCAATTCAACGTATTTTTCATTCGGTCAAAATAACGTAAGTATTTTTTTAACATATAGGTATTTATTGCAATAAAATAAATACATATTTATAAATACCGTTATTCAATAATATTTATTCTAATACTCATAGGTTATATTTGTTACACTATAATGTATCGATATATTTATTTATTTTTGGTAACTTTACTATTGGTACGTAAATAAATATTAGTCTGAAGAAGAAACACATTTATTTCCTCACTATATAAGTTCTTCAATTTGAATATTTGTATAAAAATGAATTTGTGTGAGATACAATTGTCCAATTATATGCTTAAATGCTAATGGAAAATGGATTCATATTTTACTGTGAAGCGGTAATACGTGTTTTATTGTGACGGTCCGAGAGATAAGAGAAACATGACACAAACATCATAAATGCACTTTTGTTTTGTTTCTCTTGCTGCTTGTCTGTATTATCAAAAGTGCTTTATAATATTAATGATTTGAATAACTCTAAATCTAACATCTATATTATAAATTGGCATGAACAAAATGTTCCGAAATAGAGATTACGATCATGTCTTAAATTGTTAAATTTCACATAAATTCCCATACATGTACTTATGATTATAAAAATAATGTTTTCTAACGAGAATTACGTGAAAAATATCGAAAAAAGCTTGGAATGGGTCCAAGAGATGTCGATCTAGGGAGGCAGTGGCGGCTGACCTTGGCGTGGGTTGGAACTACCCTTTGTATAGGTACCAGCTTGTGTTACATATATATATATATAGAAAATCCTGTTAATGCCTAGTAAATCATTAGTTCACCCACGCATACAAAGAACATTTCTGTTTGGTTAAAGGATTTTTTAATAAATAAAATCCAATTAGATTTGTAACGGTTTAAAAATGTCCATTTCATTTACTTTTTGTATATACCTAAATATAGTTATAATTTCAGCATATTTCATTATAAATTAAAGATGGTTCTATACTAAATGGGGTGGGAAGAATCTCCGGGTAAGACCAGGCTACCACAAACGACGACCACTGGCCCTGGAAACATACAACGTTCAAACACTGCGGTCCGACGATAAGCTAACTAAACTGGAGGAAGAGTTGAGCAGATTGCACTGGCATGTGGTGGGATTATCTGAAGTCCGAAGAAAGGGAGTGGACTCGATAGTCCTGAAATCCGGCAATCTGCTTTACTTCCGGGAGGGTGATCAATTGTCCCAAGGCGGTGCGGGTTCCTCGTCCACAAGTCTCTTGTGAATAATGTTATTAATAAGGTCGAGAGCGTGTCGACTAGCGTACCTGATATCTCCGGAGCGATACATAGTACAAAGACTCATTTAAACGTTATCAGGGGGGACTTTAACGCCAAATTGGGCTAATGAAGCGGTGATGAGCTGAGAGTGGGGCAATTTGGTATCGGTGATCGGAACTTCTGAGGTCTAATGCTGACCGACTTCATGGAGAAGGAGAGTCTCTTTATGATGAACTCCTTCTTCAGGAAGCCGGAACACCGGAAATGGACGTGGATTAGACCCGATGGTGCCGCAAAAAACGAGATAGATTTCATCTTGTCAACGAGAAGACAGATTTTCAATGATGTCTGTGTGATCAATGCCGTCAAAATTGGGAGCGATCACCGGATGGCAAAAGGCACATTGATACTGAATCTGAAACTAGAACGATCCCGACTGATGAAATCTACGCTCGGCCCTACACCTATACAGATCCAAAACCCCGAAAGCTTTCAGCTAGAATTGCAAAACCGTTTCGAATGCCTTGGTGACTGCGTTGACGTGGACGATTACAACAACAGGTTCGTGAAGATAGATAGATAGATAGATAGATAAGTTCTTTATTCAGCCATTACAAACACATAGCATACATGAGATACATTTTATAAATAGAAATAAAGTTTACAGATTAAATAATACAGAAATATGATATTACAAAATAAAATAAAATAAAAATGGAGGTGGCTTTATGTGTCGCAATGATGAAGAGGCAACCAACTCAGCATGAAGCTACAGATAAGTCTGCAGCGCTGATATTCTGTTGGCTCCTATAATTAAATACATACTTACATACATATATACGTGAATGTTTATATATTACACTTCGAGCTCTTAAAAAAATTATACTATTACAAAACACTATACAATATACAAATAAATTAAAAATGAAGTGGTGTGTTATGTATACATATATTGTTAACCTATAGATACATACTATGTACATAAATAATAGTTGTTGTTAGCATATACAAGGTCGCTGGCTAAACGCGCCGTGAGTCAGACATTATTGTTCCTGACCATGCTTACCGACTTCGGTCGTTGAAAAAAAAGACTCCTCAGATAAAGGACCTCCTATTTAAAGTCAGTTGTTCAGACAATAAGTGTTTTTTAAAAGGTTTTTAAAATTCACTTTAGTTTTTATATTACGAATGGGAGGAGGTAAGTTATTCCAACACTTGGAGGCCATATATCTGAAACTGCCTCTGAAGGCAGTAGTCCGATGTGCTGGAGTCACTAGTCGATACAACGAAGCCCTGGTTTTAAAAGCATGCTGATTGCCAGACCACACAAGTTTTCTATAAAGGTAATCAGGCATTTTGGATTCAATGACATCAAACAACAAAGTCGCAAAATAAAGGTTGTAACGTGAAGACATATTTAGTAGTTTAGCATTATTGAGATAAGGAGAGACATGACTACGCGGTGGTATACGGAAGCAAAAACGGGCGCATGCATTTTGTACACGTTGGATAAGCCGCCGTGATCTAGCTAGTGTACATGAACCGAAAACAGCTAAACCGTAACTCAGCTTGGACAATATCAGAGAATCGCACAGTCGAACACGTAGATCAGTTGAAAGATAATTTCGAATTTTGTACAATATCTTTAGTCTGTAGAAGCAATTCCCCACACAATCTAGGACATGGTTTTCGAATTTAAGACCAGAGTCCATTAGTAGACCCAGATTGCGCGTTTCAGTTACTTGCAACAGAGGTGTACCTTCTACTGTTATAACTGGTGTTTGATTTTTAATTTTTTGTACCTGCAATTTAGAACCCAATATCATGAATTTCGACTTAGCCGGATTCAAAACAAGAGAATTTTTATTACACCAGTTCGATATACGGAAAAGTGTTGAGTTCAATATTCTAACCGCCATGTTTGTATCTTGAGGATTTATAGACATGTAAACTTGTAAGTCATCCGCATATTGGTGATATAAACATCCTTCACAGTATCTAGCAATGTCAGCACTATACAGAATGAATAAGAGGGGACCCAGAATTGATCCCTGCGGGACTCCTCGCGTCAATAGTCTAGGTTTGGAATATAGTAGAGTGCCGTTGTTCTGTGTTACCTTTACGAGCTGATGACGATTACTGAGGTAACTATCAAACCAGAGTATTGTTTGCCCATCAAATCCATAGTATCTAAGTTTTGAAAGTAACAGGTTTATATTTAAACATTCGAAAGCTCTCGAAAAATCGAGCAAAGTAAGCAAGGTACCATTTCCCTTATCCATAGCCGCCAAAACATTGTCCACAACATCCAATAATGCAGTGATCGTACCTCTTCGTTTTCTAAATCCAGATTGAAAAGGTGGTAATATGTTATTGGCTTCCAAGTAATAGGACACTTGTAGACTGTCCGTGCGGCTGGGTCTAAGCACTTCAAAACTCGCTGCGCAGAAAGAACCGGAAAAATATCTATCTCTACCCTTAAACTGATGGATCAAAAGCCGAAGTATGGTCCTGCAGTCTCCGACTGACGCTTCCTAGTATCGGCAACTTAGCAGGCAGATCTCTTAGTCCTTGACTCATGACTTACGCCATTTTAAAACAAATTGTGTAAAGGAGGCTATTGAGGAAAACAAGGGCTCAAAAGTCTTTAACAGGGATCTGGCTGCCTGACAGAGCCAGCTGACGCGACTTAAGATGGATAACGGCAGGATCGAGTCGTTTAAATCCGAACTTTTGAGGGAACTTGAGAAGTTCTATGGACAGTTATACACGACAACACGGGCGCCTGCTAACAAAACGGCGAAAGACCGTAGAGCCAAATTAACCCGACACTATACCGAAGATATCCCAGACGTCAGCCTGTACGAGATTAGTATGGCTCTTAAACAACTTAAAAACAACAAGGCGCCAGGCGATGATGGAGTTACTGCTGAGCTTCTGAGGGCTGGAGGTAGACCTGTTTTACGAATCCTCCAGAAGCTATTCAACTCCGTCATCCTCGAGGGCAGAACGCCTCAAGCATGGCAAAGTGTGGTGGTTCTATTCTTCAAGAAGGGAGACAAATCGCTTCTGACGAATTTCAGACCCGTAACACTGCTGAGCCATGTTTATGAGTTGTTTTCGAGAGTCATCACGAATCGTCTTGCGCGCAGGTTTGATGACTTCCAGCCTCCCGAACAAGCCGGGTTCCGAAAAGGCTTCAGTACCATAGACCACATTCATACGTCGCGGCAGGTATACAACTTGCCACTTTGCTTGGCGTTTGTGGACTATGAAAAAGCCTTTGATT